ACACCAAGGACACAGCCTCGCAAAACTCCACACCGCCCTCGTATACGTGAGGCACGGCTCAATGTGAGAAGCTCCCTCAGGACTGTTTGGGATGCGATGAGAGGCAATGGGGTGACGATGCAACATTGGGCATGACGAGGTGTAGTGCGGGCGAGGAGCATCGATCATCGTGCGAGTCATCATCAACTTGGCGTAAATATCGCATCACTGGCACTCGGACTGGTTCGCAGATCCGATTACATGCGTTCGCTTGATGTGCGTGGGATTCGCATTGTCCACCCGTCGTCTATCAGTTGATGAGAGCACCCCTAGGAGCTGAGCTGATACGACGACGGGCCTACCGTGTTGCGTGGACGAGCGACAAAGAGGGAAGGAGGGATTGGAGGAAGGCATCTCGATGGACAGAGGATCTTCGCTCTCGCCGTGATCTCATACCCTGCATCACCGACCCGCTGGGATTCACAGGAACCAACTGAAGATGGAAAGCATCTGCTCGCCAACTCCCGCGATTCGACCGGCCCATGAACCGGACAGTCGTGCCAGTGTCTCGACACCCAGCGCCTTCGGACGGCCGTCAATCCATCACTGGATCCATCCCGCGCAGATCGTTGCGTCCCACCTTGGGCGCCGCACATGTTCATCGGTCTGTGATTATGTCAAAGTCCATCAACAAACGGCGCTCAAACCGCCGTTCCAGAAAATCCTTCCGATCCATGAGGACGGCGCGCCTCAGCCCGTCAACAATCAACAATCGGAAAGCTAAGAAAGCCCTACGAACGGCGCGCGGCGCACTACGGTGCGCGCCAGGGCCGTCCGCATGACCTCATCCCTTGCGTCAAGCGTGATCACAACGGCCGTCTGGGTCTCGAGGTCTGTCATTCTCGTCTTCTCCCGAGACACCAACAACGTGAGATGGGAAATTGGCGTGACGCCAGAGAGAGAATCCCTTCAGGGTCCGAAGCCAAGCCCCAACATGTTACATTCCAAGGGACTCTCTCTCTCACCCCTTACTAAGTGCCTAACCCCCTCAAGGGACCAGCGACACCTCTGACGAGGGATCGTCACTCGCTTCACTCTGCGAATGGGCCACGATGCAAGCTTGAGATGATCTGCGCATTCTTTTCTTGGAAACCAGGCAAATGCTCTCCAAAATCTTGGACCAGGTACCTTCAGGGTCTACTGCGTACGGGGTCGAGCCAACCGGAAGAGTTGCAATCGCATGTTGCATCCCTCATTGCGCCAGCCCGCCCAACTGCCCCGCGATGCCCTAAACTTAATCATGTCCAGCCAGTCACGTTCTGGCACGAAGCAATCAAAAGTCACAGCGTCAGGGAAATGCCTCTGGGAAAGGCGCCCGCCTCGACCAACGACGATCGCCCGTGGATATTGCATCTTGTTTAACCACCGGCGACGCCTAACAGCGCACTTTGCACAGGGCAGGGCGGCAGAGTCAGGACTCAGGACACCCCCGAGAATTAACTCAGGATGTAAGGCGAGCCGTCTCGTCTCCAACGGCGGCGGGCCCCCGGCGTCCCGTGTGCTGCTACTCAGTTGATTAAGCGCATGTAGGAGAGTTGAACCCCCTTCCCCGCCTGGCTCCGTTCGGCGCTCCCGGAACCAGACCACCGATCAAGGCCGGCCGTAGCACACGACCAACCAACCCATCCACTGTCATCCCATCGGCCACCCGCATCGTACTACTACTGCCCGCGCTGCGAGGCGGCCGTCCGGTGCAGTGCGACAACGGCATTGCTGATCCCCTCGTGCCCAGCTTCAGCTTTGCCTCAGCCAACCATTTACCCGCTGTTCGATTTGGGAGTGGATGAGAGCAAAAACAAGGCTACGGTCGTGTTGCCGTCGTGGACCCCTAGCAATCGGGAACTTGCATTCCCACACCGTCCTGCGACTTCCGTCGTCGGGCGCCGCATTGTGCTACATGACGGCCTTTTGTGGTCTTTTTGTCTCAAGAATTCATAGGGTGTAATTTGCGCATTCTGCCTCGTCAAGAGAGGATACGGCGAAATAATTCGCTTTGATGGGATGCGCAGCTTTTTCTTTCCTAAGTGCATATGCAACTACGCACTTAGACCTGTGACCACACCAGGTGGCATCGTAGAGGACAACGGCTGCACATTGAATAGAAGCTGAGCCAATCTACCGCACCCAACCATCCAAGATCCTCGACGCGCCCGTCATCCTCCCCCTCGTGTAACCGCAATCAACGCGTGTGTATACGGTGCCGCACACCTGAATCCTGCCGCGGGGAACACTCACCTGAAAGCTGCACCTCAATCTCGACGCGGGCCAACATCGAGGCCGCCCGTCCGTTTTCCTCTTTGTGTGCGTGATAAAAGTAGATGGGGCGGCCCCCATCCCCAGAACGACTGGATGGGTTACCGCCTGGCTAGCCTTCTAGGACCCGGGAGGTTGGAACGGAGGCAAACACGTACGTATGCAGCGGCCAGGCAAACAAACATGATCGTGTTCGTTCCCCTCGGTTGGGACAAGGCAGCAACAGCAGCCGTTGGGAACTTTGGGGAAACGGCTTGTTTGTCTTTTTTCGAGCCGGGGGTTACGTGCGTAGCTTGCGAATCCTTTAAGCATGTCAGCCTCGCGTCCAGGCTGCAGCCGGAGCGTGCTTGTCAGGGATTCGACAGGGCGTCTGTCGTGTGCGGGTGCGTTGGGAAACCAACGTCTTGGACCAAAACGGCTTGCCGTATGGCTGAACGCTGTGTTGTCATGGACGATGGTTTGATGCTGCTATTCATGGGTTCACGGAGAGAGAGAGACCGGCATACGATGGCCCCCGAAGCACAGCAGATTGGCAGGGCGTGGGCGGTTTAGACGCCGGGAAGCCAACGGCGAGGATTTGGGGGTTTTCTGCATGCAGCTCGCCGCGGGAATCAAATTCTGTGCCTTCATGCGGGGTGGGCGGCGTAGATTACTCCCAGGTCTGGCGTATCGCCTGCGTGCGAGTTTAGATCATGCTTGGTATTATTATTACCATCTACGTTGTGCATGTTGGTTCAATATTTACGACTTTGGGGTCAATGGATACGCGGTGATGCATATGTGGTCCTCCCTTCGGCGACCTGAGGTAGATCGTGGGGGCTTTTCACTGGGTACATGGAAGCTAGAAGGATGTTCGATCATGGTTCAGTGCAGACAGACATTCGTGTTGCTCATGTGAGGTAAGTCGGCTGCGCGAAGGGGGGTCTGGCATTGATACCGCGGGGTGGCTGTGACCAACAAGGCCAGGCAGGCTTGCTTGGGTTGAGATTCCTCGTTGCTCGGAGGGGCGGTCTAGACCGAGTTGACTGTGCCTCGTGCCGGCAGGTTGAGTGACACAACGCCGGGTGTGTGGGCATGAGTTACATGAGTGAATTTGTAAACACCCAGAGAACTTCACGACCAGAACCAGGAGACCGAAAGCCAGACGTGAGGTTGGTCACGATAGCTCTTGGGGTCGAGCAATAGGGCTGGGACATGCGCTTACACGCTCACGGGCATCAGGTCGATCACATATGTCCAGTTAGACATAGACTTTCCTTGCTGCCAAATATTGATTGTATGTGTAATGAAGGGTGAAGCTATTCTAGGGGCGATGGCAATTATCGTGAACTCGGACGAACCCCTCGGAGGCTTCATGCAAGCATTGTCCAAAAGAACATCACCGACCTACAGACGAAGATAATCCCGACATTCGATTTCATCTCTCGACCATCTCTTCGTGAACAGACCTCAGGGTTCTAAACACCAGAACCCCTATATCCCATCTCATCAGCGGGCCAGGCACACGCGTCTACTCGCAGCGCCATGCCCTATTTCCCCTGAATATAAAGCTGTAGCGCTCTCTGTCTATCGGATCGCATCAGCCGACCGCTCTCCTCGGTCTTCATACCGAAGACCCGAAGCGCCCCTACCTCCATCCCTTCGCGCTTATCCCACAGCCAACCACCACCACTGTCCGTGAACATATTTGTCAAAACAAGAAACCACGCCTCCATCGGCGAACATCTTCAAACGCCCCCCCATTCATCTGTATATCCATCCATTTACGTGTTTCGCCGCCTGCCTTCGTAGTATCAAAGTCCCCGTGTCATCCTCGTCCGTTCCCAACATCAGGCCGCGTTTGAGGGGCTGTGGGAAACAGACGCCCCGCGCACGGGAGAGGTTCGCTCACCTTGTCTGAAGAAATCACCTCACAAAGGTTATCTACTGCAGTCGCTGCAGAATCATTGAATTGGGGGTAAGGGGGTCAGAGTATACCTCGCCTCTTGGATAAATCAACATCTCTTCGTGGACACATGCGCTGGTAGGGTCGTCATATCCAAGCCTTTGTATTATCAAAACACCACATCATCTGAATATATGAATAGTATCAGGGCATTGTCAAAATAGCTGACGACGACGACAAATTTACCAAAGGTACGTGGGCATTGTGGCAAGGACGAAAAGAGAATGAGGGTCTCGTAGGGATGGCGACGTGTCCCTGGAGAAAACCAAGAGCCCCTGAAAGTTAAACCTGGATGTATCCAGACAGCCACAAGAGCTTCGCTCCCCTCCGACGCAAGGTATGGGGTGGGTGATAACACCAGTCTACCATCTCACTAGAATGCAATCCGCATCTGCAACTCGCCCCAAGCAGTAAAGCCGGCGAAGAAGGCCACATCGTCGGGCACACACAAGAACAGACGGATTAAGGCCGCATATCACGATATCTCTCAAACACGGCTGCCTCATAGCTTACAGGTGATATGCACACTGCAAAGCACATGCGCTTCAAGAGTGGACACGAGTTCGATGTCGCCATTGCGTCTACATCTAGAACCTCGAGAAGCCCTCCCCGCTAATGCAGCCCTGTAGCACCGCCTTGATAATAACTGTTTTTCTCCTTCTCCTAGTAGCAAAGTTACGCCCTCCCCAAACCGTTACTATACATAGCTTCTCTCTCCACCATGCCGTCCTTGACATCAGCACCAACAAAGACCCCACTGTACCTAACGCTTTGCCGGCGCAGACCTGGCCGTGAAGAAGGGGTGCTTCAGCGCGTCGGCTGGCTTGATCCGCTTCTCCGGGTTCAGCGTAAGACAGTGCTCAAGCAGGTCGACAAAGTGGTTCAGGTCCCTGGTCTCGGCGTCGTTCATGCCCGCTGAAGCGGCGAAGAGGCGGGTGCGCAGGTCACGCGTCGGTTTAACGACGGGCAGGACCCTGGCGGTAGTCTGTGAGGCGCAGATATGTTAGTCTCGTCATTCTTTCAGTCCATTTTCAAGAACGAGTGCGAACAAGGGTGCAGGGGTTAAGGGAAGGGCGTGGTAGCGGGGTCCTCAGCTGCCAACTGCAAACTGTCATCTGTGACAAATCGATGGCAAATGTGTTGGACCCTAGGTGCAGAGCGGGAATAGGGAGACGAAACAGGGGCGAAGGAGCTTTGGCGGCAAAAGATGGGATGGTGAGGCCGTGACAACAGAGTTGCTCGAGCTTCCACGCGCGTAAGCATTCCTCCGAAGATGGGACTGACGTCTGGCTCCTCGACGTATCCTGATCCGGACCAGGACCAAGCAGTTCATGCGAGTCCGAACGGTCCGAAAAGGGTTGGTTGGAGGTGGTCTGCGCAGGCCGTGGCCACCGGGGCCCGCGTTCCGGGGCGCTCGGGCCTGAGATGCCGGCCCCAGATTGCTCAAAGTGGAGACATGCATACGCATGTGCAGCCGCGCCTCAGTGCTCAGCGCTTACAGCCGCACTCCGCCTCCAGACTAAATCTCCTCGGTCCTGCAAAAATAGCATCGGATGTGGTTATTTGGCCGCGTGGGGAGGGCATGAAACATGCGTATGCACAGGCGTTGGGAATATGGGGAAAGGGTATGCAACAAGGAATAGCAAACAACAGCGATCGATACGACGTACCTTTCCAAGAACCTTGTCTCTTTCCATGCTCACGAAGTTGCCCTGCTCGTCGAAATGCATAGGCGCTAGCTGTCCTCGCTTGTACAGCTTCGGCGTGATCTTTCCGCGGATCTCCATGATGGCCTTGAGCATCTGGTTGTTGCTGTCGCCGGCAAACAGGATCTTGCCGGTGTACAACTCGTACAGAGTGCAGCCGATGGACCACATGTCGATGCTGTAGTCGTAGGGCATTCCGAGAATGATCTCCGGTGCTCTGTAGAAGCGACTGACGAGGTACGGGGTGATTTCGTTGTGCGCGGTGGCAGCGTCGGATTTGTCGATACCTGTTCCCAGATCGCAAATCTTCAACACGTTACGACTTTCGTTGACCTGTGAATGGTAAGCATTGTCTTCATGTTTGGCTCTGAGACCGGGGTTACTGACCAGAATGTTGTCAGGCTTGAGATCGGCGTGGATAACGCTGCACTTCCGCATGTGTGCCAGACCGATGAAGATCTGATGAGCGTATGCTCGAGTCGCGACCAGGTTGATGCCGACGTTGTTGCCAAACTTCTTCAAGACCTCCCGCAGGTTAAGACTGAGGTTCTCAAAAGCCATACACAGATGACCCTTGTGGTCAAAGTGTCGCTCGAACTTGACGATATGTTTGCGGTTGTCCGGATCAGCGTCGTTGAGCTTCTGGAGAATGGCGATTTCGGTAAATCCACCCTTTCTCAGCGCGTCGTTGTTTCTCATGATCTTGATAGCAACGAGCTTTTTGTTCGTGATATCCACTGCGCGAGCGACACCGGAGAACATGCCCTTTCCGAGGGCCGACTGGACCTGGTAGCGCCCGTTGAGGATCTCACCAATGCGAAGCTTGTAGTATCCGTCCTTGTCATCGCCTTCGAGGATGGCGCCGTTCGGCTGACCAAGCGCAGGCGAGGCCTTGGTTTCGTCGACCGCGAGGACCTTTGAGGGCTTGGGAGCGGCGTACTTGTCATCGTCAAAGTCCTCGGCAAACATGTCGAAGTCATCATCTTCCTCATCACCAGTTGACTTCTCAGCTGGAGGCTCTTCGGGTTGCTCTTCAGGCTGGACTTCGGGCTGGGTCTCGGGCGCTTCGCCGTGCATACCGACATTGCCATGCCGCCTTTCGTCGCGCCTCTCGTCTTCCTTCATGTCCACTGTAGGGTCATAGTCCGCAGCAGAGGGACCATCTTCATCTGTAGCCTTACCACCTCCATGCGTGTTCATCAGATCCGTCTCGTTCACGATGTCGATCGTACCCGGAGAGCTTCCATCTTGTGCTGGTGACCCAATATCTGAACGCTTAGTGGGAGTAGCGTAGCTGGGCATGGGGCTTCTCACCTGAAATCGGGGTATCAACATCCCCGCCTGGCGTGCCTTGGCGCGCTGGTGTAGATACTGCTGACTTGTCTGAGGCATGCAAAGCATGCACAAGGAGCGGCGTAGCGGAGCTAGACTTAGCCAGGAGTTCATCGCGGCGTCGACGTCGGCGTTCAATTTCAGCCTCTTCATCGACGACCATGGGTTCCTCGAAATCTTGCTCGGGCTCGGCTGGTGGAGCTCTGTGAGGTGACGTCAGCATGCGTGGTTCAAAAGGCTTGTCCCGGGAAACGTACGGCTGATTCTGAGATGGTCCTGCACTGCCGTTGCTTTGGTCTGCAGAGTCTTTCACAGGTTTAGCATCTCCTCTGGAAGCACGGAAATCCTTCCCTACAGCGCCTCCGTTGGTCGAGTAACCGTTTCGGGTGTCTCGGTCGCGGTGATCCTCGTACTTCAAGCCGCGGAACGAGTCCGAGAGGCGATCCCGTCCGCTGTCTCTTGAGTAGCGATCGTCGCGGCCGCGCTCGTTGCGCTGGGGAGGGCGGTATGGCGACCTAGTGCGATTACGCGCTCTCTTATCGGGGTACCTGTCCCTTTCACGGTCACGGTCCCTCTCTCGCTCCCGATATCGGTCTCTGTCCCTGTCCCTTTCACGGCTCCGGTCTCTATCGTGGTCGTCGTAGGCGAGATTCGAGCCGCGCGAGGGCGGGCGGTCCAGGTCCTCATAGGAGACGCGGCTGCGACGGTAATCATCGCGCGGGCCGTCCTCGTAATGCACGCGGAAGCGGCGCGTGTCCTGTCGTCCTCCTCTGTCTCCACCGGCGTAGTCACGCTCGTCGCGGGAGCGCTTGAATCCGCGGGGCGGCGGCGACCGGCTGCGTCTCGATGACGACGAGTTGTAGTTGCTGGCGGTGTGGTGTCTGGGGTGGGAGTCGTGCTCGGGAGATTTGGAGGCCGAGTATCTACCTCGGGTTCTGTCTTGACGGTCAACACCGTTTCCTTCAAACTTCTTCGGCAGTGAAGTTGCCTTCAAATCCACAGCGTCATTTTCAACGATCTCGCCTTCGTCCGAACTCGACGCCATGTTTGTGCGGTGCTGTGTAGCGCAAGGAGCTCCCTCTTTTTGTTCAAATGTGTGTAGTACGTATTGTAAAGCAGGATCCGCCAGAGGGAAGGTTCCCCTAGGTCTTTGCGCGCGCAGAAGCAGCAGCGACGTGTCAGCAGAGATCACTTGAAGATTGTATGTGCGGCAGGAATAGTTTGCGAACCGGATGTCTATGTCGACTCAGCTCATGGGGGATGGTTTGGGAGAAGCCAGACGACACGCAGTAGGGCCGGAGCAGAGCAGGATGGGTGAAAAGATGGGGGAAGTAGGAGCTGTTTGTATAATGCAACGCAGAGACGACAGAGGCAAGGGGTGTGTTGTTTTGTTTGTCGACGTAGCAGAGGTGGATTCAGCGATCAAGGGTCGAAACGGGTATTGTGGCCCTGGTTGCGCTGAAGATGCTGGTCGGCGGTCTGCTGGCTGGCTAGCTGTCTGCAGTGCGCTGGGATGATGAAATGCGACGAGACGAATTTTGGTAGGCGACGAGACACGCCCGTCGGAGAAACCTGGGTGGCACGGAACAGACGTCAGGCGTGGAATGTTCCGAGGGGACCCGCAGAGGTGGGGAGATCATCAATGATGGATAAGTGAATAAGCACCTCAAGTACGCTTATCGAGAAGCCTATCGCTCTATCCGTGGACCTTTTGCCGCTGACCGATTTCTCCAGGAGGGGCATTTTTCACCCCACGCTCGACCTCTTCTGCGCCGCCGCGTCTTTCTTGCTTCCTCTCCCCGTTAGACTTTCTCGAAATCGAAATCTGCGACGCCAGCCTTGCTACCCTCAGCACTCCACGCCCAAGTTGACCCACGTCCCAGATATCCACGACAACTCTTCAAAATGGGTGGCGCAAACCGCGAAGGTCAGTCTTTTGTTTCTGGTTCCTTCCTGTCTCTCGCATGCTGACAGACTCTCTGCAGGTGGCAAGGCCAAGCCTCTCAAGGCCGCGAAGAAGCAGAACAAGGACCTCGACGAGGACGATCTCGCCTTCCTCGAGAAGAAGCGCGCCGGTATGTTCCACCACGGAACGCCTCGATCGCGCAACCTACTAACGACGATGCAGAGGAGAAGGCTCGCAAGGACATGGCCGCCAAGGCTGGCGGCAAGGGACCTCTGAACACCGGTGCCCAGGGCATCAAGAAGTCCGGCAAGAAATAAGCAGCGTCTTCCCGTTCAAGGCGAGACAGGAGTTATCGCGAGGAGCCAGCCAGCAAGCGTGTTCTGCTTCCACTCAGACAGGCAGATTTTGCAGCAATTTTCCAGGCGGCTAGGCGGAGCGCATTCTTTTACATACCTACACGAGCATGCAATGAAATGATTAACGTACTCTTGCAAGTTTACTGCCAAAGAGAATAAACTCGAGCCGCCTGATGCGCTCCGGGGGTGCGTGGGGCATGGGTGATGCCAGCGCACGCTCGACATGTCTCTCATGCCTTGAAGTGCACAGCCAACACCACCTGAATCCTAGGGCGGTTTTGACTCAGTCGCGAGACTTGAGTTGACACAACATGCTTAAAAACCAAATGAACTGGGGGAGAAGGATTCTCATATGTTTTTTCCTTGGGGTGGTTGTCTGGAGTTGGTTCCCGTGCGAAACGTCCCGCGTGCAGATGCTGATCCCTTTACCCACAAGACCCTTCACACAGCACCTTGTCTCCATCCAGTGTCCGTCTCAGTGTGTCTCACGGCGCTGCACGCCTCTCACGTCCAAAGATGGTGCAAAAGAAGAAGAAAAAATGGGGGAACTGCTCCGCCGCGGTGGGCAGTCTCACCGACGGACCGACCCATGGGCGGTGACCTGCTGTCCGGGTGTCCGCCCCTCCACTTGGCGCCAGCTGAGAGTCCCCGATCGGAGCACTTTCAACGGCCTCGGAGCCGCTCCGTTGCCATCGTTTTTTCAGCATGTGGAAATCCCAACAATTCCATCGCATCCCACCCGTTAGGGACCCGCCGCAAGGGAACATCACCACCACGTATAAGCCCACTCATTCGCAACGGCTCATGATGAACTTCAACCCTGCACAACATACACTCGCTGCTTTCACGTCGACTACTTCACACTTATTGTCCACTAGACTGTCAATTTGTTCCATCTCAAAATCATCGCGATGACCGCAACCGCCGAGGGCTCCGGCCTCAAAAACCGCAAAGCCAACAACACAGACAGCAACACCAATGAGTCCCTCCTCGATACAGTAGAACACAAGGCCGCAGCCCTCGAACACAAAATCGAACGCGCCCTCCTCATCCTCTGGGACGACCTCCCCCACTGGCGCCGCGACAACGCCTTCATCATCTCCGGCTACCGCCCAGACTCAAACTCCTACCTCGGCTCCTTCAAAAGCCTGGGCTACCTCCACAACGAGTCCGTCAACATCTGGTCCCACCTCCTCGGCGCCGTCGCCTTCCTCTTCGGCGGGGCGTTCCTGTACACCGTCATCGCCCCCCGCTATGAGTCCGCATCGGCCGCCGACCTCTTCGTCTTCGCCTGCTTCTTCGCCGGCGCCGTGGCCTGCCTCGGCATGTCCGCCACCTACCACGCCCTCTGCAACCACTCCCCCGAGGTCGCGAAATGGGGCAACAAGCTGGATTACTCGGGCATCGTGTTCCTCATCGTCGGCAGCTACGTGCCGGCTCTGTACTACGGCTTCTTCTGTCACACCAACTTGATGAAGGTCTACCTCAGCACGGTACGCCCCCCATTCTCTCATATAAGTCACCGTTGACCTCGCTCACACCTCACAGATTGTCCTTCTAGGCCTCGGCTGCGGCATGGTCTCCTGGCTCGAGCACTTCCGCACGCCTCAGTACCGCACCTTCCGCGCCTGCATGTTCGTCGCCCTCGGCACCTCAGGCGTCGTGCCCGTCATACACGGCCTGACCGTGTACGGCCGGGCGGAGATGGAGAACCGCATGAGCCTGAGCTGGGTAGTCCTGCACGGCGCAATGTACATCTTTGGCGCGTTCTTGTACGCCGCGCGCTGGCCAGAGCGTAGTTATCCCCGCACCTTTGACATCTGGGGCAGCTCGCACCAGATCTTCCACTTCTTCGTGGTCCTCGCAGCGGCGACGCATTTGTACGGCATGGCGAAGGCGTTTGACTACCACCACACCGTCATGGGGTCTCAGTGTTAAAACCGATAGAGAAATGACGCGCAGTGTAGAGATAGAAGTAAATGTGTAAGGTAATAAAAGGGTATCATTTATGCCGAAGTCTAGCACTCTACGCCCAGATCCATCACCCTCACTAGGCCCGAGGCCATCGCCACTGCAGCCCAACACGAGGTCTCCTGGTTCGGGTTCCACGCCATAGTTGTGACTCTCGTCAACGCTTCCGAGAGAACGGCTCTCGTCGGATCAGCAAAGTGTCCGTCGCCCTCCTCCTGGCCGCCCTGCACGTCCGCATCCTCTTCTTCCTCCACTGCACCAGCCTTGGCTTTGCCCTTAGCTTTCCCCTTGGCCTTTCCCTTGCCTTTCTTGTCCTTCTTCTTGTTGGTTGCGACCTTGCTCTTCCATGTATCCACCTTAGGGTTGACATTGGGAACCGGGCGGAAGCCTTGCAAGATCCTTGACACGCCGCGACATCCCTGCTCGTTGCCATTCACTTGCTGGACCGATGGTGGTAGCCTCTCGCGCGGGATGTATGTGTGCTCCAACACCTTGATCTTGTGCCCAAAGTGATGCTTTGAAGCAAAGATCCTGTTCCCGGGATTCGCGGCCCAAACCGTTCCGTCGAGGTATCCAACCAGCACGAATGGGTGGTGCAGGCCCACCGCAAGACATGTGGGCAGCCTGTCCCCGTCCATGACCTTCCGCACCTGCGCCGCGTACCATCTCGAGTGGATGAACCCGACTGACGCGTTCAGCGGGTTCGCAGAGGGCACCGTACTAAAGAATCCTCTAAGATGATCATTCCACTGCAGGAGGTTCGGCTGCGGGCTGATAGCGAAGCAGGGGAAGCTCGTTCTTTCACAGGATGGGTCGGACAGGTCGACGAGAGTGGTGTAGCCGGCGATTGGGGTCGAGGCGACGAGGTATGGGTTTGACGGGTAGGCGGTGTCGATGTGCATCACGTAGGTGGAGTGCACGTCGTGACGGGACAGGCAGACGCGCGGGGCGATAGACCATAGGGTGAGAGAGCCGTCGGAGTGACCTGTTACGAGGCGGTTCGTGGTGACCCAGGCGAAACAGGTTACTGTGACGTTTGTTTCCGAGGGGAGGCCCAGGGATACGATCTCGTGTTCGAGTTTTGCTACTAAGTGTTAGGATATTGCTTCCGCAAAGAACAGAGTGACTTACTGAAGGAGTCTTGCTCGTCATCATCGATGTCCTTGATTGAGACGACATGGACTTGACCATCGCCACAGAGTAGTGCCATCAGACCCAGTGAGCCATCGTCCGTGAATGGGATGGGACACCACTTGATTCTCTTAACTCTTCCCCATTCCGAACAGACAGTCCGGGCCAGCTTTGCAGAGCGGTTCTGCGGGTATAGCATGCCGTTCTTGTCCGTCCGACCGTGGAGCTCCCACAGCTGTATAGTGCCCTTCTGCTCATCAACGGCATCCTCGGCATCGAGCTGCTGGTCAGTGTGCGGACTGACAGCGAGCGCGAGAATCTGCGAGTCCCCTTCTCCTCTGAGAGCCCAGTCCATACCGATCACAAGGCCACCAACATCGAACATCCACCCAGCCACCTTCTCATCCGCCTCTCCTTCCATGGGCAGCCCGAATTCAGAAAGCACCAAGAACTCATGTGGCGCAATCTTCACCTCCTTCTGCTCCGGGTACGGTCCAAGAACCGTTTTTAATTCGCCGTCGGGCTTCACCCTCCACTCCTCAGCCTCCTCACGACTCATCTCCCTCTCCGCGCCCGTCACCCCCTCTCCACCGCTTACCCTCGCAAACCACACTTTCGAGACTTCAGCTTGCTCCTCCAAATGCCCCTCCTCAAGCCAAGGACTCGACACAGGACAAGCATCGCCGCCAGGCACCTTACTCGGCAAGACCCCGTACGCCGCCCACCGACTCAACAACCATCCCGCAATCCCGATCGCTTCCTCATCAGGCCCGTAAAAGTAGTCCAAGATCTGATTCCTCTGACCGCGTTTCAGCGCGCCGGTGTAATACCGTGTCGGGCGCCCGTCGGCATGGTACTTCTCCAGCGCCGCCATGTCCGTCTGCCGTTTGCGCAGGCCGGCTGAGCTGGTGTACGCGGGGCGTTCGTCATCCTCATCGTCGAAATCCCGGTTGCCCGCGTCAATTGCAAGTGACGACGGGTCTTCTGCCTCAAAATCATCGTCGCCGCCGCCGTCGAGGTCCATGCGGTCGTCTTCATCGTCTTCCGGGTCAGGTGGGGGCGCCTCAAAATTGTCATCATCGGGGTCCTCGTGGGCCTCGGGCGGCTCGCCGTCCGAGCCGTAGTCTATGACGGCTACGCGCCGCGTTTTGTTTCGGGGGCGCGTTCGCACCATGGTGGTGATATGATGAGGTTGCTGTCGTTTGATGATGTGAAAAAGATTCGCTTGAGGTGAAGTTTGACGCGCGAGGTGGGTGCACAGTGTGTACAGTGCAGACGAGCCTTACTAATATTTGATCAGGGCGGACTTGGTCGCCTGGCTCTTGCTTTCTACTTGGGGACGTACAGTGTTCTAATCCTGTTTCTGCGCACGGCCAGTCCGAATGCCCATGAGAGCCTCGATGAATGTGATTTCGAAGATATGAGAACTTCCTTTCGCTCCAGTGCATCATAAGACTCCTCGACTCAATCAAATGACTGAGGCTCATATCTTTCTGGCCTCCTTCTTTCTTCCCGCAATCTGTCACGCATTTCAACTGCAAGCTCTCATCACGTCTTGATGGTCGTCAAACAATGATCCTCATTCAAAGTGAGCGAGCATTCTCAAGGTTTTCACTTCCTTCGTAAGCTTCGTCTTATAAGACAAGGGCTTAGCTATGGCCATACACGACTTTGGGCTTATATAACGCCTCCAGGTATTTCTCGTCGCCTTCATCAAGTACCTTGCCTGATGCCCCAAGAGCGTCGTCCATCTTTTCGATAGTTGTGAAACCCACAATCGGACTGCATACCCTTTTGTTGATCCATGCGAGCGCAACGTGGCTCATGGGCCATTTGTTGCTTTGTGCGACCTCCGCAACTCGAGATATGATGCTGGTATGAGGCTCAACGCGTCCCAGAGAAAGCCCGAATTTGCTCTCAAACTCCTCTCTTTTACTCATATAACGATCTGTGACAGAAGGCAGACGAGTGAGGCAGCCATTGCACAGAGGAGACCAAGGAATGAGCCCAATTCCCGTGTCGTTACAGAACCGGATCATCTCCCTTTCTTCCTCTCTGTAAACAAGGTTGTAGCAATTCTGCATGCTGACGAATTTTGTCCAGCCATGAAGTTCTGCAACATGCTTGGGTAGCACTACGTCAGCTTTGCTTCGCGGGTGCAACCCAGAAGATCACGAAAACCTACTTGCATTCGAGCGAACTGGCATGCCCACATACTACTGGCACCTATGTAGCGCACTTTTCCCATCCGGACGAGGTCATCTAAGGCCTTCATCGTCTCCTCAATTGGAACATCTGGATCAAAACGATGGACTTGCAGGACATCGATGTAAGTTGTATCCAGCCTGCGAAGCGACGCGTCGACGGCGTTGAAGATGGCCGGTCTCGAAAGTCCGAACATGTTCTGATAGTCCTTCGACTTCTCCACGGGCATCATGGCGTGCTGAACAGATTGGTCTTCGCCAACAGCCCAGAAACACTTCGTAAGAAGAACAACTTTCTCTCTCGGAATAGCATGCTTCTTGATAGTCTTTCCGATGAAGATTTCTGACAATCCATTCGAATAGATATTTGCCGTGTCCCAGGTGTTGATGCCGCGGTCATATGCGGCTTTGAGAAGAGATATTGCTTCTTCTTCACCCAGGACCCATGGGCGAATGCCTGTAGGATCTCCGAAGCCAGCGCAGCCGAGAATAGGAACAGAAACGCGTAATCCCGATCTGCCCAACTGTCGGTATTCGCACTTCGTTGAATTCAGCGAGCTTGCCAAGCTGATAGGAAGCGGTTTTTGTGATGTGCTCATGATGCTGTGGCGAGGACCAAATGTTCAATGTGCTCAGATTTGTCTCATTGATTGATCGTTGGCTTATTACGATATGTCGCGTAGGGGGCCTGCAATGATGAGATTTCTTAAAGCAGAGTCAAATGGCTCTGAACATTGTCATAACACCTCCGGTGAGAGAACGAAGAAAGCTAACCACTACATTCTTTCCCCTCTCGACAAATGAATAATGAGACAGCGCACACCGTTGAACACAGTTACTCTCTCGCGGCCGCTGGCTTTGACTAGGATGAACGCCAATTTTCCCGTATCGCACGCGGTCATCCTTTTCAACATCCGGGCACCGAACCAGAAGTCATGGCAGCCTTGAACTTGATTCAGTCCATCGTATTTCCGAGAGACTTTCGGATCCTCAACAGAGTTCCCGGTAAGTACATGTTGGACGAAAATCAGATGGCAACCCCATCTCTTGAGCTTCTTCTTATCGGCCTAGAGGCAGGTTCCGCGGAGAAAGAATTTTCGTTTCAAGGGAAACTGTAATTCCACGATGCATCGCTTTGTTGCATACAACAAAGTTGCGCGGGTGAGAGTGGGGCTAACGCGAGGGGATCGCATGCGTTTGCTTTGACTCTGTGCCGAACCTATTCCGAAGAAAAAAGCCCGAACTTTTGGATTGAACCATTTCGAACTATCTTCAAGTAAAAACACATGAGCCGAGCACCACGTATCAAAGTATTCCAAACACATGGCTAATGCATGGCCAAAGCAAGCACGCCCCAAAACATCAGCCCTGCTGTACTATGCATGGTCCAGGCACGTACTCTTGGACAGTCAGGGACGACATCGTTGTTCCAGAAGAACGAGAAAGCTTACCGAACGCCTACGGAGGCTACGGAGGATCCTAGTTGGCCAACTCCGGGGAAGGCTACGAGAACCTTACTGTATGCGCATCGGAAAAGTCTTCCCATAGATTTATACGATGGGCCGCGTGGATGTAGTGGCTTTTAGCCAAGCATTACTACTAGAACACTTTGTCAGTCACTAAGATCACCCTCTGAGGAAAAAGCAAACAAAAACTTTCGGTAGCGCCGAGAAATCATACTCGCACCGTTCTCAAATCATTGGAGGATCATTACGTCAACAAGGCAATCAACTCTCGCATCATGGATGCTATTTGGGAATATTCTGTCGATATTGACGCTGAGGTGGCGGCATCCACTGGCTGCTTCACAACACTACCAATCCGCATTCATCATAGAAATGATCTTGCAGATGACGCCACCAAACAGTCGATTCTGGACTGGGGTGCTTATATTGGCGACGGCTGGGAGCACAAGTCCGGTTCATCTTGGAGTCCCGTCGGAAACTGGGGGGCTTTCATCTTCCCAGAGTCTCTCCCTGAACGTTTGGGAGTCATCACATACTTGGCTAACATGGGAAACATCCACGACGGTTAGTTTGTGTTGTCTCTGAAAATTTCCGCACTCCCAAATCTGATCAGTCAATTCGCAGATTTGTGCGACGAGCTCCCATATGAGGAAGCTCTCAAAGAACACAAGAGTCTTAGTCAGGCCATGGAAATAAGCGCAGTGGACACTCGGAGCAGTTCTAAGGCTGCTGATCGCTCCATGAAAATGAAGCGTTACATATCAAAATGTCTTCTTGAGGCAATGGAGATTGATCGACCTCGGGCCTTACGCATGATCAACACATACCGATCTAAATGGCTGGATGTGATGGAAAGGAGCGATGTGAATGAAATAACCAGCCTTGAAGAGTATCTGATCTTCAGAAACCTGAATGGGGGCATGGAGTGAGTACACGTATCAGCGTAAGCATGGTGGGAAAAGGCTAATATTTTGTAGGGCATTCTGGAGTATGGTAGAGTTTGGGATGGCAGTCGACATTTCAGAACAGCAGAAAACGGCTGTTCGTCCAATTTTCCAAGCGGCTGAATCGGCCCTTGTGTTGACGAACGACTACTGGAGTTGGGACCGCGAGTGGCGCCAAGCTCAACAGACGGAGGATCCTAGAATTGTCAATGCCGTCTACCTATTCATGAGAACTCAAGGTCTGTCCATGGAGCAGGCCAGAGAGACCGTTCGCCAGAAGATCATAGATTACGAACAAACTTTTGCGCGACTTAGGGCTGAGTTTCTCGGGGAGAATCCCAATGCCGACTTGAATCTCAAGAAGTACATCGAGGTTTGCGGAGCGATTGTTGCCGGTAATCACTACTGGTGCGCCAATTGCCCTCGACATCATGCATGGCGCGACGATGAAAGTCTGCACAGCGACGGTAGCTTCTCATCTTCGCCAGTCCGCGATGTCGCTATTCAGTCTTCAGTTTCTTCTCCGGGACCATACATCTCAAGTGTCACCTCGCACAACTCATATCCGACGACGGATTTGGCGCTTTCCGAGCCTCTTGCACTCACAGCGGATGAGAACAAGACTTCGTCATCACTAAGCAACCGAGCTTTGATGGCTCCATGCCAGTACATACGCTCTATGCCATCTAAAGGCTTACGGTCACTGATGGTTGAGGCGCTGGATCAGTGGTTGCTAGTGGATGACGAGTCGCTTGAGACTATCAAGAAGATTATCGACCTGTTGCACAATTCCTCACTCATCCTAGATGACATAGAGGACAATTCCCCTCTCCGCCGAGGTCTACCAGCAACACACATGATATTTGGACAAGCGCAGTCAATTAACACGGCAAATTTCATGTTTGTTCAGGCCGTCCAGCTTACCCGAACGCTCAATAATCCCGAGTGCCAGGAAACACTCTTGACTCAACTTGAGCATCTCTTTATTGGTCAGAGCTGGGATCTTTATTGAAAGTTTCATCTCCAAATCCCCACAGAGCAAGAATACTTCGAAATGATCGACTCAAAGACAGGCGCAATGTTTAGTCTTCTGACTCGACTAATGCTTCAAGAAAGCTCCATTGTCACTGGAAGTGACACAGCTCAGTTACTAGTCAAGATGTGCCATCTCTTTGGACGATTCTTCCAGATCAGGGATGACTACATGAATTTGCACTCCAGCGAGTATTCCGATCAGAAAGGCTTTTGCGAAGATCTCGATGAGGGCAAAATGTCTTATCCGCTGATTTTGGCTCTGCGACAGAACCCCGAGCATCAGGATCACATCATGGGCATTTTTAGACAGCAAGCCGCGAACATGTCTCGTAACAACTCTGCAGACCCTCCGAGGTTGCCTCATGAGACTAAGCGGTACATCATTGGGCTTTTGAAGAGCTCCAATGCCATGGCTCTGTCGTTGAAGAGATTGAAGGAACTTGAGGCGGCAGTTGAGCAAACAATTGGCGAGGTCGAAAACGCATTGGGGGATAGTAACCCAGTGATGCGAATTCTTCTTGGTAGACTGAGTTTGAGGGATATCATTGTTTGAAGACCGGATGTATATTTTTTTTCCACGAAACGAAAATCGGTTCTTTTGCTATTTATAGGTAGAAATCAGGATCTCACAATTTTCGCGGAGAAAAGATACTTTTAAATGGCCAACATCAAGTTGAAAGTTTGAAGTTCATCATGACCAAGTGAAACCTTCTGAGTACTAATGGTTGATCATTGTGCACAAACAGAAGACAATGACTGTCGTTAATGTTTTCGTTTTCTTTGCTATCCATATTACAAGTTTGGGTAGTATGAGTACCCGTGGATTACCCATGGGTACTGGTAGTTTTGGGTACTACCCATACGGGTGGGTACGCATGGGTTTATTGCTACTCTAGTCACGACCAGTCAACAATGAACATACTTAACAGATGTAGAAACGACGTCAATTGAGTCTATTCAATTGAGCCTATATTTCATGATTCTACACTTTTCAAACCTCAAGCCCCTTAAACGGGAGGTAGCGCACATGGAATGGCGCGGCCTTCCAAAGTCCCAACAAACGCGCATCTCGGACAAAATCCTCATGTTCCCTCACCTGTCCCCAATCAAAGCTCCAAGCCAATTTAGCAACACAAATTCGAATCTCCATATATGATAGGTGAATGCCAATGCAGGATCGTGAGCCAATAGAAAAGGGCTTGGAAGCCTCTTTCCGGTCATTGGAGAAGACGGGCTCATAGTATGGGTGCTCGTGAGATAGCCATCTCTCTGGATGGAATTCCTTGGCTTTGTAAAACCATCTCTCGTCACGAGAAGTTACATGTGCTGCGGTGGAAATAACAGTCTAAACCCGGCTTGTCAGTAAGGTTATTACCAATGGTACTAACGAGGCAGATAGACTCACCCCTTTTGGTATCCACTCTCCTGTCACCTTGGCCCCTGGGCTGACTCTGGGCAGACCAAATGGAGCAGGAGCAAATACACGCATGCCCTCCTCAATAACTGCGTTTAGATACGTCAATGATTTCGTTGATTCACCGTCGATCTCAGTGTGCTGCCGAAAGGTATGTCGAAGCTCATCCTGAAGTCGATGCAAGGCTTGCGGATTTTGAAGCAGATAGTAGGTGAGCGCAGACATGAAGGTTGACGTGGTCTCGGTACCAGCAGCAACCAGCGTGGTGCCTTGAGACGCGAAGAAGTCAATATTTGCTTCAGGAGCTTTGTCGCGTAACAAGTGGCTGAAGAAATCAAAACGTTCTACATCTGCTCCCCTCTGAAGCCGGCGACTAGCTTTTTCTCGGGCGTTGGCGATATACTTAGTTCGCATCGCTTTGCTCTTCTCATTTACAAGACAGGATCGTACGAAATCTTGCAGTGCTTTCCATCGACGACGAACTACGTAGCCCAAGGCTATTTGGAAACCGCTGTTGGCTAACATGTTGATCCAATCATTGCCCTGGCCTGTGGTTCATGCATTTAGCTTTTAGGTTCCAATACTGTCAGCTTACAGAAGCTCACCTAGTTCAACTGTCCCAAGCTCCTCTCCAAAGGAAAGGTCAACAATCACGTCGAATGCAAGCCACATGAACCATTGGCTCATGTTCATGCCTTCTGGGCTGGCCCCGTGCTTCGAGACTTGGTCGAGTAGAGAATCGATATGCCGTATGATGATATCGCTTTGCTTTCTTAGAGCGCTCGCACTGAAGCCGGGCGCCAAACGTTTCCGAATGGTTTGGTGTACATGCGGGTCAACTTCGGTGCCGATGGACCCGCCGACGTCAGTTTGCTTGTAGAAAGTTGTGAACTTCCTAAAGAACTGAGGATGGTTGATGTTTGACTGCCCATAAATGTCTTTGATCGATTGCGGATGCGCGCACGATAATTCGTTTGGACCGATGCGGACGATGTCGCCGTATTTAGCGTGTAAGGCCTCTACTTCCCAAGGCCAGTTACCCGATATCCTGAAAGATGTAAGCGATGAGAATGAAATGGCGTATTTGAAAGGTCGATGTTACCATTGGCGCGAAATCCATAAGTCCTGAGCACGGCCTGAATAAGGGCCTTCAGTGATGTCAGTGATGTCAGTGATGTAGTGTAGTGGTAATCCACCACCACTTTACTGACCGGGAAACCTGGAGAGTGGGTGAAGGTAAAGATTGTAAATGGTTGATGCAAGCAAGTAAGTAGCAACCTGTCTCAATTAGTGTTGGTCTATGAGAATACTCAGACAAAGCTGCTGAGGTGCAAGATGTGACATACCAGGACAAGAGGCAGAACTGCCGCCTGGATAACGAGGAGAGCTCCCATCGTAAGCATCTTGTCTCACAAAGACTGCAGGGGTTGCGCTGTGAGAAGCAATTTTGGATTACACGAACCGAGAGTGATGGTCGGATTGTCAGAGTAAGGAAGTAGGAAGTTGCACAAGAATATGACTATACGGCTTGAAAGACACGGATAAACGGCGTCACATGTGAATAATTTCATTTAGTTATTCAAGATGTGGAGCCGACCTAAAAGTTCGTGTTATCACACAATCTTGAAGATTGAGAAGCCGACGAGGCTACAGATCTCCAAAACATTCGCGAAACTTCAACATATCTCAAGGATACTGGACGAAGCTTAGCAGACTATGTGAACTGCTGAGTTTGGAGGTGGGTTATAGAATGAGCTGTTATTCGGAGGTTTTTAACAATACTAGTACCTTGTCTTTGCCTCGTGAAAAGGGAGATCAGTTGAACTGCGATGTGTAATCCAAGATGCATGCCCAATGTGGCATCTTAATCCCGAGGTTGACCCAAGCACGGAAAAGAAAAACCGAAAACTGCAAGGCAGTCCTTGCGGCAAGCTGTGCCGAGTCATTCGGACGCGTGGTTGGTGACAGCTTTCATGCGGCGTACCTTAAAACTACCGCGGGTTCGGTACAGCGGTAAAGCTGACCTTCGGATGATCTTAATGGATTCCAAGTTTTGCAATTACCCGAGGAGTTCATTGCCAAGGATATTGAGAATAGCCAAGTGAAACTCGCGGTGTATGCACATCGAAACTCTCGTCGGGGAAAGCACTGCAAAGTCCGCAGAATAAATGAAGAAGTTTATTGGATACCAGCTGCAAACCTAAGAGTCTGGGTCCCTCAGGAATTCCAGAAAGACGGCATGCGAAGATATTCCTTCGAAGCTCTACAGTTCATGAAAGCCCTCGAGCATTTTCTTTAGTCAACCTCCAAAGAAACTAGCTACCAGTCCTACAATCAAGTACCACAGGCATACTGAACCTCACAGATTTGCAAAATCGCCTGCGCCACAAGATGCCTCAATTTAGCAAGTTCAATATTCGCTCCAAGGACTACGAGGCGCTGCCTACGGCAGACTCAGAGAAGGACCAGCATGGAAGCCGATCTAGCGAAGAGTCCGACGTCCCATTGATGGAAAGAGAGTTGAATGGAGCTAAGAAGATATCTCGAGTTCAACGAGCTTTCACGACATTCAAAGAGGCAATGAAGAGCCCGATGTTCATGATCAGCTTCTTGCTTTTTCAAATTGGTGTCAGCAGTCTGTTTCTTGCTTGGCAGCACTCTCACCGCTTCAACGCGAGACTGAAAGATATCTCGATGCATTGTGAGTACATCCTCCATTTTGTATTGTAGGTGCAGAGTCTGATTGAAGCAGCCCCGGTGCTGGATAAAATCGAAATTCCCTTGGTATTGCGTAAAAGCTACGCACAGTACGGGATGGGCGGCCCGGAGATCTGGCGCGCAGAACCTAGCGAAGAGGTTGACAAGGCATGGGAACGTGTAACAGCAGAATATCTGTTCCCAGTCAAGGAGGCAGATATCATTGCTATGCGGAAGGACCCCTCTGTCGTTGTGCCGATGCCCGAAAAGTACCACGTCGATGGCGAGACAACGTATATGGCAAAGTCGGCGATGTATCACAACATACATTGCCTTGACTATATCAGAAAGGTTATTCTTTTATGTGCCATCGAAGTCAAGAAAATGCTAACATTAAAAAGGCTGTTTATTATGACCATTACTACCCGAACGGTACCGACGACAATCCGTTTCACGCATACCACACTGCACACTGCATCATGATTCTATTTGAGCACCTGACTTGCCATAATGTTCGTTCTACCAACCCCCAGTCAACTGGCCCACACAATCTGACTGATTACTTTGCAGGATCCTGGTGTTTACTTGTTCCGTTGGATGGAAGAGTTCAACCGCCCGATTGCAGACACTAATATTTGGCGGAAGTGTTGGGACTTCGAGAGTGTGCTCCAAGAGCACAATGAACTTGCTGTCAAGGATATGATGGAGACCGATGTGAGGAAGCCAAAGGGGGTAAAAACGGTACCGGCTCCGGAAGGCGTGATGAAAATTATTCGGAACTACCAGAAGACTCACCCTGATTATAACCCCGGACAATAGATCATAAAATAAGTTATCCCTCCTAGACAAGCCCAAAATTGACCTTTTTTCACGATGCATTCTTACTCCCTTGACATAAATATAATGGCTTCTTCATACAATATCCCATAACTTCTCATCAATGGAGGGTCGTGATTACCTATGTTTCATTCATAGCAAGCGATGCGATTGATTAATTGAACCTTACAGTTTCTGACTGCCCAACGCAAATCGCATTCTTCCGAGCACAAACCTTTCCACATATTATGCTTCATGTCCGCAAGTAGCGCAACGTAAGGTTAAACCTTCTCATTTTTAATTGTAGGAATCTATCTGATGGATTATCTACAAGCTATAGGAGTTGTCTGACCTCAGCGAAACATCTGTAGTCTGTCCAAAGATACGAGTTAGATACGTCACTATCCCAATCATATTGTCCCACAGCCTCTAGGTCGAGGTCGCAAACCATTCCTGCAATTATGAATCGCATGGACTGCAGAGCGACGGCCCTGCCAATGCACATTCTCGGACCAAGGAGAAATGGGCAATGAGAGGACCGGATGTCGTTGGCAAACTCTGTACCCGGTCCATTGTCAAACCACCTTTCAGGACAAAAGGAATCAGGCCTGGACCAGTAATGAGGGGATCTTTGAATGGTATACATGTCGGCGGAAACATTCACGCCCTTAGGGACATAAATGCCATCGATGAAAGTGCCAGGCGATGTTCTGTTAGTGCCTTTGCCATTTGCCGGAGGGAAGAGCCTGAGAGCCTCCTGTATACAACCATTGAGCAGCGGAAGCTGGGACAGGGATGCTGCGGTCATCTCATCGAATGAAGTGAAGTGACTTTGAAGTTCCTTTTTGAGCGCCTCCAGATAGTGCGGATTGCGTAGTAACAGGTTCATAGTAGCAGATAAGGACGTAGCGGTCGTGTCATATCCAACCATACTGCGAGATTAATATTAGCACGAATAATGTATGGAGTTTTGCAATCTTACACGAGAAGTGAGGCGTTACTTTGGAGCTCTTTATCTGTCATGCTTATGCCTAGTTCTCTGCATCTCATGATCGCGGTCAAAAAGTCTTCATTTTCATCTTGGCGGTCAAGCCGTCTACCAGTCAATTGCGTTAGAGAAAATTGATAAGTGAACAAAATGAAAGTTCACTTACTTTCGGAGCTGTGCAGAAGGCAAGACCCTGGTCGGAAGCCAGAAAAGTAGGGGCACCAAATTCACACAGGCTTTTGCAAAAGCCTGTGCTCCTGGTACAGCTAGCAAGACCTGCAAAGCCTCGAGCAATGGGCTGACTGCGCAGAATGTTGTTTTGAGTGTCTCGAATTTCACTTTGTCGCCGTTAGTTGGTGTTATTATCTCAGAGAATGGAGGTCCTCACCAAGCTGATCCTTGAGCAACGGCTCGCCGAATGATAAATCACTGATAATATCCCAGATGGCTTGTGACATCAATGGAGTCAAATCTATGCAGCTTCTTTTTGCAGCAGATTTTCTGATGTTTGAAATCATGACGTACGCATGGGCTTTCTGTATGCTTTCTTGAGAACGTAACGCACTGCTTGTGAACGCTGGCTGCAGGGCCTTTCTCAAGCGTTGGTGCTCTTGAGGATCTGTGACTGTAAGAAGATTCGTTGCTGGCCAGATGATATCACCCATCATGGCTTCCAGTGTTCCTTCTTTGGTGAAAAATGCATACTCTTTCGCTGAGCCTCCAGGCCTATGAATTGCAATTTGGGCCGCTATAGTAGCAAAAGAAAGCTCAGTAGGCGAAAGACGAACGACAGGGCCTGAAGCGTTAGCAGGTTCTAGTGGAAAAAGACAATAAGAAACGTACCATATTTCTCATGCAGCGCTTTGATATCATGATTGAGGCGTCTCCGGTACACAGCGCCCATAAGCCATAGCTATTTGGTAATCAGGAAAAGCCCTTGTCAAAGATTCGAAGACGAATTCTTGGAATGGCTTACTGGAGATATTTTGGCAAAGAATGGCCCCGGAACCTTAGCAATGGGGCTGAGATAGAGATTGTAAAGCACTGAGTATACCAGGCTGAAAACAATCTGTTTATCTGATGAGTTCTTGGGTCAATCAACATTCAAGTTCGACTTACCAATGCGTAAAGCCATTTCAGAGTTGCAGGATGGTCGACATATTGTTCAGATATGGGACTCAAAATGAGACTACTGCTATTGGGGACATAACGAATTTCGATAGAAGTGTATCTGGCAATTGGTGAATTCATCATGTAAGCTGAGGGTAACACAGATTGACCTCTTCTCACATTCTCATTCCAAATGAGACAAATGAAATCACTTATCTTACATCTACATACCGCGAAATGAACGGGCATACGACTATGAACAGCTTGATCTGACAACACACCCAGGACAGCCGCCTACGAGCCCGGTCCGAGAAGGGACTGGGATGGTGGCATCACCATCCCATGGAAACTGGTTGAAACAACGGGGCAAATACTTCGGACATTTCTCTACATAATAAACAGTGAGTCATTCTACTCGTGCCCGTAGCTCACCTAGATCAGCTACTGATAGGATTGAGTTTCCGCTGACATGATCACGGTGCAAATCGGGGCCATAGCTCTGGGCCATATGGGAGGGGCAAAAACGTGGATGTTTACGAGGCTATGAAACATTGGTTGGTTTCTTCTGGAACTAAAAGCTAAAGAGTAGAATATCTCATGAATTCCGACTAAGACCGAGCCCGGCTTTGCCGATGATTCAAAATCCGCCGGCAAGGTGATTAGCTATCGTAATTCTCAACACTTCTATGAATTGATTCATACTTTCTTCGCTGTGAAAACCAGGGTTGTAGCTTAGCGTGAAACACAAACGGCCGCAGTAGGTATAACAATATACGCCGATCGCCGTGGTGAGGTGACCGAGACTGAGCCAGAAGTCCACAATCTCGATGGTCCCATGGCATGGCTGCAGCCAAGAGTCCAATTTCCCAAGACCGCTATATTCTACTTGAGATCTAGCAACTTGTTGAGGCTGTTGCTGTTGGACGTTTGCTCCACTTGCATTTACAAGATCAAGCATTGGCTGTGAAATATGCAGAGCTTCGGGGTCACTCTGGAAGTGTTGACGTTGTTCCTGAATCTGCCTCGCTGCGTCCAGAAGTGACGATGGATTGCAGACATATGCCGGGCATGCGACGAAGTAGATTGTGGCTGCGTGTTGTTGAGAACTGGAGTCGGTCATGCAGTTGCTCCTGGCATCAAAAGTAACACCTCCTAGCCAATTGCCGTGAACGTTGCCAGCAAGCATCTTTGCAGTCATGACGGTGGCCCCTGTCATCAGGTCATTGACGGAAACATTGCTGGTCTTGGCGGATGTGAACACATCCAAAGACTCCTTGGTTGTCAGTGTAAGTCGAATAGTGCCAACCTCACCGACCCCAGGTCCAGAACGGTCTGCGGATATGCACAGCAGATGAGCAGATCTAGCCTTCCATTCTTGCAGCATCTGCGCAGTCCATTGTTTTATCCGAGGTGATGCCTTTCCAATATCCGCTGCAACTTCCAGCGGGCGTGACAGCCGGTCTGATTGCGTGTCGAACTTTGGTGCGGATGGGAATGCCATGTACTCGCAAAGTGTATTCAATAACATCAACATCCCGTGAGCATCGGCGTGCTCGTGCGATGCACAGAGGAGTAGTTCCTTGGTGCAAGGTAGGAAGTGTAGACGGACGTCGGAGTTAGGTTGTATTTTCCGTGATAAGGATAAAGCTGAATTTTCTGTGCGGTGAACGGAGAATGTGTTTGATACCCAAACATCCGAACTTTCTGGCTGAATAATGGAGTATTCCATGCGACTGCCTCTGGCAGTGGCGGCTATGGAGGGCTGCGCACAACGTAAGGCGATCCAAGCTTGCCGAGCTCTAGACTCGGCGTCGACATCTGACAACGAGTACCGAAGTTGGACAGCAAACATCATGTAGTAATTGATCTTGCCCGGGATGCCATAGACCTGACGCAGAACGAGCTTTTCTCTGGCATCTTGCTCTCGGGAATACCGTCCTGGTGCGTCGAGCCTCCACTCACAAGGATGGTGGTCGGAGGCAACGCAGTTATCGGCCATCATAGGTTGCAAAGTGTCGTGTTTCAGCCCAGCAAGATAAAGTGTAGGTGTGGATAAGTCAGTAAACAAGCTGCCGACCCCGGCAAAACAGGCAATCTTTATAGGGGATTCTTGACCTGGCGATGGAGGGTTTCCAGCTTTGCCTCGTAAAAGCGGGCAAATTGACCCCGAAATATCATCACAGTGCTGATGGATAGAAGCCTATTAGAGTTTCAAGCAACAGCCAAAATTGATTGAGTTTGTTGCGATTGCCGCGCAAATGCGCATGATTGGACGCTTCGTCTCAAAGGGAATTGCTTCGGAAGTGCTCAAGGAGTAGTCCGACCTACGTCTTCCTGCCATCCGATGCGGAAGTTTCCTGTTGTGGTGCCTCCCAGTTTCCCCTCTCGATAACTTCATTGTTTCTGCGCTCTCGCACCATTGCCACCTTTTGCCAATCACAAGACGTTCGGTACACCAGTAATCATGAAGACAATGAAGACTCGATTGACAGAAGACAACACCGTCATAACAGCTGTAGCGGGTGAACAGGAAAATAACTGCCACAGACAATGGTGGAAAGACAGCGGTTTGACAGAGCTGAACTTAAGGCTATTGCCTATCTTTCTTTCCCCCGTGATGATAGGGTATGATGGTGCACTCATTGGCGGATTATTGACGATACCTCAATGTAGGTGCACTTTAACAATGCCATTGGTTGCAGTCAAGGAGACAACTGACATGACACAGGGTACAAAGGTAAAGTGCTATCTCAGCCATATCTGTGAGATGGTTCTAAGAGAATGTCAGATCTGGGGTTTTCGCCAAAGGACACAAATCTCACAGGAATCATGGTTGCTGGCTACTCCATCGGCGGCGCTTTAATGTTTTGGGTAGTGAGCTTATTAGGGGACATTGTTGGGCGACGAAAGGTCATTATGATAGGAGATGCGGTAATGATTGCAACAGGTATGTTCCGGGACATCGATCACGATTGAGCGGCACAAGGTAACCTCCCGGCAGCTGTTGGGCAGACGTTCTGCTATGATGCGCGTCTGTACGTTATGACGCGATTTCTGGTGAGTACCTGATCGCATTCTCAAGAAGAATGCTAATAGAGAAAAGATGGGCGTTGGCGGAATTACAATCGTCTGCTTAGGCCCTGTCCTGTTGACAGAACTCGCCCACCCACGACAGAGAGGCTCTCTGGTCGCAACTTACTCCTCATTCTTTTATGTAGGCGCAACAGGTCAGCTGGCATATATATCTTGGAACTGCTTCAAGGAATAACAGTCTTCTAGCATCGGCATGGTTCACTTATGGCAGCCTTCATCTCAAGAGTGAGTGGAGTTGGCGCCTGCCAGTTGTCGTCCAGGTTGTACCTCCTCTGCTGCAATTGCCGTTGATGATGCTCGTACCTGAGTCTCCGCGGTGGCTTGTAGCTAAAGGAGACGCGACAAAGGCCCGTAGGATCCTGGCAAAATACCATGCCAATGGTTTCGAGTCGGATCAGCTGGTGCAAGCCGAATATGACCAGATCTGCTGCAGCCTCGAGAATGAGAAACATCAACAGAAAGCTTCATGGTTAGCGTTTTTCCAGACCGCTGGAAATCGAAAACGTCTTTTCATCGTGGTTGTTACCTCGCTGATGTCTCAATGGAGCGGGGGTGGAATCATAACTTATTATTTTGCCGCTGCGCTCAAGTCTGTTGGCATCAGGCAGCCCTTGCAGCAAGCTGGCATCAACGGTGGGCTTCAAACCTTCAACTTTGTGATCGCTCTACTCAGCGCAACCATTGTCGATAAGGTAGGGCGGCGAGTTTTGTTCATATTTTCCACAGTAACCATGCTCTTGGCTATGGTCGGCCTCACAGTTGCGACGCAGCAATTTTCGGTCACGTCAAGAAGCGAAGCTGGGTCTGCGGTAGTTGTGATGTTTTTCATCTTTCAGTTTGGATTCGACAGCGGATATGCGCCGTTAGGAACAACCTATCTTGCGGAGATATGTCCTTTCTACCTGAGAGCCAAAGCAGTTGCTCTCCACTACTTTATAACTATGGCCAGCGCCGCTGCTGGGCAATACGCCAATCCTGTGGCAATGGCAGATTTGGGATGGAAGTACTATCTGGTGTATGTTTCGATTCTTCTAGTGGGGCTTGTGGTTGCATGGATTTCATTTCCGGAAACAAAAGGTTACACTGTGGAAGAGATCACAAAGATTTTTGATACCAACTGAAGACCTTTCTATACATAGAATAGAATACAAATGAAGAATTTCAAGTTTGTGTTTGCAGGCTAGATCTCACTTATTCCAGACATTCACCTTTTGTCGCAATAGCTGCCGAGTCTTAGAGTGAAGTTAATAACGACTTAATTACCCTTTTCCTTACTACTGTTATTATATAAACGCAGCAGAAGAAGAGCTTTCACGTCGAGGTAAAAGGAAAGACTGAAGTTGGAGGGTAGTAACTGATCGGACAGGCAGGGCGATGTTCGCAGCTGGAAAGCCTTGCTGGAGAATACTATCTCTCCATAGCATAAGGGAGCGGAAGCTAAAATTGACGGCAAGGTTTGCGAAACCGAATCCGACAACGTAGCACCAATTCATAGCGGAATATTGCTTTCGTAAGAACGTGCATATTACTATTCAATAAACCAACCGCACCTCTATAAACCGTAGCAAACGTTGGTGTGAAAGGAGGTTGCTCGGGGGAACGCTCATCATCTGATCACGCGGAGCACATGGGAACAAGTAAGAACAGGACCAGCTCTTTGCATGGTTTAGGGGTCAATCGGATGTAATGCAGGATTCGGCTTTGGCCATTACCGCAGGTTGCGATGGTGTGACAGGCAGAGATGACCTGGGATAAGCAAGGCAGTCGTAACGGCAATTTGCTTGCTCGTATTAGGTTTCAAAATCACCGAAAGCCTAGGTGTGGTACATGAGCCAATGACCTAGGCTGCCCGCAACAGCGGCAGTTGAGCCGATTGGATGTTGTCCGCCCCTCTCCCTCTCGTCAGCTCGATTCCCCTAATTCTCGACATCGGTATTGAACACTAAGGCTGACTACCCTATTCGATGATTATGCTGCTGGTTTGAGAGTGCGAATGCGTGCATCAAGACAGGGGAGAATTGAACCAAGTTCGATTCTGCAGAGTCTACCACTTCTACCGTATGATCATCGGAGCCGCTTCCTCCTACTCCCCTTTCTCATCTTTGAAGTGTTGCTGTGAGGAATTCATTGCAATCCAAAATGATAGACGCTACCTCTTTCTTGATTTTCAGCGTTTCGCTGCGCAGGGAAGCATATGCGCTGAGTGGACTAGTCTTGGCGGCTGCTCTGCTAGCAAGCCTTCTGGCTGGTTGGGAAACGAGGCTGAGGGAGAGGCTGTCCTTGCCTGTGGCAGGAAAGAAGACCGACAAAGACTTTAGGGAAGCACTCGCCGAGGGCCGAAATTTGGTAAATCCCCATTTGACGGATACAGATACGGTAAAGAATAAGTATTTACACGTTTCGCAGTACCCTGAGAAGGCGTTCGTGCTCCCATCAGAGCCACCAATTGTTGTACTCCCCCACAAACTCATCAATACGCTTAAGTCAGCCCCAGAATCGCAGCTTTCGGCGGACAAAGAAGTATGTCGTCGTGGTCTTGGGCAATATACCGACTTAGGAACTCCCATGCCGGAAATGTTCCATGCCATCAAAGTCGACCTCACACGTCATGTGCGAGATCTAGTTCCTATTCTTCAAAGAGAAGTCGAGAACGCTTTCGAACAACATCTTGAGCTCCACGAAGATGGGCAGTGGACCGAAGTGACAGCTTTCAGCTTCGTTAAGAGAATTGTGACCATATTGAACGCCGTTGCTTTCGTGGGCTGCGACCTAGCGAGGAACCCGGAGTGGCAAGATATCGCTTTCAACTATTCGGCAGACCTTCGAAAAGCGTTTGATGCTCTCAACAAGTGGCATCCGTGGCTTCGACCTTTCGTCCACCCATTCATCTTCCATCACATTGGATTTTCATCAAGACGAAGTCGGGTCGCTGAGTTGTTGCGAGCTACTATTCACGAGTCTGATACCAAAGGAACCGGGATTTACGCCTTGACAAATTTTATTCGAAAGCGGCTTGACGATAGACGTCGAAATGATACTAAATTGCTCGCCAGGATGCAGCTTCGAGCTGCTTTGGCAGGCGCAGACACTGTCGCACAGGCGCTCACAAATGCGATATTTGACGTTGCATCGGAGCCAAGTTACTCTGAGACTTTGAGAAATGAGGTTTCTTCATTGGTCTCTAACGCGCCTGGAGGTACTTGGGATATGGGAATGCTGAGAAGCATGTCGAAATTGGACAGTCTACTTCGAGAGTCGGCCAGAGTCTATGCCCCATTTCTAGGTGTGTCTTTATTACGCATTTCCACCGCAAAAGCTGACGAACCGATCATCTAGTCGCAATGGGTCGTATCACCACATCGCCGTTGGAGCTAGATGATGGAAGTATGGTTCCAAAAGATACGACCGTTTACTTTGACATGTATCACGCTCATAGATCACGCGATGTCCAAAAAGACGCAGGCATCTCAACCTTTGACGCCTTTAGATTTAGTCAGCGGCGTGAAGAGCAGGGCCTTCCGAACAAATATCTTGCTGCAACTACTGGACCGGACAACCTACCATTTGGCCACGGGGCACACTCATGCCCTGGGCGATTCTTCGCAGTTGCTGAGATGAAAGTCATTCTGGCTCACCTGTTGCTCAATTACGATGTGAGGCTAAGTGGCGAAAAGAGACCAGAGGCTGGTTACTGGGGAATTGCCGTGGTCATGGATAGAAATGCCAAGATCTTGGTACGAAAGAGGCAGGCAGCTTAGGCGAAAGTTTTACGCTGTTTTCGAAAATATCTTCCTACAATTCTTGTGCACTACAGAATCAAGATGATTTCGAATAATATGTCCTCTCCATGTCATGACACTCATGTGCTTGTTGACGGCGTCAGTCAATGTGGCATAATTTGGCCCGAACTCGGTTTAACTGCAGACCTACTTCCAAGTGACTCTTCCAATCTGATGGCATCATTGAGTGCCTCCAAACTTCACGTCTGTTCTTGAGCTGTCGGGGAATCGGGGCATATCCGAACACTGGGTCATGGCAGCTTGGATTCTCCGAGACATCGGACGACACTATGCATGGTTACCCCTCAAAACATAAGTTCCTCATCGGCAAGCACTTGATCCCAAGCCTTCGTCTGATGGAGGTCGGTCTTTTAGTTTAAGGTTCCAAGTATCTGCAGTGATTTTACTGCGTAGATCCTTCGGAACTTTTGTGATTGGATAAGGAAAGATGACGGGAAAGTGAAGCGTAGTCACCGTGTTATCGCGTGAATGCGTTTAACGATGCCTTTCGCTCAAGTACACGGATCTAAAGCCCGACGGTCTTGTTCAAGATTTCAAGTTTCGATTCTCTGTGGCATACTCCTATCAAAAGCAGAAAGAAATCAGAACGAAACCAGACACAAGTCAGAAGCCGCCAGTCTCATCTGCCAACCCTACTAGTCAACCGAAATATGGGTTTCGTCTTAGAACCATTCCGGCATGATGTCCGCAAGAAGACGAAGGTCAGGCTCCGTTGCCAATGCATTTCATTTCACTAACACTAACACTCGGTGACAGTTTGGCGCCAAAGTGACCGGGCTCGACATCAATAACATATCAGGTATGATCCTTCGTGTGACAAAGTCAGGATCGTTTGGTAACATTAACATGACCGCTGCAGATGATGGTCTTCTGGAGCTCAAAAGGGCTGTTCTAGATCACAAATTGATCATAATTAAGGGACAAGAAAATCTCCAGCCAATCAAACAATGGGAACTAGTCACCCGCTTGGACCCTGACGCAGGGCCGCAAAACCCAGAATTATTCATGAAGGACTTTCACCCAGACGGTGGAGGTATTCTGGTAAGTACAGAGCTCGCAATAGAGGAGCACTTATTAATAACCACCCAGAAAGCGAGAGGAGTAACCGGCGTTCCCAGCGCTGAGAACGTCCACGTGATTGGCAAGGGGTTCCTCGGTGAAGACCACTATGGGCTGAAGAACCTCAATATTACCAAGTCCTTCTCATATGAAAATCACCATCCTACTCTCCCAAAGGAAGAGCTTGAGAACGGTCATACAAGGTTTCAAGGATGGCACTTCGATGCACCGCTTTACAGTCGAGATCCGCCGATCTACACAGCCTTTCGTGTGATCAAACTGCCCAAGGGGCCTGATGTTAACATCGCATGGGATAACGGATCAGGCTTGAGCATGAGATCAGCCCCGGGCCTAACGCCATTTTTCTGTTGCTCGCAGTTGTACGAGGAGCTTCTTACCGAAGAAGAGAGGGAAGTTGTCGACAATAGCTGGGTTGAGTACGCGGCGCTGCCCTACGAGTGGAACCGACACTGCAAGATGTTTCCGACCGGACTCGGCATTGTCAGCCAAGGCAAGGAGCTGTCTGACAATGAACTCGATTCCATTGGAGTGGACAATTCCAAAATCAAGAGGGTAAGTAACATGAATATTATCCACTGAACAAACCAACACTCACATTCAGATAGTACCCAATGGTTTGGGTGAACCCTGAGACCGGCCGGAAGTCTTTCCAAGTCCAGGCCAACGCTGCCAAGAAGCTCTACTTACGTCGGAGTGCAGACGAAGAGCCGAAGGTCATTACCGAACTTTCTGAGGTTCGTCGCTTCTTGATTAACATTCAATCACGAATCTTGAAGCCAGAGTATATCCTAGTTCCCCCTGAAGAAGAGGGGGATCTACTCTTATGGGACAATTGGAGCACAATGCACACGCGAGTAGACTACCCAGCAGACTATGGACCAAAGGCATGCCATCAAGCTGGAACAAATGCCAGTGTGAGCCCCAAGGGTCCAACATCAGTCCCCCAGTCCGCCACAAGACAATTCGCAAATGCGACTCGGATCGGTGGTGTGTTGGGAAAGGCTAGCAGTAGTCAACCTGGAGTCCTGGCGGCTGTTCATTAGCACAAGAACTGGATTGAAGTCATGCATTGATGACATCACACGGAATTTGATTTGATAAAGCTCAATATTTATCTTTGTGACATCGCCTGTTCCGTTCCCAGAGGGCTGGCATGAGTAACCACACTCATGACATCGACTTCTGTACAATTTCATGTGTCTCAACTTGCTCAACCATCCCATTGCTCTTTGCCTCTGCATTTTGTAAAATGTAGGAATCCCAAATTCTTACAGGAACCTTCTCCAAGAATAACCGGTCAATGTCTGCATTTGTCCGGCCGGTCGTCTCTCCCACACAGAACCACACGTATGCCAGCGTAAAGAGAGTCGTTCCTGCATACACAAAGCCAAGCATCGGACCCAGATTAGCGGTGTAGTAAAGATATTGACTGACGAAGACCATCAGCCAGACTGTGAAGAAGAATACCCCGATGGCACCTGCGGTGATCTTGTTCCGGTTCCGGCCAACCGCCATCTCAGAGGCGATGGTGTATGACAAGGTTCCAATGGAGAAGTTGAAACAGACAATGTTGATGTATGCAAATACAACAATCGCAGTCCCAACACCCTGGGAGAAAGGGCCGCCGGGATTGGTCGTGCCGAGTCCGCCGACGGCAATCAGAGAGACAAACATGCCTATCGTGCAGACGAGAAGGTTCGTTCGGCGGCGAATTTTGTTGCCCAAGAGCACTGAGGCTCCTACGGCAAAAATTTGGATAACGTTGGTGATGGTGTTGATAGTGAAAGGCTGCGCAACCCCGATCGACTGCACAAAGACCACCCCATATGTGTACCAGAACTGTATACCGTTGATTCGCTGGGCAAACATCGCTCCGCATGAAAATATCAACTTTCTTCGTTCGATCGAATCGCTGAGGAGAGATACCCAAGTAGAGTCTGCTGTCGATTCGAACTCTAGTCGAACTTGTTCGTTGATAAGCTGGAGATCGTAGTTGGCATCGTAGTCGGATACGCCTCGGTTTATTCTGCGAAGGGCTTTCTCTGCCTTGTCGTGGTGGCCCTTGGAACTGTACCAGACCGGTGTCTCGGGGATGAACGGGAGGCAAATTAACATGACCGTCGGGAGGACAACAAGCAAGCCCATGGGTATATTATAGGACGCGGCGTTATCGATGTTTGATGTCCCCTGAGTGATGCATGCCACAGCGAACTGGGCCCACGACTGCATAAACTGGAACATCATGAGAGCCGGGCCGCGTATCTGTGCTGGCGCAACTTCGCTGATGTAGATGAGGCATGTGGCGGTAAACTGGCCGATGCCCAGACCGATCAGAACGCGCCCGAGGCAGAACACGCCGTAGTTGCTGAAAGAACAGACTTGAACGATGGCGCCAGCAACGATACAGACAGATGCTGATGCAAAGACAGCCTTTCGTCCCAATCTGTCGTTGATAGGAGCCGTAATCAAGGCGCCACAGAACTCTCCAACGTAGATTAGAGAGGCCGTGACGGAGAGAAACGTTGTTCCGAGTTCGTAGGTGCCATCAGGCTTTTGGTGTCCGTAGTCTCGGATGAAGGGAGCCATGCCCTGAATGCCTGTATAGTAGATGGTATCATATCCATACGCAAAAGCTCCGATTAGAGAAACGAGACAGTAGAAAAGGGGCCATTTGTGCTGTTTCCAGCTAATATTGATGTTGAGAATCGCCATGAGAGAGTTAGTGCAAGAACGGGATGAAGATTGAAAGGGGGAGAACTGTGCAACCGGACTTTTCGTGATTTGGCAAAATTTGAAGAAGCGTGGGTATTTATATGGCTAAAAAGGGCGAGATAATACATGCTGTCCCCCTGATGCGACTGGTTAACATCGTGACTCCGCCCGGAGGGTCTCGCGGAGACCCCATGGGGAGCGCCAGATACTGACAGAGCGGAGTCAAAGCTTAATTCGAAAAGGAACGTGGTAGCCAATAGAGATTACACCTTTCCATGCTGCTGGGAATTGTGCTGACTGTCGGGTGTCTGGTGTGATAGCGGGCGCCTGGATTTCCTTTTCTGGTAGTCCGCCTCCGACAAGTAGGTCTGAGACCAGAGTCGGAGTTGGGCAGCTATCTCAGGCTGCATCTATTAGAAGCGGCATGTGGGTGCTTTAGACACCATCTTCATTTTGCCTAGTGGGAAAGTGCTTGGGGCAGCCGGTCATGAATATGCAAGGGGTTGGGTCTATCTCCGACAGGCGCCGCCTGGCGGGATCGGAAGCAATCCGCCCAGCAGTTGGTATCATGGTTTCCCTTCGAGATTGGACTAAGGGTGGGCACTGTTTCTCTCCTACAGCTATCTCTGAAATCCCCTTGGTGCTCAAAAGCTTTTGCTCCCCAAAGTCTCCTTTTACCTAGCCTTTTCTTCTTTGATTGAACGCTCAAAGATACGGCACCTCTCCTGAGAAGTCGACTGTATGACTGGAGTATCTCCTAGTTGAACTCGAATGGTCAACCTACGGCATGGGTGCCATATTGCCGAATTCAGGAGGTGCATCGCCTCCCAAGATGGCGTCGATGGCATTGAGGTCGAAGCTAGGATCGAAGTATTCGAAAACGTCGAGGCCAGCAGGGCCTTCGTAGAAAGAGGGGTCAAAAGTCGCTATCAGGTCCCCTTGCTGCTCTGGAAATGTGCTAACCGTGGCGTTGTTTCCAGCTTCGGGCCCTTGTTGATCAGGCGCGCCCTCCTGGCGAGGAGTATTCGCTGCATTCGTTCCATTTGCTCCTTGTTCATCCTGCTTGTTGGCCGCATTCGAGCAGACTTGATCCATCTCCTGGAGTACTTGCTCAGCAAGGTCAACCATTACCAACGCCGATCGAAACATGCCACCAAGATCTCTGAGTATTCGACAAATTGTCTGGAGCTGCCGTCGAGATCTGACGGTCAGCATCGGAACTTTACAGGATCGAAGTTCTCGATAAGCGACTCTCAACGATAATGATATGGCGTATGGCACAAATGTCATGTAAGATAGAGAGGCGCCGAAGTCTTCCACAATGGTTGTCACTTTAATGGCGGACAGGGATTGGCGCGTATATGCTAAGGATGCGTGCTCAGATGGCGAGGGTCCAACCGGTACTCTGCATGAGAGAATGGCGATGGCATGGTACAAAAGTTCAAGGGATCCTGGGATAGTCAGCTGAAAGCGTCCCGTGATCTCGCCATTGATCGACTTACCCAGCAGTCGAGAATCGACGCGAAGCGCATGGGCCCTTTCAACCAGACACTCAAAACTGGGGAGATCTTCCATGACAAGACAACTCGAAGTCTTCTGAGCCGGACGATATAGATCGATGATTCGACCCAACAGTGCCACGATGTCGAGAAACAGGCGGAAGCAGCAATCTTGCTCTCGAATGCACGCCTGTACATCCCTGCCAAGGTCGCGTTCGTGTATCATCACAGGGCGGCCATGAAAGGCAGCGGTGAGTATGTCCGTAGCCCAGACACAGCAGAACAGGCGAGTGAGGTAGGCTGGGTCATCATTCCTTGCCGGTGGGTTTTGAAGATGAAGCCCGACTGTTTGCGCGTTGCTGACAGCCTGCGCGGCCAACTCTGCTGAAAGATGCCGATCCTCGGAGAAATGGGTGTACAGTGAGAGAATGACAAGGATTGCCGTTGTCTGGACTCTGTCTTTTACCAATCCTAGACCGATGGCTTTGCGAATGGCGGAGGATAATCGCTGGGCAAATTCTGGGTAGGTCAGAATGATTGTCGAGTCTTCTCCGAGACTCAGGAATGGCTTGGCGCTGGGACTGGACCCTGCGGCCAGACAGATGGCCTGTTTACAGAGGATTTGCGATGTGGTTGAGACCGGCTTCTTGAGAATGTCTAGGTTGAGGACGGGGAATATCCTGTGGACATCACGGAGGTAGATCTTCTCTAGCTTCTCGTAGTAGGCCCTCCTCGGGAGAACAGCGAGGAATTGGTGCTCGGCGTGATCAGCTGAGACAGCGGATGCCACTTCTGTGCTGATCTCGCTGCCCCTCACATTTCGGCGGGAATACCAGACGCCTACGGAATTTGACTCTGCGTATCCGCGGCTTGTTCCCGGGCTGTCGGCGAGAAAGGCACCTTCAGGGTTCAAGTCACCGACGAACCGGGCATCATCATGCTGGCCGTGGTCGTCATCAACCGTCTGGTGACGCGACGGAGGTTCTTGGGCGTCGACAGATCGACGCGGTCGATCTCGCGGGTCCGTGGTTGTTGGACTGGGCGGCGGCCGGGCCTGAGCCGGCGTTGGCCTCGGGGCGGCTAGAACAGCGGCCGAGATAGCATCCGAGGACCTCCGTGCTGGCCTCGGGCGTGCCGTGCCACGCGCCGACTCCGAATCGGGAGTCTTGGGCGGAGAAGCGACGGCGTTATCTAGATGCTCACATCGTTTCTAACCCTCAGTCAGCTTACTCTTTCTGAACATCCCGACGGCGGTCATCAGAGAAAGATGCGCTCCGATTGGCCGATTGACATCGGGTCCAGCAAGAGGGCCATCCCGTGATGTTTGCGGCGCGAGCATTAGCGAGGGCCATTGAGTGGGCCTCGTCGGACTGACCTTTCGCTTCCGACACGTCTCGCACGCATGCTGCGCTTGTTTGCGCTTCTGCGGACGGCCATCCGTCGTGTTGATGAACTTGAACATGGCAGTTTGTGGACACTGGATGAGGTCCTCCCAACATTGACTTCGTGTTTACGGACATGGATTCGGATGATGTTTGTGGGGTTGCGGGGTTCTGCAGGTCGGCGGAGACACATGTCCTCAGTGCGGCTCGCGACGCATTTCGGAGAAGCCGAAATAGGTAATGCCGATATCCCATTGCGGATCTCCGACGAGAAAAGACATGCGGAAGCCAGCGCGATAATAACAACAACCCCTTGCCTTTCCATAGTATGACGGATGAGATTTGATGACATTTGAGCACGATCCCCTGTTTAAACAAGAAGATCTGGACTAGAAACTTCCACTAGTTGAAACATATTGAGCTCCAAGCCTCGGAACTGCGGTGCTGACTATGAAGTTGGTTTTTTTCATTCAAAGTAACGCCCAGGTACCCTTGCGACGAGTTCATGTAACTACTCAAGCTATGTAAACGACGTATCAAACAACTTATTCGGCAAACTAGCTATTTATCGCATGTTTCATGACTGGATATCTATCTATTTAGTGGGTTTAGAGGTCGAAATGTCTGGTCCTCACAGTTGCGCTTGCATTTTTGATGGTTTCGCTTGGGCAGTTCACGCACTATGAACCTCAACCATCAATGCTTTGGCGAGGCGGTTGCCCTTATGCAAAGACATAATGCACTCGATTGAAATGTGGTGTGAAATCAGACTTGGCTAGTCAAACAGCGATTTACCGCCATCCTCTACATCACGATGTTCCGCGCCGATTCACTAGATCGTGACTTCGATGTCCCGAAAGTATAAAACCCTCTTGACACGAGTTCTTGCCCTCAAATTCGAAATCAAATACACTGCGAAATCAAGTTTCAGTCTCTCTCCAGATAAAGTTGATAAATCAGCTTTTTCACCAGCAACATGGACACGTTACCACTGGAGATCATCGCCACAATCTCCGAGCACCTCGAGCCCTCCGACTTCACGGTTTTCGCGAGCGTGAACAGGGCTTTGCGCCACTCAACGGAGCAGATTCTAGCCGACGCCACTGTTTATACTGATGAAGATGGATACAAGTCGCTCGACGCTCGGTACGACCGCTCGCGCCGTCATGCCTGCTTGGAATTTTTGATTGTCTACATCAGACTCCCGAATGTTCTGAATGATCACGATAATGAGACTGAATTCGAGTATAAGGCGTCCAAAAACAACGAAGCCTTCACCGATAAGATGTTATCTCTCATGAGACTTTTGCATTCATGGGAACACGAGCTTGAAAGCAGCATACATTTAGTCGTCCACGTCACGGCACCGGGTATCCCCGCTGATTTTGATGGGAGGGCATGGGATTGTAATGGAGTTCCCAACTGGATGCGCGACCCGAGAGAGGTCAAGTCTTTTCCCAAACGCGGTCAATCTCTCAAGTTCTCCGGGGCGACCAACCAATAGATTCCATCACTAGGATGCATCAAAAGTTTCAGCTACCAAGGGTATCTTCTCGATCCCGAAACGCTTAGATCGCTGCTCCGCTCAATGCGAGGGTTTTCGAAGTTGAGACTTTGTATGGATTCTCGTGCTGAGCAAACGGAAGATTCCCCAATGAAGTATAGAGATGCGTTGGCGAGGGCCTTGAACGCAACCCCGTTCTCGTCAGTCGATCAATTCGCCCTATTCTGCCACCTTAGAAAGTCTTCCACTACGGTGATTGAGAAAGACTGCATGGCGTCCCCAAGAAATGCCGATCCTCTTTGTCTTGCCCTTCGTCGAATCTCTCAACTACCTTCAATGGAACTTTTCAACTTAAGTCTGGGAGATCAAGCCCTAGGTATCGAATTCTTCTCTGCCGAGCGGGTCATGGGCACGGAAACAGAGATTTGGCCACGTCTAAAGTGGTGTACGATCAGATTTGGAAGCATGACTATTGACAGACAGCCTTACTATAACGATATGCCATGCCCGCATGAAGGATTTATGGACGGTATGTACTGCCCACAGTTGAGCCTTTCAACCCTGTTGACTAACAGAACAGAAAACCCGACCGGGCCCCTTTGTCTTCTCTCCACTAATTCTCATCTTCTGACGCCGCTACTCACTTCCATCTTTCTCGCAATGCGTTCCATGCCGGCTCTCGAGTCTTTCGACCTGAACATAGGGACACGAATCGATGTCCAATTCAGAGGCATGATCTGCTGGTCCCATGACGTACCGATGTTTGGAGGGAATCTCAAAGGGGAGCGATGATTCTTCTTGACTCCAGAATGTTTTCAGGGTTTGAACCCTCCAACAAACCCTAATCTTAGAAACCACGCTATATCCGTTGAACCAGCAGTCATAGATGCCATGACTGAAGGTCTTCGCGCAATCTGATATGAGGATCCATAAGACGGCGAATGGTCCCAATCGATGTTGACGACGTCGTCAGCTGTGACGTGGAGGATTGCCCATGAATTTTGTAAATAGAGCCAGAAGTAAACATAGTCATCAGTGCAAATTCCTCGGCCCCTACTACCGTTGCGATGTGCTACCGACTCTCTCTTGCCTCCTGCTCCGTTCACAAACACTGCCGGAAGATAGATGCCGTGAAGATAAAGATGTTGCCAACCCGCCCATCGCTACCGGGGCTTCCTAGTGCCTCAATAATGAGCACCGCCTCCAGTCACGGTCCCTCGACGAATTTTCCCGGAAGCTCACCCGTGCAGAACCCAAGGGCTTTGGGGAAAGATTGTCGGCCAAGCTGTCGAAGATGTCTCAGAGGGACAACTAGTCTCAGCTAGCGGCTCGGGCTTTCCAGCTGAATGGGTGCGATCATGTTGGCGAGAACGCGAACAGCCCAATTCCGGAAAAGTCCAGACCGCGCCACGCGACAGCTTGGTGTAGCTAGCTCTTCCTAACGTAGAGCTCCGGGTCTAGACAGGCCCGCGGACACCTTGCCACCCAATCTGAGCGAGTTCCGCCCCATGATCTTGGGAATGGCTGCTGTTGGAGTAGCTCCGTGATGCGATTGATAAATCGAGGCCAGCCCCGGGCTGAGGACCCAGAAATTTCGTGATGGTTGCAGTACACATCGTCGTTGGCACTCTCCATTCTCTTGCCTAGAGACTTGTGAGTTTGTCACTCCCTCGGACTATCCAGAGACCCGGCCTGTGATTTGACAGGAGGTACCTGCCTAACACTGTTGGTTCTGCCCGCTGCCACGAAATATGGATCTACAAGGCTAACAGCGAACTAGCTACGCAAGACCGATAGAGCCATGCGCACCTTTGATCTCACGGCAGCCATCCTTCTGGCATTGCCTGTTGCCCAAGCACAGGTCCCAGATATCGCAGGCTTTTCAAAGACTTGGTTTGATGATTTCACCGGATCTCGCGGTGCACTTCCTAGTAGTGGAAACTGGATCATTGATGTCGGCACCAGGTGAGATGCCATTGAACCCTTCAAAATGCCATAAACATGTTATCTAACAATGATCTTAGCTACCCTGGAGGCCCAGCAAACTGGGGAACAGGAGAGGTCCAAACCTACACCAATAGTCCCAGTAATGTCGCCACCAACGGCCAGGGAAACCTGGTGATTACCGCGATCAAAGATGCAAAAGGCGCATGGACTTCCGCCCGAATTGAAACCAAGCAGACCTTCATGGCTCCAGCAGGCAAGAAAATGCGTGTGCAAGCCAGTCTGAAGCTTCCCAATCTAGGTGGCGGAGGAATCGGTTACTGGCCAGCTTTCTGGACTTTGGGCGCCGCGTACCGTGGCAACTACTGGTGAGTTTTAGTCATTTGCAGCTCATGACCTGAAAACTCACAATGTGTCCAGGAATTGGCCATCAGTCGGGGAGATTGATATCATGGAGAACGTCAACAACGTCAATCGAGTCTGGGCTGTCCTGCACTGCGGCACCAACCCAGGTGGACCATGCAATGAGCCTAGCGGACTCGGCAACAACAAGAACTGTCCTACAAACTCCCCCTGTTCTGGAGTATTTCGCACGTACACCGTTGAGGTCGACAGAACCAAGTCTCCAGAGGCTATCCGGTGGTATGTGAACGACCAATTGCTTCATAGTGTCACCCAGACACAACTTCCAGCGGCTGTCTGGGCAAACACCACCCAAAAGGCTCACTTTGTCTTGCTTAATATGGCAATGGGTGGGAGTTTCCCAGATGCGATTTACGGATCAAAGACACCAATTGCTAGCACGGTTTCGGGAGGGACGTTAGAGGCACAATATGTGGCGGTATACTACTCAAAATAATTTTCTAATATTTATCCCTAAGATACCATGTATTATTTAATAAGCAAAAAAATGAAATCATCGATGGCCGAGAAAGCGCGCTGGCTAAATATCACTTGAGAGGCAGGCTGCGCATCTACTTACAGGGTGGCAATCATGAAGCTATTCGCAAATGTGAGACACAGTCCCCGTCCATGACTAAGCCAGCATTGGTGGCTAGGCAATCAGCTCTTTCAATTACATTGGGCATGAAATGTGAATAGAGATGTTCCGATCCGTTTGCGATACTACCTCATCACCTCAAGCCTCAACCCCCAGCGCCGCAACTAAGTTCGCCGATAAGGTACCTTAGTAAACAGCACACCACCCACCTCGCTCAAAACCGACCCTTGGATCTCGTTATAAACACCTACATCGTCAATCCACCATGGCACAAGCTTGTCAGAAGTGCAAGAAGGATATCACGGACGAAGCAGCAGAGTGCTACCGCTGCGACGTCAAGTATTGCTCCAAGAGCTGCCAGAATCTTCACTGGAAGAAAAGTCATGCGCTCGGACTCGCACCGCCAATCCCTCTGAGCCACCTAAGTACACTACCTACGGTCGGGCGCCACCCTCGTCATCAACAGCTTGGAACCCATCGAGGCCGACCCCAAGCCGCGGTCTGGAGGCGCCTATCATGAATGCTTTCACGAATCTGGAGAAGCGCACCTTCCTGCACAACCGCCCCGAGAAGGACGTCTACAAGATCCTCATCGACTGCTATCGCCTTCGCATGGAAGATGACGCCAAGATCGTCGGTATCATGGAGCCAGACTCCATCTACGCATCTCGGTCCAGCGACGGGAAAGCCGGATTTCGACGCTTCTTGGAAACGGCAAGGAGATCGGTCAACGGAAAGCTCTTGCCGCCTTGGTGGAATGATGAGAAGCAACAAGAGTGCGAGGTCATGGCTGCTGATGTGAGTGGGTGGTCGAGCCTGAAGACCAAGCTTAGCAAGGCAGACGTCATCCAGCACTATGGCGACGACCACTTCCCGATGCAGCTGCGCATGCTTGGGGAGTTCGTTTGGGGATCGGCGCCTGGCGGACAGGATGGTACTCAGATGAGACGCATGTTGGCATCGCGGGAGACAAGTACTGCCGGTCCAGGTTTCGTGGATGTATCGCACATTGACAGCACTACTGGAACCGGGTATAGCTCGGCCTTCAATTGATATGAGAGTTGATTAGGCAAGACTGCTAAAGCGAGAAAGCAAAGCATGCGTGGCCGTCTTTACATGTAGGAGGGGGTTCTGGCCCCCAAATTTAAACATTGCACGCGGAGTTCATTAAATTTCTCCTTCACCTTGACCTGCAGCTTTTCTGTGAATCAAATACCTAGTAGACGTACTTTGAGGCACCAGCATACCCGATGAGTACCCGCCCAACAGGGATGAAGGGCAACGAAGACGCCGACACTGCCGCCAAACAAGCCGCCGGACGGCGAAGGGACGGCCAAACGGACACCAGATCGGACATATCAAACGCTATACTCACTCCTAGACGTAGATGTAAAGAAATACAAACAAGGCATGGCAGGTCGAGTGGGCAAGAGAGATGCGAGGCAGAACCAACATTTGCCACACACCAACACCAACTAAGAAGGTGCTGTACCTCATGAGCGGCTGGGCAAACGACAGAGCTCGGTTCTTATGCATATTTGAACAAAAACCATTCGACTCAAGGACGTTTACCGAAGAGTGTCAGACGTTAACTGCTTAAGCCGAGAGAGGCACGAAAGCCGTCGGATTCATGGAACAGGCCGAGATCCTTGGGCAGGGCACTTCAGAATCGCGCCGCAACCTAGACAAAGCTGACCATTAGTGGGAGAATGTGGGTACACAGAACCACGATATGCTGCACCAGGTCTCGACAGAACCTATTACAGGACTTACATCAGAAGAGAACCAACCAAATGTAGAAAGAGGTTAAGATGCAAAACGGGGAATTGGGTGCAGCTGGTCGATGGTTTGGATTGGCGAAGTGGGGCGGGCCGGACCGAGCGGGATAATAGAATCAATCAATCAATCAGCTCAATCAATTCTAACTGCCAAGTATCTTTGTGGGGCGTTCTCTGTTCCATTGCTTATGCTTACAGTATGGGTTGCAACAAACCGTCCGTTGAATAGACTAAAACATCCTGCATAGTAAGCTGCTTTAAGTCCCATTGGCTGAGGCGTTTGACTTATTGTCTGCTTACTCCTCGGACTGTAACAACTCGAACAGGTTAAACTGAACTACACAGTAAGCTGAATGAAGGTGGAACTTTTGATTTGCTGTCTTCTGAAAGGTCCCAGGACCGGAAACTGCGGGGTTTCATTTTAGGCTGACAATCCATCGTCTGCGATGTCACACCGTATACGTCTGGGCAGACAGCTGGTTTATGTCAAGAAGAAGATGCAACGAAAATTCTCTCGGCGTAAGCGCTATGGGCGCCCAAAGCAGTAATTATTGTCAACTTGCAGACCAATATTTCAAGAACGACTACCAAGAAGCCGACAGATGAGAAGCATGTCTTGGAGAAAAGAATCTCGCGAAGTCCGGCGCTTGCCAGACTGCACCCACAAACTAATAGTAGTTGAGATCGACGGTTGTGAATTTAGCATGATTATGTTCAAGAACTTGTATTATAGGATGAGAATAGCTCAGCAAAAAGAACTTCATGATCTGCAGAGTCCAGTCTATGCCTTAGAAGAGCTCTATGGGCTGCGAGTGGGCTGCGAAGAAACTTTGGCGCGGGCAGTGGCGATGCCCTCACTTGTCGTCGATAGATGCGTGTGGTACCTCAAGCGATGGTCAGCCGGCTGACGCCCCATCTGCGAGGTGGTAAGACGGCACGGGAGGGGCCTTTGCATTGATGCCACAGAGTTGAGGTATCGACGTCTATTGCTCTTGTTCAGAATGAGAGGTTGTAGGATGGAAAATCTGTTCAAGAAATGATATAAAACCAGGTGCTCTCTCCTCCAAAAAGTCCTGTTTGTTTTTTCCATCACCATCAGCTCCTCTTCTTTCAGACCAAGCAACATCACACCAAACACCACCACCACACATATCCAATATGTACTTCTCTGTCTCTTCCATCCTCCTTGGCCTCGCGGCTACCGCGTCTGCCATCGACATCAGGGCTCACGTCGGCGACAACTGCGCCGGGGGCTACACGGCCTGTGTAGGCATCAACCCCAACGTGTGCTGCTCTTTCAGCAGCTCAGCCAGCAGCGGCAGGGCGAGCATTGCTGTGGTTGCCGTGCGTGAAACCTCTTTCTCTTAGCTTACGAAACTCTCAGAGCTATTGGATGGCGAGCAGATCCCGAGCAACTGGCGCATTCGCGCTGAGGCTTATACCGGCGGCGGTTGCTCTTTCACCGGGGGTCAGCGTGACTCCAACGGTGCCACCACCATCTGCCTGCCGTACACGACCCGGGGCGACCGTACCGGGGGCAAGTACTGGTTTCTCAACCGCAAGCGCGCCGACGACTTGTCCTGCCCCGCCGAGCAGCCCGGTGCCGGGAAATGCGAGGCCGTTGTCAAGCCTGACGTGCTCGGCCTCGCGGACGGCACCGCTTACAACATCGCCGACCTGGCGGATGAGAAGGTTCAGGAGTTGGTGAGTTTACGCTGCAGCTCTAGAAGAAAGATAACGATGTGTATGGCACTTGAAATAGATGCTGACTTGCTTGCCCCGGTTACAGGAGAAGATTGCCGAAACCGGCGCCGGTGCCGACGCCGTGCCCGCCGAGTTCCAGACACTCCAGATTGAGGCTTAAGGCCGTGCAAGAGCTCCCTGGTAACAGGAGGTCTTGGGACAGGAAACTTGGACCAGGCAAGGATGGACTGGGAGAGCAGAAACGGCATTCTGCCCTTCGTACTTGTGATAACATTCTTAGTCACACGTTGCATAGTTAGCAACTATATGGCCAGCTGTAGCAAATCAAGACAACTTAACTTTGGTGGAAACCAGCGTTTATTGGCTAATTGTGATGCTCTAAGAGGTGGCACGCTGACTTTGTAGCCAGCTTTTAGCTGATGGGCTCTTGGCACAAGGGCTACAAAGTTGGCGGGCCTTTGGTGTCGATCTGGGAGGGCCCATTCATGCCGTTCACCGACGACATCTTACTCGGTAAAGATATTGAATTCAGAGAACCTAGATCCCTAAAGATAAAGCCCCTCGAGCTGGTAGACCTGGTACAAGGTAGCTTGGATTTGCTATCTGATGGTGGACTATGTCCTTGGCACCCTCGAAACCAATTCAAGAGTAAAATTATGAACGATGACATTCCGAATCAAAGGAATCATCCATTATTCTATCAACAATAACACAGGGTATCACATCTAAAAGCTCTTGAGCACTTCTTTCCACCACGGAAGTCTGTCCAAGTCATATTCTCCCGTCTCAATCTCGTGCGACTTGTCCAGATCCCGACGGCGGCCGGAGAGCAGATCAATCTCATCGACTCTCCAGAAATGAGTCTTGAACCAGAACTTGTAGCCAAAGTAGATGAGAGGGAACAACGGCAGCAAGATGTAGGCATCCACGAAGGACCCAGCATCGAAAGGCGACAGGGTCGTCCATCCTTGAACAAACGCGAGGAAGACGTTGGCCGCCAGCCCAAAGTAGGCGTTCCAGGGGTACAGCATTGAAATAAATGGTAGAGAGCTTTCGGCATGGCCTTGAGCTTTCCATGCCTGGCGGAAGCGAATGTGGATGAACGAGATCGAACCCCAGACAAGGAAGGTTGACACGCCGCTGAGGTTAACGATGTACGAGTAGGCCTGGCTAGCACCAGTGCTAATGTTCATCATTGATAGAGCTCCGCAGAGGTTCGTAAAGACAATTGCCGGGATTGGAACTCCACGGCTATCTGTCTTACCAAGAATCTTCGGGGCCTTGCGATCTTGGCCCATGTACAGAAGCGTTCGAGAGCCGATGTCTGGAGCGGAATGTCAGTAGTTCGCTCTGATAGCCGCCTGGGTAATGGAGGAAGTCTTACAAATGCTGCTATTACAGGCAGACAGACAGGTGACGAAGATGAACGCGTTGATGAGATGGACTCCGCCCTCCCAACCGGCGTTCTGAATGGCAACCGTCATTGGACTCTTGACAGCACGGGAGCCACCGTTGACCAATTCATCGGCGTTAGCGGGGCAGGTGAGGCCGAAGAAAAATGCAGAGCCCATGTAAATGAAGATGATGCGCCAGAAGACCTGGCGAATAGCTAGAGGCACCGCAACTCGAGGGTTCTTTGTCTCAGTAGCTGCAACTGCTACCGACTCACAGCCAGCATAGAAGGTCGAGCAGAAGACGAAGACCTTGGCCACACCTCTAAATCCATCTGTGAAAGCGCCGGGGTCCCGCCAATAGCGGAAGCCAATTGCATCTTGTCCTGGAATTCCACCAGAAACGTATCTGAACGATGATCAGCGTTGATAACTTCATCCAACAAGCTCAGTTACTCACACAATAGAGAAGATGAAGTAAGCCACAAGACCAATCAACTTCAACAAAGCCAGCCAGAATTCGGCCTCGCCGAATGCCTCGACTCCAAGAAGCTGAAATCCGAGGAAGAGAGTCTAATCATCGTGAGTTGGCTAAACCATAGCCTAGATCGACAATTTGACATACCCAGAAGATCAAGAAGTATCCCCAAAGGGGCACTTTGTCGCTCCAGAACACAAAGATGCTCGACAGAACGTTGTACTCGTTCGCCAACACGCACATCCAGATGATGTAGTAATTCCACCCCAACGCAACTCCAAACGCCTTGTCGACAAAGCGGTCAGCCAAACCGGTGAAAGCTCCGCCGCTCGGGTACAGTGTCGTGAGCTCGCCGAGACTCTGCATGATACTGAAGGCGATGATACCAATCACCGCAAATCCGATAAGCAGGGATGCCGGTCCTCCGTTGGAAAGCGCGCCGCCCGCACCAATCAGCAATCCCGGCCCGATGATACCAGCCAAGGCCATCATGCTGAGATGTCTCGTCTTCAGCCCGCGCTTCACACCGCTCTCCGGGTCGATGGAGGCAAAGTCGGCCGAGGTGGAGTCTCCGGTGGTGTACGCCGCGCGAACGCCCGTGTCCTCGATGACGGGGACGTCATCGTCCTTGTCGTAGGCTCTGTATCGCGACATTGTGCCTCGGTGAGAAGAGTCGAAGGATCCGTACATACGTGCAAGATAAGACCTTATCTTATGGTCGCAGTCGCTCTCCCCGCATGTGCCACCGCCGTGAGTTTGTCGGAAGTCACTATGGAAGCTCGAAAAGTTCACCAAAAGGACGATGGAGGGTCGAAGATGGTTTTGTAAGATGACCCGGTACCACGGGCCGGGGCCCTTGTACTTGCATTACCGCGAGATAAGAGCCGTGCAGTAGCACTCACGTCTCTGTTCTGACAACATCACTGGCGAACTGCGCTGTTTTTTTGCCTCAAAGTGTGGGTGAAGGCAGTTTTTCGTTGATGGCGGATTTGCGCCGGGCGATCGCGTCATCGCTGAAAGACGCCCTGATGACGGTTCCAATTGGCCATTCTCGGGGCTCCGTGGTTCGTGACCCGCTCCCTTGCCGGCTTAGTGCGGGGGAGCCCCTGTTCTCTCCCACGAACCGTCGCCATATTGGGGAATTTTATTATGTTTTGGTTCATTTGCGAGTATGTTGAATATGCAATGATGTTTATTTGCCAGATGGCATGTTTTCTTTGATAATGCACGTGCTTACAACTGAGTCGGCGCATCTCGTGCTATACCGGACGTTGTTGGATTATCTCGCCAATCTTCAAGTCTCCTTCAAATTACAATGTGAAAGCGTCTCAATAAACTTTCTTAAGCTAGAAATAATGCTTTCATAATCGTGTGCTGAAATTGGGGAGGCCCCAATAAGCATGAAAAAGGATGTGGATGTCCCTCAGTTGACGGTTATCACTAATGTGAGGCTGCTTCGCATAAAGAACCTCTCAACGTCATTTGTTTTCATTTTATTAGCTGTGTCTTCACATGGTAAGAATGCAGGACGTCAAGTCGAACTCCACACTTGGTATAAATCAGCATTACTCAAAATCAGCCATCAATTGCGTTCAGATTGCTAAGACGATCGCCTCAGCTGTCTCAGCTCAGAAAAGCGTCCATCAGATATATCTGTAAAGTGTCTTGAGCTTCCGCCCATGCTATCTCTGGATAGCCTAGGGGATGAAGAGAGGACTAGAGATAACAGCGCTTGCTTACATGGGAGACCACCTATTTTCCTTTGCTAGGGCGACTACTTTTCTTGCAGCTATATACTAATCACCTTACCGTCATCCTCGTCCTCGTCCTTATCGTCGCGATCGCTATTATCGTCTTTAACAGAAATAACTAAGTACACAGGATAGCCGCGCAGAGACAGCAAAATGACGCGGTCTCTTACATGGCTTGTAACATCTTGACGACACTACAGAAAAGCGGGTTTTATCACTTCTAGTCAGGAAATCTGTCCATCCCGACCAACGAGCAGCATCGGCCCCGAATTATCTTATGTTTGTCAGCATTTGCAGACGTCCAGCGATAGCGGGCTATCTCTGCTAAACTGTCAGCAGTGTTAAATGAGAAGAGATGAAACATTTGAATTGAACAAAACGTTTCTCCCAGAACTACGAACACTTGCTACCTTAGTAGAGTGCGTAGTAGCGTAATTAGTTTGTCCGGACTGGTGGCTGAATGCGATGAAACGGAGAGTGGATATGTATAACAATTCTTCTATTGCTGTTATGTGTAGGAAACATAGAGATAACGGAGTCACCTTGTCGGCCATTGCGGTCATTCTGAGCTTCAGGTTAGTCCTTCAGCATGGTCAGATCCCATTCCACGTCGTCGCGTAACGCACGTTGATAGACTATGAGCTGCTGCTATTTGACTCGCTGCTAGTCGCTGTGAGTTCAAGTGGCAGGCCATTGGCGACGGGATAACAACCTTGTCCATCAAGATGTTACAAATGGCCCAAATCGAACTCAAGACTCAGGGGCTCTCAACTTCTTCGTCAACCTCGGATCAAAGTTAACAAAGATCCCAGATTTCCATATGACTAGGTTGGAAGCCGGATTCAACTGGAAATGGTCAAGGAATGCCACGGGACTTGTATCGTGTTGGCCTATTTTGCCACACCACATCTCAGGCTGATTCGGTCCTTTTCTCTGGGACGAAAACGGAGTGCAATACGCACCTACCACTGTCCCACATAGGTCTCACGTAGTCAAAGGGTACCGCAATTCAGCAACCTGGTGTTGTTCTACCATCCGGGTCAAATGACGCTGCAAGATTTGGAGCAACCTTGAAGGTCAAGAAACGAGCTCCTATATAATAGGAAGTTGCAAAGCTCTGGGGAATTACGAAATTCTACCAGCAATCACCGTCATCTACTGCCTTCACCGCTGTTCTGGCTCAACAACCCACTCTGCTCGAAACCCCACAAAAAACGAACTGAGGTGCCTTAACCTCGATCATGTCAATTTCAATGTCTTCTGCCGAGGAAGTCTCCGCCCCAAAGCTCACGAGACAAAACAATGCAGAAATTGTCGTCAGAGTATCCCTCCCTTACCGGAAAGAACGCTCACTTTGGCAAGCTGATCAAGTATACACCGGATATACGCTCGAGCACCAGCATAAACGTTTCGAAAATGCAAGAAATTGTCCGATATACCAAATACCGACAGAACTTCGATTAGAAGTAATGAGCTACCTTAAGCCTATGGATCTCTATCTTCTGAGGCAAAGCTGTTGGCTATTCCTGTCAACCTTCGCAGACGATTCGTTCTCTGCATTACACAGACCCATGTCAGGGAGACTCGGCTCGAGATTCGAATTTCTTGTAGACAGATGGCTTGTACTGTCAGGGTCACAATATTCGGCGAATCATTTGCGGTATCATCGGCAAATATCAAGCCAATCTGTAGATTCGGATACGGGCAAACCTATTGTCGAGCTTGACCCCCACAACCTCTCAAGTTCCGACTTTCGCCAGATCATGGACATAATTAGAAGACAATCTCTCTGCAAGACCTGCGTCATCTACCAAACTTCGAGCGAGCTGTTGTCGTCCATGTACTGCAATACGGTTGTATTTGCATCTGCTTGGAAGTCCTGCGTAGGGTGTAGAGGTGCGCATCCTGCGGCATTTTTCTCTAAAAAGCAGCTTGCCAAGAACAAACCAATATGCATTGGATGGGAGGGAAAGATCCGGTTATGCCCCCACCGACTTATTTCTCTGTTCGATGCATTCCCCTGGAAGAATCCTAACGCATTCTATACTTCCGTGCCTGGATTGTCAGCCACTATTTCACGAAGGACAAGGAGAGCTTTGCCCGACGCTGTCCAGCAATGCGGTGAATGACTTGTGTCTAAATTGGACTATGCAAGTCTGTCGGCTTACGAAGAGCCAGCTTGTAACCAAGACCATGATGCGCCAAGGTCTTCAAGAGTTGGAAAAGAGATTTGGAAACGAATATCTTTGCCCGCACTTAACGTTTAGGGATCACCAGCTCATGAAACCGTTCGACTTGGAACGCTGTGTTTGTTTCAGAGAACCAAGACCGGGGAGCACGGAATGTTACCGGCATAAATGCGGTGACATCGACAAATGGGACTGTTGTGCGTGCAACAATTTGAGACAACCAGATGCCGTGGGGAAGTTCATGCCATCTGTCACATCAGTGCCGGGCTGCCATCGCCAGTCTCTGCACAAATTCTCGTGTCGGGGTTGCTGTGCTGCCTATGAATGGAGCATGGAAGGTGGCCGCATTTCACTAAGCAGAAGCCAGTCTCTTGGAGAACTTCTCATATTGCAGAGCCCGCCACGTACGAAGGTAGTCCAACTAAGTCCTAATAAGAAGCTTATGGGCAAGTGGATTCTGCAACTTGATCCTAGAACATATGGCCTCAATGAACACATGAGTCAGCATGCGCCTTGTAGCGACAAGTCTTGCGGGAATTCGCCCAACCGCCGTACCTGCTGGCAAAACGACATCGAACGCGGGAGTACCTGGTAGATATGTATCTACCTATGGGCCCAATCCACTTAGCCTAGATTGATGACCCCTCTACCCCTTTCAACCTAGAGATAATACGTACTTAAGGGTAATTTATGCTATAAGTATTGCGCACATCACTTCAATATACACAGATGAGTTCAAAGTTTCACGCGCAATAGGGTCCATTGGCCTTGAGGCACATAGCAATATAGTAAAAATGTCGGTTTGGACACTTTTCATGCAATCATAGCTCGTAATACGAGACGTGTAAGTGGGATAACATGGAACCCAAACATGCTTGATCATGCGTGGCTGTTGTTCAATTCCCCCTCACGCTAGCAGCGCTCGGCAGCGCACGCTGGTCGAATGCTTGACTTTATCTGACGTCGAAAAACCAAAACTCAAATACTGCGATGTAAAGGTGTTACAACAATGACTTCGGGAATTGATAACCAAAAATTCAAAGCTTAGGTAAAGCTATGCTGTGTTGACCGATGTGAAGAACAAGGATGATCGGAATAATGGAAACAATAGAGACGGTAGAGCCTACAGGACTAAGAGCAACGGGCGTAATGACAATCAATTCAGCATCGTAAAACGACTTTGACAGTTTGTTTTGATGTTGCGCAGTAAAGGACTGTCTAAAATAAAATCAATAGCGTAAGTATCCATGACTACGATATACATATTATCCTATTCCCTGCCGGATTATCGTGATGACGAGATGGGTTGTTTCTGGTTTCCATCCTCAGAAATCTGGGTAGTGGCCGGTTCTTGCACCGCCATTGAGCTAGGGCTGGCGTTGCTAGTAGATCCTGAGCCAGCCATGCCGTACCAACATACCACAAGAACACCCAGCAGGCCAGTGAGACAGCTGAAGACAAATGCAACGATGCCACGAGTCGTGAAGCTGCTTCTTGTTAACGGATGATTCGGGCGACCAGGTGAAGGAGTCACTTACCCAGCAGGCAAAGGAGCGGGTGGGGAGTTCTGGCCTGAGAGGTCCAACAAGTCTACGGTGTTCGCCGCCGCATTTCCCGCGGTTGGCACGTTTCCGGCGTTGCAGACGTCCAGGTGGCTTTGCGGAAGTGTGAGGGACTTTTGAAGCTCCAAGGGTGCCTCGACGAAAGTTGCGAGAAGACCGGAGGTAACATGCCACTCAATGTGGCAGTGAAACAGCCAAACTCCTAGAATAACAGTGATTAGCATTATGACAAAAGAAGCATGAGGGATCCATCAAGGACGCTCTGTAAGGAGACGGGCAACTGGCAAAGCGTACCTGGGTTGTCTGCCTTGAAGCGAAGGACGATGTTGCCCTCGGGCCAGATGACAAGGGTGTCGCGTCTCATCGGAACTTGAGGGAAGTCGCTTTCCGTCATGTTAGACTGCTCAAAAGTTCCACTCGATTCTTCGCCGCGGTAAAGGGCCTGAAAGTGATGACCGTGCAAATGGAAAGGATGACGACCAGTGTCGAGGTTGTTGACCACAATCTGGACAATCTCATCCTTCTTCAACACGAAGCTATGGGTATACGTGCCGTAAACCTCGGGGTTCGTGGCTGTATCTCCCGTTGTAAGAGCGGTGTACAATGTCGGAACCTTAGGAGAGGCATAGCTAATGTTATTGAAGAAGGCGTAGTTGGCACCATCACCCAGGTTATCCATAATGACATCGAGCTCAACAGTCTGCTCGGGCTCACCAAAGCGTTCGAGACTGTCGTGCGGAACCAGGGTCATGTCGTCAAATGGTTGGAAGTCACCGTCTATGAGCGCTGGTTCAGGGAATGACTTCGATGAATCGTATGTCAACCATCCAGTGACATTCCAGTTCAGGTCATCTGGAAGAGTGTCAAAGAGGGTCTGCGCCATATTAGCGAAGAACTCATCTCTAACGTTTTCTGCTCATGTTCTTCTTACCGTATCCATACTTCCCACAATGGGATAATTCTGGGTGGTGTCATTCTTAGTGGTCAGAAGGAAGCTGCATCGCTGTGCTGCGGACAGATAGATCATATCGGCCTCGGCCGGCTGAGTGTAGACTCCATCAACTTCGACAATGGATATGTTGTGCCCCTCAAACCAAAGGTATTGACCGGCAAAGGCACCAATGTTAATGACGCGGAAGAAGTAGGTTTTGCCGGGCTGAATCGAGATAGTGAGGTTTTGGGTTTCGTTCATCAGCGCAGCCTTGGGCACAGGCTCCGCACCGGTGGGGTTAGTCTTGCTCATGAATGGCGGGATGAGCACCTGCATTTGCGCATGGTACCAATCGGACAAGGTGACGATGACTTCCTCATCATATTGGTCCTTGTACGGGTTGTCCGGATCATGAATAATGAGGGGACCGCGCAGACCATCAGGATACTGGCTCTTCGTGTGAGAGTGGTACCAGTATGTTCCAGGCTGAGTGATCTGTGCCGGTCTGAGTCAGTAAACAGCATAGTTCAGAAATTTGGCACCATCTGGATTGTCAAGATGGTCACTCGGTGACATACCGTGAAGTTGTAGGTGAAGTTCGATCCCGGAGGGATGGGGCATTGTGAGACCTGGGAAGGGCCATCCATATGCGTGGTTCCGTTCATGAACAGTCCATGAAAATGGAGCGAGGTGGACTGGTTACCCAGAGCATTGTAGGCATTGACGATGATGTTGTCGCCAATGTTAGCCTCAATGCGCGGAATAGGCCATTGACCGTTGATACCAATAACGGGCCGCTCGAAGGCGCCGTCGGGATTGGCACGAACCCAACCGATGGAAAAGTCATAGGTGACCGTGGCGGCCGTGACCTGACGCAGCGCTGAGCACGCGAGCGCTAAGAGGAGAGCTTTGGCCATTCCGACAGGAAGGTCTCAGAAACCAAGATTCAAAGTCGAAGAAAGAGTCCCTGGGAAGAATGACTCGGGACAGAAGGAGAGAGTGTGAGAAAAGGCGGCTGCTCTAACGGAGAGGGAGACGGCTCTCCTTGGACGAAGAACGGGATGAACTTATGTCTATCAAACGTAAAGAGGGAAGTAAAGTGGCGCAAGCATTTGGCATGGAAAATTACTTACCTGGACAAGGGACGGAAGAAGGTTGGGCGCCTATCATTTCCTTCACCCACCACGGTCTGAGTCCGAACACCCTCAATGTTACGCGGGGCTTTGCAGCAACGGGTGCACGACAATGGAGTCACGTTGCTCTGAGAGGTTGGAAAAGAAAACACCCCTCTTGATGGAGGGACACCACATACTCATCGGCATCTAATCCATCAATCTGATAATCGCTCATCGGAGGCAAAGCTTAGAAACATTGCTAGTCACTCTCCTCTTGCCCACTAGTGGCGCTATCAAAGGACCATCCAGACCCTTGATCGACCCACTTGAGAATCCAAGGAGTGTTTGTATCTGTACGTATCTTGTACTTCAGTACAGAAAGTGTTATCTTCTGCAAAAGAAAAATCTTTTCGGGTGGTGGTTGCAAACAATACAACATGGCTGGGTTCCACGTTTCGAGCGCCAATTGTAGCCCGGACCCTTTCCAAAGGAGCCACATGCACATTTGAAGCGACTAAGCTGCCGGCGGTAGCCACCCACATTTCCCGGCGATCGAATCTAGTGGGCAGATTTCTCGGGGACCATGTCCACCTCCCTGGACGCGCCGAACTACCCCTGGCCCCTAGTTGGCTGGGGCTCCAGCCGTTGAGGCCCGCTGCCGTTTCTTCGAGACTTTGTGATAGTAACACACCATCTTGATTTTCATCTGCGGAAAGCGCAAGCATCGACATGCTCCCGCCACGCATCCATCGCACGACGAACTCGTCTCTTCTCACAGTGTCACCATCCCTGGTCTTCCGAGCCCGAACTCGGGCGACAGAATATGCAACCTCCTCCTCCTCAATCCAAGCGAACTTCCCTTGACTTATCAGTACCTTGATAAATCCTCTCGTTGCCCAATCGTGGACTTGTGTCCTCTCGTTCGACACTTTCTCTCGACATAGCATCGCGGCTGCGTAGTCTGCACGACCTCTGCTTACAATGACTGTCAACGTGTTTTCAGTCCCCGTCTTCCTTGTTGTCTTTCGCGAGTCCTTGGAGACTGGCATCATTGTGTCTGTCCTCCTTGCGTTCCTGAAGCAGACACTCGGTGGAACGGGTCAAGATGTTCAGGTCTACAAGGCCATGCGGAAACAGGTACGGGATCTCTGTTGTCGGCGTGACCGCTTACGCGACTTGTCAATGCGGATAGAAGGCTAACTTCGGTGACTATGGTAGGTCTGGCTCGGGACAGGCATCGGCCTCCTAATCTGCCTCGTAGTTGCTGGTATCATCATTGGCGTGTTCTATGGCGTCGGCAAGGATGCCTGGCAGGCTCACGAGTACTACTACGAAGGCGCGTTCGCTATCTTCGCGTCGTTCATCATCACGCTGATGGGAGTCGCGCTCCTTCGAGTCGGCAAGCTGCAAGACAAATGGCGCGTCAAGCTGGCAAAGGCGATGGAAGCTCCGTCCAAGACCTCTACGTCTGCAGGTCAATCCCGCTGGAAGAGAAACAAGGAGAAATATGTCATGTTTGTGCTGCCTTTCATCACGGTTCTTCGTGAGGGCATTGAGGCCATCGTCTTCCTTGCTGGCGTCACTTTTGCTGCACCTGCTACTTCTGTTCCTCTCCCGGTCATCATCGGGCTGCTTGTTGGAATTTTCACGAGCTACCTTCTCTACAAGTAAGATATTTCTGAACTCTGGCGTATTTGGCTGCATTGGCTGATCTTTTTGGCGCTACAGGAGCGGTTCTACTTCGAAACTTCAAATCTTCCTCGTTGCCTCTACTTGTCTTTTGTACATCGTCGCAGCCGGTCTGTTCTCTCGTGCTGTTTGGTTCTTCGAGGCTCAGAAATGGAACGATGCCGTTGGTGGAGACGCAGCAGAAGTCGGAAACGGCGCAGGATCCTACGATATTGACAAGAGTGTTTGGCATGTGAACGTGAGTCAATTCAAGAAAGAAAAGAGCTTGCGCATTGTTTCTAACAGCCAATTCATAGTGCTGCAGCCCGCAGCTGAACGGCGGTGGAGGTTGGGGTCTTCTGAACGCCATCTTCGGCTGGAACAACTCTGCAACGTATGGATCGGTTATCTCATACAATGTCTACTGGATTGCGGTCATGTTGTGGCTGGTTGTTCTCCGTTTCGAGGAGACAAAGGGACACTGGCCTTTCATGAAGCCGAAGGCCCCCAGATCTACTACGACCGAATCGCCGAGCAGCACCGACGTGCCAGTCGAAGAGTCCAAGACCACCGCTGCCACCACCACGAATGCTCTTTGAGGCGTTCTAGCACCCAATTCAACGCTCGAACCTGGATGAATTCATGTTGCCTGTTTACTCACCTTGGGCGACGGAAAGAGGGTAAAAGAAAGGAAAGACTTCGGAAAGCCGTCCGGATGATACATAGATTGGGACGGATTTGAAATTAGGCGGCCGAAGCCCACGGGATTTCAAAACCAAACAGCTTGTCAATAGACAACCTACAACGTCACGGTTCATGCTACTGCCATGGTCAACGATCAATAAATCTGTGGTCATCACTCGATTCAGCAATTTCAAGTGAACACATTGTACATACTAGATCACCCAGTTCAATCCAACTGCACCAGGTGAATATGCTGTCACTGAAATGTTTCATTCCGCTTACACAGCGTGGCACCCTCGCTTACAGCTCCATCGTTAACTCGCCTAACCCCGAGTCGCGATTCAGCCAGGGAATACTCCAACTGCCCTAGTAAAGCCAGGCGGTCACGAGGGCATGCTCAATCACCTCGTGGGTACAGAACCGAGCTAGCGGGAGTGACCGAAGGCAATTCGAGATGTTGAGAAGAGGGGTGTAAAGCAGTCGAGATACCAAATTTAGCCAACCTGTGACGCATACAACTCCGGGCACCCATGCTAGAGAAAGCGGGAACCCCCACAATACAAGATAACAGGCTAGAGAGGGGTTAGCAATGGCACTTTATTCGGGCCAATGTCGAGCCGCCCCTTGAAGCTAGCAAATAGACGACAGCGCCACCTGAACAGACCACCCTACGGCGTTGCCCTGAGCTCGTACGACCGAGACGGAAACGTTCGGCGATACACTAACATCGCGGGCGCCTCACACGATCTGCATACTTACGAGAGCCATCCCTGGACTTTCATGTCCCCAATTGGCAGCTAGATGAAATATTCAGGGCTTACGCGTCAAAAGAAACCAAGTTAATCATCAACTCTGCGAAGATGATCTAAGCATCACAAAGATGGACGCCCTACTGTCGCTTGAACAGCTACGATAGCTCGGGCGTTGGCCAAGCGCCAAGACGGGTTCACTTCCGGCAAGCCAACCACCATCACTGTATTAGGCACAGTTGCAGAGGCTTTCCACGTTGTCGGGTACTTCCAACCCCGCCCCCAAGTCTGTTCCAACTTCCACTCTGAATGGAGCTTCGTGGAGCCGTCTGGATCCCTGCTGCAGACCCAGTGTAGTTCATGACGGTCCACGTCTCGCTTGTAAGTTAGTCACAATGACAAGCTTTTCGAGGACGCTGCAACACCGGAACGCCGAGTGTGTCCTTTTGATGAACCGGGTTCTTCTATGTTCCCGAAAGCGATTACCGCCTGAAAGCAGAGCGTAGGGTCAAGACACAGAGCAGAATGTGAAGTTGTCCTCCATTCTCGTCGGATAGAGCGTCCTCCCTCGGCGTTCTTGCCGAGCAAGTGACTGCATACCATTATCTTCACATGATGCATCAGCTACTAGAACCATGATATGCCAGGCCTCCGAATAAAGATGTTTTGTGACCCTTTATCTGCATTTCGTCTGAACCCGTATATACGCGGAAGACGTCGCGGCGTACCAACGGAGGGGTCTCGTCGTTATCCACTTTAGTGATGGCAACTGTAGCGCACCGTCTCAACTGTGGCGATCGTCTTGGCTTCAAGTCTCCACGTTCTCGCCCAGCTCAGCAAAGAGCCTAACGTCTGTACAGCGGGTCGTCGTTCCATACCTTGCCCACGTGGTAGGATTATATGAGATCATTGGCTGCCATGTCGCACTATCTTCTTGTGTGGACGATGTAGAAATTTGCTGTCCCGAACATGGGATTCAGGGCAATGAGTTCTTCATGACAGAACGTTGGTGAACGAGGCTTGAAAGATATTTTTGAGCCTGCACACTTTCCCAACACGCCTCATACAGCAGGCAATGACTCGAGCGCGTTTGGTCTCAGTGCTTGTTGTTGTTTTGATGTGCTGTAATTAAATTCGGTTTCGTTGTAAATGGGCCCCAGTCATTCCCTAAAGTTGTGACGGGTCCTCGCTAGCGAACCTTCGACGAGTCGCGTTCTGTGCACTTACACCGTGCAGTGTTAGGCGAAGATTAGTGATCTAGCCGCTCCCGTTTTTTTCTGAATTTCCTGTCTAAAGCTGATGATCATCGGTGCTTCTTCTCACAGTGACAAAAAGTGGCGTTACGCGTGCTGTGCTACCGTCAATCCTCAGCTCGGAAGACCGAGCTGCGCTCTCGGAGGTAGACCAGCCCACCAAACCGAAGCTTGTCAAGTGGCAACGGTACGCCAAGTCGGATGGAGCCGAGGCATTGGATGGGTCTAAAGCTGGGACTGCTTCCCAACACGTCCATTGCTGCGGCATCGCTTAAGATCTGTTTTATTTCCGACTTTTGCCCATGACTAGTACGGGAGCTGCCCTCTCTACACTCGCATGGCGATTGACTGATACCATTAATGTAATGCTCCGATAACTAACAAGTTAAGCCGTTGCCTCTTGCAGGCGGAGGATCGATGTGCCGCAGGACTCCCGGTAATGTGGATCGAAACAACTCCATCCCAACAACAAGGCTAGGTTGTGATGCTTGACGGAGCGCAAAACTCTGCAGCATACCGCCGTCTTAGTCACATTCGTAGAGTGGAATGAGATACGAATTAGCGGAGAACAATGTGGGCATTCAGGGCTTGAGACTTGCAGCAACGGCCTTCTCTCGATGTCAGCAGAGACGGACTTATGCGGACATAGTGTACTGTGGAAACATCTTATTTCAAGAAGCACATGTTCAGAAACTGTTAGTTGAGAAAGCGTCTAAGAAGCTCTTACGGCAGAATTAAGTGCTTGATGGCTTGAGGGCGGCCGCTAAAATGCTACAGTCGTCACAGGGCTGAACTAACTTTTCCGAGTGGACGCGACTCGAGTCAGTTGACTTGATGATGCCTGACTAAACTAGCATGCATGCTAAGTGATATCAGATCGACTCTATCAATCTACTCATACACAAAGTCAAATTGGAAGTCGTCAAGTGATGTCAAACCTGGAAGCTCGGTTTTCCTCCGAACTTCGAGTGTCCATAGAGCTGGAGCGATATCGCTGCTGATATGCTCACGCCCTCTTGCCTAGGTCCTTCTGTGAGTATTGCGGCTTGAAGGATTTGAAGTGAAGCCATGGTACGATGGTTACCGGATAATCATTTAGATATCTCCACTAAATCCCTGTTTTCTTGTTGGAAGTGGTGAAGTTTTGTTTCATCAACCAGCTGATTAGATCCTGGCCTCGTGGGTATACTGACGAACATGTCTCTCGAACGTAGAGTGACTTTTTGTCTCGAGTGGAGATGTGGAATCAAAACTTCGTCCGAACAAGGCAGTCCACAACTTGTGATGGTCCAGCCTCTAATTCTTTATCTTGGGATCAGATTAGATCCAATCAGGATCATCACAACTCCATTACCTACGTTGCAATCGTTGAGCTCACAGCTCTCAACCGGATCTCGCCTGCATTTTACACGAGGCATTTTCTTCAAGTGGCGGAAATCGACCGTAGCCGGCGGGATGCACGAGGTGAAGTATCCCTGGTTGAGTTTTGTACATTCACGATGCTTCTTGGGAGCGTGACGCTACGGGTGGCTTCCACCCCACCCTCAGTTGAAGTCGTGTTTTGCATCCCAGTATTTGGGCAGTGAAAAACTTTGCATTTGTGTTAAAGACACGGACATTGGCTAGTATACCATAGGTAACATTTCGATTATTTGAGCATTTCCCCCCCTTGTCTCTGCCGAGGCTCTTCTTGTTGGTGTTGAAACAATCGTCACTGCACGGACTCCAGCATCACTTACACCATTCACCATGATTGAGACACGAGCAGCCAAAAAGCCGAAGCCGCCCAATGCGCGCCAACTCATGAATGAATGGAATGTAAAGGTCTATGCTGCCGTTATCTGTGCGGTCATTGCTGTCTTCATTCTGTATCACTGGATTAGGTCAATCAACAGGAAGCTTACGTTCTCACCTAAAGCATGGCAACGCTTGCCCGGCGTGTCTATTGTCGTCGAGACATCTCGGTGAGACTCACGTGAGAGATAATAGCTGCTGGAACAGGACATTAACACCCAATAGGCAAATCCGGAGCTTGCTAATCCGAAAGGTCCCCGGGTTTCCCTCCGGCGGCCATGCGCTCTTGGCGATCGCCTTCGTCGGCGTCAACGTTGTTATGTGCTTCCACCACGTGGATAGAGCCAAGACCAGCAACTTTGCTGCACGATTTGGATGGTCAGTTTTCTGTTTTGTGGCGGCATTTGATAATGCAAGCTGACTGGTTGGTTACAGGATGTCAACCGCCAACATGGCCCTGTGCGTGTTTTTCGGGCTGAAGAACACTCCATTGGGGATCCTGTCCGGCCACTCCTACGAGCGCCTGAACTATTTCCACCGACTTGCTGGGTATGCCGCAGTTCTACAGCTGGTTCTTCATGCTATTTTCTACATGATATACTATGGCAACCAGAATCGCTGGAGCACTCTGCTGGAGGACCAGAACTGGGAGGGCATTGCGGCCGGCGTGGCCATGATTGTGCTACTTCTTGGCATGGCCAGGAACCTGGGCTACGAGGCGTTCTACATCAGCCACCTCCTGGGATTCCTTCTGGCCATCATTTTCACAGCCCTCCACAGGCCCTACTGGATCTGGAAGATCCCTGTGGCAATGCTCTTTGCCGGAGTAATCTGGGCGCTTGATCGCCTCATTAGGGGGTCAAGGATGCTGTACAACATGGTGAACAACAGCGCCACCATCTACCAGCTGCCCGACAACGGTGTGCGAATGGTGATCAAGAAGCCGCTGGCTGGGGCTGTCCCTGGATCGCACTGCTTCGTGTGGATCCCGAGCATCCGAGCATTCCAGACTCATCCCTTCACGATTGTGTCCAACACGAAGGCCGGCGGTTTGGAGTTGATCTTGAATTCTTACAGCGGCTTCACCAAGGCCGTCCATGACCGCGCCCACCGTGAGATTGGAACGTCAGTGTGGGCATCAGTGGACGGCCCCTACGGAGCCATTCCAGACCCTAAGAACTTTGATAAGGTGATCCTGATTGCAGGTGGCACCGGGGCTACGTTCACCTTTGGCTTGGCGACGAGCTTGCTCCAGCACCTGGAGTCAAACTCGGGGACGCACGTAGACTTCATCTGGGCGGCTAGAAAGAGAGGTTCGTTTGATTCCGGATGACATCCCCAAAGCCATGCATGCTGACGGCCAGTACAGAGAACTTGAACTGGTTTGCGGATCACATCCAGTTGTTGTGCCAGCACGGTCCCGGAATGAACATGATGCTGCACGTCACCAGGGAGGGCTCGAAAGAGTCCCTAAGCGATTCCTCAGCACCGAACCCTCTGGAGCACTCAGTTCTTGCGCCCCAACAAACAGTGAATAGGGGGGCTGACAGCGTCTCATCCGAGGATCCCATGCCGAGCGCTACGGATACCATGGGAGAAAAGACAGCTGCCAACGTCTCAGCAGAGCCTACCGAGAAACACAGGCGCTCGCAGGACCTCGACAGTCTATGTGACATCAAGTACGACAAGCTCGAGGCAGCAAAGGTTATTGGTGAGACGTTGGAGGCGATCGAGCCTGGTCGGCGGGTGCTCATTGCGTCGTGTGGCCCTCAATCTCTGACTGACCTTGTACGGACCACTGCCGCTCAACATATTGCCAGCGCGGAAATTAGCATAGAGGTTCACTGTGAAACTTTCGGCTGGTGAGAGCAGCACAGCCGGGGACCTGCTGCTGTTTGGTCGCCGAGTTTTCAATACCTTAGAGATAAATGGCATTACAAGCGTCTGCATCTACATGACCTGTATGGCACTGGTCAATCCATCATTTCAATCTGTGTGCCGTGGTATCGATCATTGGCTTCTACGGCGGTTGTTGATGTCTATGACATGTATAAGCCACAGTTCGTCCCTACTACTAGAACGCATAGTAGAAGCAACCAGGGAGAAGCTTCGCTAGTGTGCCAGCGAAACGGTTCTGCGTCCTCGCGCCAGGTAAACCCAGAGAATTGGAAGAGGGCTTTTCAGGCGTGGCACGATTAGAATAGCGCGGAAAGCCATTAACCGCGCAGTAAAACGGCGTCTCCAGGAGCAAGAAGGCATCTCAAGCTAATTTTAGTCTGCGTTGGATTAAGCTTGACCGGCTGCTAGTTTGACATGACAAATGACCTCGGTCTCCGTGCCCCTCGGCTGATAACTCCGAGCTACTTTACCACACGGACTCCGACTCAACTAGTCTGGGTTAGGATGAACGACATGGGACGACATATCTGGGCAGAACTTCGCCAACGTCAACCACTGAGGCGTTGTCATGCAGCTGGTCTTGGTTGTCACACTCCAACGTATCCGTACAAATTTCCCTATTACACCTACTGATACATGACTCTGGAGACGCTAGGCAAAGCCTCCGCGTAATGCTTGCTGTGAAATCCAAAATCGTTCATTGGCGGGCGTAAAGAAGATTCGGGGCCTTTCGTTAACCCCAGCGGGTCGCGTGCCCGTTAGCCCATGTAGTAGTGACGGCTTTTGTCCATTCCATGCCCGTATCCCTGTCTTCCGACTCCAGCCCAGAAAGCCGCATCCTCGCTGCGTGGTCCCCAAGCCCATCCGGCCCCCTGTGCGATGGGCAGATGGTAGAAGCGGAAACCGAAGTATGATGTGACCGAGCCGATGGCGAACGCCACGAAGATGTCAACGCCGTGGTGCATGAAGTCGAACCATCTGGAAGCACAGATGAAGATGCATACGCAGAAGGGGACCATAGTCAGAAGGACCAGGTAGATAGGTGGAGCAGCAGCCTGTCTTCGGACGGAAGATATCGGTCGGTTGTTTGTGGGTTCTCGGGGTGCCGAATTCGCGTCGCTTCCTTGCATCTCAATGTCTCCCACAATGCGAGAAGGGAATGCTGAGTGGCTCTGTTCTGTCAAGCCTTCGGTTCGAGGTGCCCAAGGAGCTGTAACTCCAAACTTGCTTGCCAGGAAAAACGTAAGGTAGACAAGACCCGACGCTGCAATCGAGGAATGTCCAGATGGGAAGCTACGAAAGCCGTCGTTGACGACACTAGCGTCAGGGTTCTTGCAGATATCGGCCGATACTAGCTGTCCCGGTGTCGATGAAGTGGTTGCCGCCACGCCACCAACGATGTACTGGGCGATATTATCGAGGTCCGGCTGGCAGCGCGCGATGGCATTCGGTCGTGGCTTTCCGAGGAGGTTCTTGGTCGTGCTCACGATGAACCATGTCGCGATTACGGAGAAGATGAGACCCAGCCATCCCGCGTGGATCTCCCAGAGCTTTCGTCTCCAGATGATGGACTTCGGCGTGCCTGGGGGAACTGTCGAGCCCGGTACGAAGAGCAGAGAGACGACGAGAATGATAAGTATAGGTGCGACGATGCAGATGAGAAATGCGTTCGTAATGGAGACGGTGTCGTCATAGAGAGGAAAGCTGATGTCGGGGTTTCCTAAGTTGAAAGGGCGCTTTTGCGGTGTAAGATTCCCTAGAATGTATCCCGCGACTGCAAAGACAACGAGAATTGCCCAGTCGAAGGCGTAAGATATGGCCACTCTGATGGACCCCATCTTGCTATGTCTGCGACCAACGTCGCTGGGGTTGGATAATGTGGTGTAAGGTCGACGGGGTTCGAAAGGCCGGTGGTTCTGGAGGTTATTCAATGGAATATTGTCGTGCATGTTGGAAAGAAGGAGTCTGATTTGTGTCTTGGAAGGCGGCCCCTGAGATTAAGAAGCTTGGCAATCACGATCCCAGCCGGAAGGGTCAATCATTTGTTCTTATGTGGCAGATCAACTGAGCCTTTCCTCAACCATTTCGACTTAGCCTCCGTGGTTGCCAGCCCCCTCTTGCTTCTGTTTTTAGTGTAGTCATCTAGAACCACCCCATGACACGTGCGTGCCCGGCTGAGGTAATGTGCAGAAAACACTGCCCCTTGGGAAATGGATCTGTTGCAAAATTCGAGCTGGCCCCTTGGATTAAGACAAAACTCGTATTTATTTTCCGAAACGTATGTGCCTGTAGTGGCCTGAAGCTCAGCCACCCGCGCGTATGATACATCGGCGGTGCATGCACTCCTACGCCCGGAAGCGCCTAACTTGCGGTCTCAACATCACGGGAACTACGCCCGAAGCCTTTCGTCCTCGCGAAGAACGTCTTCCTTCATGTGGCCTCGATACAGGCGCCACATTGCATGTCAATTCATGATCAAAGGCGGCACTCTCCGAAAGGCATGGATTATTGACATCTCGCCCGATGATGTGTCCTGTGGTGTTGAGTACATACCCTTGAGCCAGCCGGGAGGGCCTGTTGACCATTCAGTTCCACGATCGAACATCACTGAGTACTGAAATGGAGCCATTTGCGCCTTTATGTATGCGGACTGGGCATGTTTGAATCGCGTAGGACTGGTTGGATCTTGGACATCTCGAGTCGATCTACAATGCACACGCCTATTCATCCTTCTTCCCTCCTAACTCGTTTTCATACTTTCGTATGGCAGGCCACCGCCTGCGGGCACGCCTTTTTTGACATCCGTAGGACTCTGACGGGGAAATATTTGAGGGCCAGGATGGCTCTCATAAAAATCTCCATGACCACCTGTGTTACGCCTATTCATATTTTCATACTTCGACCTCTCTTTCTATATGTACCTACTTATCTTTACCCAATACCCATAGACTCACAGTCAAGCTCGCCGGTGCGTTCCTGCATGGTTAACCATCATCAGTGTCCCAAAAGCCATCAGCCTCCTCAGGATGCCAGGGGTATATTCGAGCATCTGGTGCTCCTGATAAGGCGTGCATCCTGAGGAATGCCCACTGCAGCTCGAGGATGTCTCTATTGGGAAGCTGGTCCTTTCTCTCGGCAAATATGGTGACTACTTGCCCATCTGTGACTGGTCGTGATCTCGTGATTCGCATGTCTTCCGGGACCAGAACGGTGCGCGGATGCGTCGAGAAAGAAACTCTGCTCTCCATGGATGGAATCCGTGTTCTCTCCAGCCAGTGAACCCTGAGGCGAATGCAGGGCCAACACGTTGCTGGTGTCTCAAGGGGTTCAAAAGCCAGCAAGCCCTGCGCCCAGCTAGTATGTACCTCACGATTCAAACAAATCATGTTCGCTGCTGTATCAATCATGTTGGGGAGCCTGCCGTTGCTGAGACTTTTGTACAGTCTCCTGCAGCGAGCCTCGCCCCAAAACGCCTCCATGTGAAATAGGCCAACCAGATGATGTCTGTATTGGTCGCTCTCGCTGTCGGCGAACGGGAAGATGTGGCAAACGTCGGGGTCCGTGGTCCCCGTGACAACGCACCGGCCCTCGTCGCGATTGAATGCCTGGGACAGATTCCTGTCAGCAGCGCCGGGTTACAACTAGACCCAAAGGGGAACTTCACTTTCGCTCGCTCTGCTTGGCTTCGGAGACGTTCAGTACGCATCACAAGGCTGCTTGACTCGGGGAATCCTGGCGCATACGGCCGTTGAAGAACTGTTGACTGGTCAGCGTTCATCGGAAATCAGTTGGGCTGCAGGGAGGTCATGCATATCTTGACTAGCATCGGTAACCTTTGCGCCACCGGCACCAAGCCGCATACCAGCCGTCTTCTTTCCATCCAGGATGCTGTCTGAAGCTCGTGTAGTAGTTCGAACAGTACGCTCATGTCAAGTATCATGAGCATACTCCAGAACCCTGCTCGTTTCAGTGCCCTATGGGAGGGACTGTGTCGGCAACTTTCATGAATCTTCGAAACGAGCAGAATTCTGGTTTCCATCTCGTCCTCCATGGTGGCGCAAATGAGTGACTGAGGACCAACCGCCCTGGCGTTCTTGAACCCCATCTCCTTGAGGCCCACGAAGCTCCTTTATATAGCCCTGCCTTCTCCACCTCCAGGCCTTGGTTCTTCGTAGATGTTGCTACTACCACGTGGGGTTTCCTTTCTCCGCCGGCCGCGAGTCACTACACCAAGCAATGCTTCGCGTGCGATGACGCTATCACTTACTTGGGTACGAACTCCCAAGATAATTGCGCCGATCAGTTCAGACAGAGGGTCAATCTCAGCACAAGATGTTGGGCGAAAAGCATATAGAGGTCGCAGCGCAACTTGAGCATTCAACTTTTGAGCAAAGCTCATTCTTCGTTCATGCTGGCGTGGCCCAATCTACCATCTTCCCGATTGGCATGATTTTAGAAGTCAAGAAATCACTTACATCCTTCACTAAATCATTCCAGATGTTCTTCTTTGGCACGGGGTTGTCTACCATCCTGAGCTACGATGGAGAATGACTGTGATCCCGCCAGAAAGGAACAGCCCAAATATTTCCAGTGTCCATGCGCTATCGGCGGATCGGCCTGCGTCCAAAGCTGATGCTGATGCGGATTGGTGAAGATTCTATATCTAATGTGGTGATACTGATGACAGCAACATTCGATAAACCACGCTGAAAACAGCGACTATTCGTGCTGAGTTTGGAAAGCAGACTAAATATAGGTGCTTCAGGCGGTGTTTCCAGTCGGGCACGGTTGTTCATGGGCTCGAAACAAGATCTCCGAAGCTTCGATCCGATGGGGGCCGGATCAGACCCGCCCCGGTAGGACCCATGCATCCGAGTTCGGTGCTTTTGATCCGGGCGGCCCGGGGCAAAGGTTTTGTTGTTGAAGTTGGTTCCGGTAGATTGCATAGGTTTCCTACAGTATACAACGTGTACCATGAAGAACATAATTTGGCTGTTCTAAGCGGACTACATACTCTATGTTCGGGACACAATCGAGCCTCGGAGAGTCAACCAAGTGAAAGCAGCGACAAGAGGATGTAGGGACGACAATGGGAGAGACGCTGCTAGCAGAGGGAATAACAGTGATGACGACAGAAACACAAGAATACAGTCGCTGTGACACAGTTCAGTAAGTAGTCTCATAACTATTGTCACTACTTGCATAGCATGAGGTTTCACAGGGTGAGGTCAATTACGGACCGGCCTCGTCTCCGACAACACCACATTCTCTCTGGACGTCAAGATCGTCGTATGCATTCATTGAGTATTGTTATCAGCCAAGGAGTCGAATAAATAGTCTTCGGCATATCAACCCGGCTCCCTGTCTAACAGAAAAACATGGATAAGTCGTGGGGATTCTCCCATCCCTACAGAGGTGCCAATCGAGCGACGCGTTTATCGCGTCCATTTCGTCAAAATCGCATCATCATTCCAGCCCAAACCGCTCAAATTCGATCGCGGAATAGAATCGACTCGGTTTTCCAACGCGATACTCGCCCAAAATTTCCCGCGTGGTTCAATCCCCTCACCAGTGGCGGCAAACTCGACCTCATCCGATTCCTCCTCGGCCCGCGCCGCAAGAGGCAACTCGAGCGACCGGCCCCACCGCTCATCTAGTCGGCTATTCGTCGCTGCTTGCCTAGATCTTCTTCGACCGGGATTGGAAGAGGCATCGATGCTGCAGAGTGTCAGCAAGACCAGTTTAGTGGAGGATTCCTGCAGAAACACTGCTGCCGAGTATGCACGCCGGCGGCGCAGTACAGGAAAGCAATCTCCGGCCAGCACATGCCTACAAAGTCCCTTTCGGGCCCCCACACAATCATGACCCGAAAGTAGACGGCATTCTCGAAGCAAGACCAACAAACATGCTGCTATAGAGAAGAGAGACTCGGGGGCCAAAGCGACCGAGTGGCATCCGGACCGGAAGCCTGGCCAGTCCACGGCGCAATTGTCCTGGACCGCAACGGCTGGTCGGTCGGCCGGCAGGTCTTCGGAGTGAAGCGGGTCCCCGATTCTGTTTCCGGAGAGAGTCTCCGGCCATGAGCAGTCGGTGGGGATCGACTTGAGAATCATCCCAGGTCGCCACCGTTCCTGCATACCACATTGCAGGGGGAATTTGCTCATAAAGATCATGGGTTTAGACGGTCTGGATGTGTTCTTTGTTCCCTCTGCCATCCTTTTCCCGCTGTCACTCCTCATCCGCCGTCACGCTTGGTAGTCCATGGTTGTCACCTGTACCATTTGACTCCTTCGCAGCAATGTCAAAGACTGGCATCTTTGCCGCTTTGTCGGTCATAAGTCTAGCGGCGGCTCAATCTTCGAATAATGATGGTACGTGTGCTTCTATTCCTCACTAATTCTACATGCCCTCGAATACCCGGAAGCTCTAGACCCTACAGCCGGCACCTGCTCATACCTCATAGCCATCTCCAACGACAGAATTGCTCCTGCAGCCGAACTGATCGCCGCAAATGCTGCAGCTTCGGGTGTTGAGTACCTCGACTTCGAGACGTCGCAGCTGACCGACAGTGTCCTTGCCAACTTGACCAGCTACGACATCGGCAATGCTAGCGTCTTTGACTTCGGAGATGAGGGCGATGTGACCGGCAAGAGAGCTGCCCGCTCCTGTAAAGTCTTCCCTGGGGATAGCGCCTGGCCTTCATCAGCCACGTGGTCTGGATTCGATCTGTTGACGGGATCTGCGCTTTTGGACAGTGTCCCATCGGCGGCTGTATGTTACAAGGACTGGCCGCAATACGACGAAGCCAAATGCGCCGAGGTCACGGCACAATGGGCAAGCCCTTCCTACCAGTGAGCTACTCCTGCGCCATATTTCACGAAGGACTTCGCTAAGTATCTCAGGGCGTCCGAACCTACTGGCCTGGACTTCCCCCTCTACGAGGGCGTCAGCTGTCTTCCCCCGAGTCTGACGCGGTCCAACGCCACTTGCACTCAAGGTGGACACCCGTCTTACGTCCTGAATGCGACCAACGTTGCTCAAATTCAGCTCGCGGTCAACTTCGCGCGCAACCTCAACCTGAGACTGATTGTCAAGAACAAAGGTCATGACTTCAGCGGCAAGTCGGCTGGCGCTGGCGCTCTCTCTGTCTGGACTCATCATCTACAAGGAATCCAGTACCTCGGCGCCGGCTTCAAATATGGCGCTTCCGGCTACCGAGGTCCGGCCTTCAAGATTGGCTCGGGAGTGACCATGCTTGACTACTATGATGCTGCGGATAAGGAGGGTCTGCAGGTGGTTGGTGGTATCGCGCGCGTAAGCTTTCCTTCCCCTTCTATCATCGGCAATGGCATATGCTTGAAGACATTGGCATACTGACCAATCGAGAAGACCATTGGAGTTGGCGGTGGCTACGTAGCAGGTGGAGGTAATGGCCCCTTGATCTCCTCGTATGGCGCTGGAGCCGACCAGGTCCTATCGATGGAGGTTGTGCTCCCCAATGGTCGCTTCGTATCTGTCGATGAGAACAACTACCCAGACCTCTTCTTCGCCCTCCGTGGCGGCGGAGGCAGCACTTGGGGCATCGTTACCTCCCTCGTCATCCGTGCCTACCCGAAGACTCCGATAACCTCCCTTAGCTATAGCTTCAACACCGGCGGCAACTTGTCCACGGATGCTTTTTGGTCCGGTGTCGATGCCGTCTTCGCAGTGTTCCCGGAGTATGCCGATGCTGGCATGTTCAGCTACTGGTCTCTTGTTTGCACCAACGAGACGGACTGCGCCTTCTCCATGCTGCCTCAGCTTGGCATCGACATGGACGCTGCCAAGCTCAAGTCCGTCTCTGCTCCGCTCTTCGGAAACCTTTCAGCACTCCACATCCCCGTCTCGGACATCAAGTACACCGAGTTCAATGGCGTGCGCGATGCAGTCCTGAGCACGTGGACTGTCGATGGGGAGTTTGTCGGCGTATGGAACTTTCATACCGCGTCCCGTCTCTTTCCGCGATCCAACTGGGAAGACCCGGTGAAGCTGGCAGCCCAGACCAAGGCACTACGACAAACCGCCGAGGATGGTGGTCGCGTCATGGGTTATAACATCAAGACGAGGATGAACCGTTCCCTCAACCAGACCAACGCCGTCAACCCTGCTTTCCGAGACACTCTTGCATTCGTCATGCTGGGGGCTGCTTGGGATCTGGAAGCGACGCCCGAGGAGATTGCTGCCGCAAGCAAGAAGCTGGTAGAACAGCTGCAGCCATGGCGTGATGCTAGTCCTGGTTCGGGAACCTACCTGAATGAGGCGGATATCAATGAGCCAGACTTACAGCAAGCGTACTATGGCAATAACTACGACTACCTGTATCAGCTGAAGCAGAAGTATGACCCTTGGGGCGTCTTGTATGCTGCTACTGCTGTTGGCGCGGAGGACTGGTATATCACGGACCAGATTGAATATTACCCGACGCAGACTGGGCGTCTCTGCCCCAAGTAGAGATTAGATCTATCCTGGAGCAATGGAGTGTTCTCCCAGACCATGTCGGTACTATATCACACCCGAGAAGACTTTCACATGCGGTGGTAAACATAGCGGTTTGAGCACAGTCGTAGTCTTAGATTTATTCAGGGTATGCGATATAATAGTGGAGATGAGTTGAACATCTCTTGAAGTCTTTTGCACACGGAAGTGCGCTGCAAGTACCCATCCTCATCAAGCTCTTACCACACGGTTCCCTTGGTCTGCTTGCCCTTCTTCTCCTCCACGGTCTTGACGTCGATGTTACGCCAGATGACCAAGGACACGAAGATGAGAGGAATGAACGCGCAACCAGCAATGACCATCTTCCTCTGCACGTCGGCGTACGCGGCGATGATAGCCTCGCGAATAGGGCTGCCCATGGGGTACGACAGCTGAGTGGTAAGATCTCCGAAGATCTTGGCCGTGAGGTCCTTGCTGTCAGCAGGCAGGTTCTTGTAGATGTTGTTCTCGAGGACGTTGTTCCAGATACCACCGGCGATAGCGAGGCCGATGGCGGCGCCGATAGAACCGAAGAGACCGTGTAGAGCGAGACCAATAGCGACTTGCTGATGAGTGACGGAGGACATGACGGCAAGCTGGGAGGTACTGGCCCAAATGCCGCTGGCAACACCGTTGAAGATCTGGCACATGACGAGGTAGCCGACCTTGGTTCCTGGATGACGGAAGTAGATAAGAAGAGCGGTGCCGAGAACGCAGATGGGGATGCCGGCCATGGCAGTCCACTTGAACTTTCCAGTGTAGCGGATAAGACTAGGGCGATGTCAGTGTATACACTCAGACTATGGTTTGTATAAGACTCACAGTCCGATCAGAGGCGAGAAGATAGCTGAGGTCAAGCTGAAGGTGTTGAGGATGTAGCCTGAGCTGGTGATGTCCTGGTTGTGCGCAACCTGTAGGTAGGACTGGTAGTACGAATCCCAGCAGCTATGAAACGGTCAGATATGACACAGACTAGGCGACTTGAGCAAGATTGGGACGTACTAAATCGAGGCAAACATGATGCCATACACCAAGCAGGCGCCGAGGACGGTGCGGTCCTTCAAGAAGTGGTAAGGGAACAGACAGACTGTCGCGAACCACTTCTCCCAGACGGCGAAAAGGGCCAGGCCCACCACACCGAAGACGATGAGGCAAATGATCGTCGGGCTAGCCCAGCTATGCGAGGTGTAGCTGACGAGACTGAAAGGCAACAGAAGCATAGACCAACCACCGGAAGCCAAAAGCAAGCCGACGACTGTGACAAAATTGTTAGAGCATGTTCCTGTCTTCATTGCAATGGAGACTTACTGTCGAATTCAATGAAGTAGTGCTTAACAGACTCCCAAGTGCTGCGAGTCTTAACCTTGGGAGGGATCAGGCCCATCTTCTTCGCCTTGATCTCACTCATGAGGAAGATCACCGCCACGGGAATGCAAATACCAACGAGGATGATTGCGAATGCTCCGAAAGCCCAACGGAAGTTAACGTTGTCGTAGAACAGCTGCGAGATCTTTGGGCCGGCGAAGGTCGTCGCGATAAGCGGGGTGCCGTTGATACCAATCATGATCATTCGGTTCTTCAGGGACGTCATGTCGGAAAGGTAGACGGTGACGATGTACTGCAAGCCGATGTGGCCAACCCAGAAGATGGTCTGCGCGGCGGCGTAGGTTTCGACATTCTTGCAGGTGGCCTTCATGATCATACCGATGCTAATGAGGAGGACCATCCAGGAGAAACCTTCGGTACGGCCGCGGATATCGATGATCTTGGCGATGGTAAGCTTCGAGACACCACCCAGAATCGTAGAGATGATGCTGGTCGTAGACAGGAGTCCATGCTGGCCGAAGGCGGAGGTGACGTAGGGTGTCAAGTTACTCTGGACAGATTGAAGAAGGTTATCGACGAAGGCGACCAGGTACAGCCTAACATCTTAGCGTTAGTCTCTCACAACCAGTCCCGGATGGCCTCAACATACAAGACGAAGACAACCCAGAGCATCTTCGTTGACCACACCGTAGTGATTGCCTCGACCTTCTTGACACCCTCCTGCTTATGCTCGGAGCCGGCGTCATCTGCCTCCGTCTTCAAGGGGTCGGCATGGATGTCGACCACATTCTGACCAGTCGTCTTTTCGATGTCGCTCTCAGATGCAGCATGGCCCTGCTCGGCCGTGCGAGGCGGCGAAGGTTGGATGGCAGCCATGTTGACTTGTAGATCGCACGTGGCTGCAAGACGTTGCTACACGCGGTGACAAGGGGGTAACCTGAACCAAGCGCGTGAGGGAATCCAAAGGGCGCAACCAAAGTAGGAAAGGGGACACGGGATCGGCCATGCTCGGCAGGGCAGAGTTCAGCCGATTTATATTTTATCTCGTACCGCGGGCTTTTCCATCGTTCGCGACTCGAATCGCTGATCCGGCCGACCCACGTCGCAGGATCGTCATTCATTCCTACACAAACACCTGCTTTTCGGGGTGGGTAGACCCGCGGATTCATCGATGGAGTTCAGAAAAGACTCAACCTGATTCGTCAAAAAGATCTATGTACACACTCGCACCTGTGAGGACTAAATGAAAATGGCTCGGTTACGGTGTTGGAGGTGCCGGCCGGTTGTGCCGCGCTGCCAATTACGAGCCGGGGAATTGCGGCCGCGATGGATCCGGGGCCCCGTCGAAAAAAATTGGTGAGCCAAACGGAGGCCATGTCCGATATTCGGGGCCCCGACGAGGTGCCACGGCGATGTCACCCTCTCGAAGAGGACCGTTATCAGATGATCTGACAAGGTATTTTGTGGAGAGCCGTCCACTTTTGGTTCCTCTTTTAGTCAGTGATGAATCAAGGGGCTCCCTGATTTCGGTGGCAGAGAAATCTCTCGCGGTTGCCTCTCAAGCTGAAAGATGGGGATGGTGTCCAGATCGGATGCGGCGGGTGGGTCGATGTGAAGTTCCTGGGTCTTGGTCTGGAAGACAAAGCGATGCGTCATCACTGCAGGATGGGTTGCTGTTGGTTGGAGTGGGCTCACTATCCTCTAGCTTCGGCGTTGGTTGTCGTCTAGTCGCGGCACGGGAAGCCGGGAGTATGACCGGTGAACTAGCTTGCTTGTCCGGCTACCGGCTCTTACTGCAGCTGTGATCGAAAACCGTAGCGAGACCGAGGGTGACAGTTATCCGATAGACCGAGCATGGAATCATTTGAGCATGTCTTCAGGATATTCCCTCAACTGAAACTTGCATTCTCTCGCCACTAAGAGACTGAGAAGGCAATGTCGCCGGCGTGAATGACGGGCAGCAGGTTGCATCGGAGACGGGAGTGGGAAGGGCCGTAAATAGACACGTCGGATATTACGGTAATGGGAGGATTCCGATGACCAGGGTCGGTGCATTGTCCCTTGCGCAACCAGTTCCAACAACTACATGACTCCGATCATGGCTGTGTCAACATCAGCGCCAACCAAGATTCCAGTCTCGTGTTCCCGCGCTCGAAAACTGAAGATTCCGAACCTCGATCGTACACGGCACAAGAGCCTGAGCCGTGTCTACGACGTGCAAACCCGACAAGCGGTACTGTGGCCGTACTTTCGCGAGAGGCATCGGAAATTCGGTGGACCGAGCTGTTGATCTTTGCTGCGCCCGGAACTTGGAAACTCTCTGTGGCACCTATGCTGACCCACCATGGGCCCAGAGTTCCCATAACTTACCTCGCCTGCCGCCACACGGCGCGAGGCCTACCACACGCGATGCTTCTGAATGCTAACTGTGAGAAATCGTGAGAATCGGAAAACCCGAAAGATTGAGCCCCCACGAAAACTTCTCTGAAAAGTGGTGAAGCACTCGACAGAGTGTTGCCACAAGCCTCGGATATCTACACGTAGCCGTCCGCATGTCCGAATGACTAAGGAAACTTTGGTCATACCTGACCTGCTTAAAGGCCAGTACGAATGGTCGTTTACTTCAATCTTTTAAGCATTTGTTATGCCTAGGTAGTCATAGATATCCAGTTCGAAGTTAAGACACACTTCAAGCGTGGTCATAACGAGTGTACAGGGAATGATGTTCGGTCTCTTCGATTGACGGTGAAAAGGCAGGTGTCAATATTGAACTTCACATGGCATGATTAGCGATTCCCGTCAAACCCAACGCACATTGTGACATTCCCTGCGCAGAAGCAGTTGCTTCTATCCTCGTCGATCGTCCAATCACATCTGCTGTATGTGTTAGTTGCGAAGAGTTGACAATCCATGTGATGCGATTGGACTAGTTTCCGTGGATCACCGTTGAGGCTGTGCCAACGGGTATACGGGCTGCGGGCATGGCCCATGAATTACAGAAAGCTGGTATCTCGGAGATTACACGGCGATCGTCAAGTGTCACAACCAAACTTACCTGCAGCTCAAACACTTCGAGACGGGGGCGTGGTCAAGGAATGGGGTCTTGTGAATTGCGATGTCGGAGATATTGGAACCATGAAAGCCTCAACTTGAATGTTATAACATGCAAAGGATGACTACTTGTCATTCAAGGTTACAAAGCTTTTATAATCGCTCGTTGATAATTTTCTAGTAAGGGTTGCTATTGTTGGTTGGATCAATAGGGGCGATGCAAAGAAATACTTCAATGCGTTTTGGTCGTTGCATGAACAGTGAAGGATTCAGACTGCAGAGTATGTGCTATGGGAGACTTATGGACATACCGTACCAATGAAATCATATGCCTAAGTCCTCACCGATACCAGGTCGTGTGACGGAGAAAGCATTGCCGAATGCGTGCCAACTTCCCCGTGGGGTTCTCATGGAAAATTGAAGATCCACTGGCGACTGAGTTAACCTAGCGTGTGCAGTGCATCCACGTTTTCGACGTATAGAAATCAGAACGAGCATCTGAACCTGCGGGGAGTGCGTGAAGGCCCCAATGTAGAACTGAAGATGTCACATTTGAATCGAGCTTATGGGAGCTAAATATTCCGGTTTTATTTGCACCATGATAGTTACTAAAATGATTCATATTGATACGGCTAACAACATCAACATCTTGGCACATACAAATATGTTTTAGGAGACTTCGCCCGTCGCGCAATACCAGTTATCATTGATGCTGCAAATGCATGTCATTCGCCCCCCTATTTGAGCTTTGCCTCGTCAAGCTGGAGCTTCACCCATTGCTCCACTGTAGTTGGCTCACGCCCAAGAAGCCATCGCAACACGTTCGGGTTGCCAGCCAAGCTGTACCGGTTGTAGAATAGAATGAGTCTCTCCGCTTCATCTTTCGTAACATCAGGTCTCAGGTCCCCCTCAGCGCAGAGCATACTGTTTCCTCCAAACAGCATCGCTAAGGCATTTTCAACCCCCTTTTCAAACGTTGGTGTGTTTACTTGAACTTCCTTCCCAATCTTCTTGCTGATCGCTTCGAATACCTCGGCATCCGTAGTGGGCAGGGTACTAGCCAAAGGGTATTGCGCATAGAAGTGCTTCTCACGTTCAGTCAGCACCTTGGCAGCAGCCTCAGCGAGGTCTCTGAGGGCGATCAAGCTGTTCGGCATATTGGGTTTCCAGAGTCGTTCCATCGACGGATTCTCCATGCTGGCAAGGTGTGCAACCGGATAGGCATCCATGAAGTTGGTTGGTTGCAGAATCGTCCACGGAATTGGGCTGAGCATCAGACGTTCCTCCACGAAGCTCTTCAGGTCGTGCTGCATGAGCTTGCGGTGCTGTGTACCCAACACACTAGAGTACACAAAGTGACGAAACTGATTGCCAGGCTCGCGCGCCTCGGCAGTAGCAGCATCGATCATGTTGAATCCCATCTCCCGCTCGCGGGAGTGAATGCTCGGGCCGGCGTGGTAGACCGCAGTAGCGCCACGAAGTAGCTCCCGACAGGCATCGACAGAGGCCAAGTCGGCGACGACAACTTCGGCACCAGGATATCTTGTCCGAAATTTGTCGGCTGAGGCCTCTGAGTGCGATATAAGTCGGAGCTTGAAGCGCTTGGATGATACAAGAAGCGGTAGCAGGTGGGCATTCTGTCGGCCGCTGGCTGAGGTGACGACGAGAACTTCAGACATATTTTCGGAGCTTGAAGTACCAAATAAGCCCATCATGAGTTTGTTGGTATGGCAAACACTCTCCCCAGAATGCGGGGAGGCTCATCGCATATTTATGTTAGCCTGCCATGTTGTCATCGGAAGCTCCGGTCTAACTCAAGTGAGACACAAAATTGAGTTCGGCGCACCTGCCAATTGGTCCAAACTGGGAGCTAGACCTGCGTCATTCTTTGTTAGACCATCATCAGTCTAGACATTCCGGAGATGGTAAGTTTACTAGATTTTGGGACGAATCGGATTTAACGTATAAGCCCGGTATAAGGCGTGTAAGATCGATGTAGGGCGTGTAAGCCCGAGCCGCCCATCGTCAGCAGTAGCGTTTCTTCGGGTCCTCTTATGCTTTTTTCGCGTGGGTGATTGGCTCTTCCGGACTTCTGTAAGACCGACTCTGAATTCAACGTCACTAAGCATCTAATTGGCAGCGGTACTAGCATACGGTTACAGCATCATACTTCAACAGACGTAAATTGAATAGCCTAGATAATGCACCGGTGTGCCATTCCAAGTCATCGTTGCGGGAACTTAAATCTGTCACCACCTATTCTTGCTATTAAATATAGGCAACACTCCTGGAGATTTGGTTGTTTAGATATATCTGCCGCGGAGTTTCTGTTGTATTCTTCAAGAATTTATCTTTGCTATCTTGGACATCGCTGTCGTCGTCGTCGTCTTCTCTGGTGTCCTCGCGGTATCTAATTCCGCCTCTTTTGTCAAGGTCGAGCTCATTGAAACACATAGAAAATAGAAATCGTAGTCGCACAGCAAACACATACGGTCTTATAAGTAACATTATGTGGTATAAGCGACTCGCGGAGCGTTTCTTGAAGGTTGAACACCGCTCATCATCATTATTAAAAAACATAATTACATTCGGGCGTCCAAATCTTGCGTGCCACGTTACAACTTGAAAATGGCATAGTCCTGAAGTCTTGGAAACCAGCAGATGACCAGAGGGTGGGAAGCCCTTGCTAGCATGACTTGCTATCCATGCTCATATCGCCGGTGCGATTGGCGATGATTCAACACTGCCATCGTAACTCGTATATGTCGGAAAGATCTTAGTTGTCTATGCCTACATTAGATCCTTGTCTTAAAACCATGGGTTCGATCGAGGAGACTCACGGAAGCCAGGGGAGTGGTGAGTGCCGTTGTGGTGGAAGTCTCTCAGCAGAGTGGTGTTGGATCTAGAGAAGTGGTGGTGGGTTCCGTTGATGGGCTCAAGGAAGTGCTCGGCAGCGGTGAGGTTGGAGCGGGCGACGTGGTGGTGAGTACCGTTGTGGTGAGCAGCCTTCAAGAGGGTCGAGTTGGTGGGGAACGCTCCGATGAGAGGAGTCATGGCCAAGCAGGCGAGAGCGGCAGCGGCGAAGTTGGCCATTTTGGCGGGTTTGTGTTGAGGTTTGCTAGGATTCAGAAGAAAGAGTCTTTGGAGAAGACGGAATCGTCAAAAGTTGGGTTCTTGATCAACTATTAAATAGGGGCCCAGCACTAGGGGAGCATGCTCAGCATCCTTGAGGTGAGCTAAACCGAAGATCTTTCTTGAAGATCCATGAGTTTGGCCTTATCTCGCTTTGGGCTCTAAAATCAGCCAAGGAGTGAAAACCTCAACGTCGATCTCAGGATCAGTCAAACCAGCCCTGCAATTGTGTGAACTGACAGGGAGTGCAAAACAGAATAGTCTCATCCACTTCGGGAGTTATTGGATGATCAAGCATCAGAGCCTTGCGGTAGATCCACAAACGGACCACATCGCGCCGTTTCCACCAGAACGCGGTGTCCATCGTCAAGTTCTGCCTCAAGGGACAGCAATTGGCAAGCATCGCGATGAAAATGCCGGTGAATATTGGATGGCGGTCGTGGTTTTTGCTTGTGCACCAAGCTGATCGCGCCAACTTGGGTAGCATGACTCAACTGACAGGACCATAAGCTGTTTATCCACTGATTGAGTGATCACCTTGAGGGACATGGACGAGAATCTCGACCGAATTCAGCATCTTCACTGACAAGTGCGGTGTAACCTCGTCCAAGAACATCACCACCAGCTGGAAGAGAAGCCCCGATAAGGCCGTTCTCAAATCCACTCGGTGCCCAGCTACGGCAATGATTGCCGTCCGGATTGATTCCACAGGATGGGATTTTCACTTCTCACATTGCGAAGCGGATCCAATGCAACCTGAGGTGGAGAACAAATGGTTATCCCGGCAACGGAGACCGCTCCGGGATCTAAGCTCTGCGAAAGCTTTGAAGTGCAGAAAGCTATAGCGGACTGACACGTGCTGGAAGCGGCTCATTTAACGTGTCTGTAGATCAGGCGGAACTTGGGAGGTGACTGTCGATCTCTCACCGAGAATTTCAACGTCCGTTCTTGACCACAATGAGCCTTCCAGGTCGCGTCCAACATTTTCCTCGAGCTTGGAGCATCTTTGGATCGACGCGTCTCCCTGCCCCGGCACTGATCCACAACTGAGGGAGCCAACCAGCCAGCCTATTCATGTTTTGGGCGAGCTTTTGAATGCTTATTTCCCAACCTGCATGGCAGACTTCATGCGCTATCGCAAAATGGCTTCGTCTTCTCTGGCCATCCTGCAACTTCGCAACAACAACAGCGGCTACATTTCTCGTGAGCCTCGTCGATCCTTCTGCTGTCAGGATCTTTGGGTGTTCCTTAGCCGGTTCGCAAGTTCGAATCTGCATCGATGCCAGGTACCACCTCCTGCTGAGATCTTGAATGACTGTTCAGTGATACCAAATCAGTGTGCATCTGCCGGTTTGCACAAACAGGTGGAATGGTGAGATTTGCCTTCGTGATGCGATAACATCATTGCAAGTGCAAAGCCTCGAAGGCGATGGGTGCACTGCTTGAGGATTACGCTGTCGTGAAGGCGGTTTGTCATGTGGCCTGGGTTGACTACCCACCCAGGGATGATGTTCTAAAAATTTGACCAAAAGTTGAAGGTCTGTTCCAACTGGTCGTGATCCTTAGCCAATGCGAACCTGTTCCAAGTAATTGACATCAGCTATCTGTTGAAGAGGATTTCGTTGAATCATACGTCAATTGTCTGAAACATATCGGTATTAGGGGTAAGTGGCTTTTTGACTTCCCTGGCAATCGAAGTCTCGGCAGGCCCGGCTGCTTGGCTCTCGGCAATGTTCTTGGATGACATGACTGAAGATCCCAGATCCATGACATCGTTGATTGGGGACCCCACAAATTTGCTGAACGACGACACGGGGTTGAACAACGCAAAATAGAGTTTGTAGAATAGATGAGCCCAGGATGAACTGGACCGGAACGTTGGATTGCTCCGGGTGGCGCCAGGAATAAGTGATCAGCTTGGCGCTGACAATTGAAAGCGAAACCGGGGACGTTAAAAACAAGACAACTCCGCCCTCGCGCATCCTTTCCAGAACATCGCAGTCAGCGCTCGTCGATCAATTCCGTCACTCGTTTGCCCTTACTCGCCCAACAGATCCACGACTTCTCAAAACAACCTCGTTCTCCACGATGCATATTCCGATCGGCTCGTTTGCGCTTCGCGCTCTGGCTTCAGCGCCCCTCTTTAGCCCCTGGAGCACCAGTGAATGGATCGCCTCTGACGACACGGTTCGCAACGGGACGAGTCATTCCTTCCTGGACATCATCGAGCCTGGCGCGGTCGGTAACCCGTTCACCGAGACCATTGTCAACTTCCACGGAAATCTGGATTATGCGACACTAGGCGGTGCTGGTTTTGCTTCCCAACGAACAGTCGATGACTGGCCCAGCATCGATATTTCAGCTTACGACACTATCACCCTAGAGGTCCCCTACTCTGACGGCAAGAAGTACACGTTCAACTTGAAGGACACTGTTCCGCCTCCCATCAACGGCGTTGAGCAGTCTGGTGTGAGCTGGGAATATGATTTCCAGATTCCAGCGGTCAACCACACAACGGGGGACGTCGAAAAGGTCGTTATGCCAATCGCGGACTTTGTCCCAACCTACCGTGGAAGAGTCCAAAACGACACTGCACCTCTTGATCTGACCAGCATCAAGAGAGTCAACTTCATGATTAGAAGGTGAGCAGATCCGAAAGCCTTCCTAGAAGGAAAGTCTAACCCAGTCGCAGTTTCTTTGCCGAGCAGGACGGGGACTTCCAATTGCACATTAAGTCTGTGATCGCCTCAGCTCAGGGGAGCCAGGAATTGCGGTCTGCGGTCTAACTGATGGAGCATGAACAGTGACGATACAAAAGCAGTAAAATCATCAAGTTATTGAACATGGCCTACATAAATCACCTTGGTTAAACAAAAACTTAGAGAAAAAGAATTTGCTACTTGTCTGCGTGCCATAAACGTATTAAAAGCAACTCAGACCAGGGAGAAATATCGAGCCGACCTGTGTAGAGGGTTTCATGCCCTTCCTCCAAGGGAGGTTTTTGGGATTGGGAGTTTCCCATTACGTGACTAGTCGCATGAATGTTCCAGGGAGAGCTCGAATTTCCAGTTTCGTGATGCAGATCGTTCGCTCTTCAGGATTGCTATCACGTCGTACTATATTGCGTAAATGTCTCTAAGACTGTACATGACTTGTTTGTGACTTGTTGATCGACGTTATCAGAGAAGTTTCGATACCCTGCAGAGCACCACCTGAAAACTATGTACATCTTACACATACCTCATATAATTGTCTTTACTATGATCTTTGTGATTAAGTACTGTTTCTACCGTCGTCGCTGTTACTCCCATTTCATTGTAATCGGCGTCGTCGTCATTGCGGTTGGCTTGCAACCACCGTTCATCCGAACAGCAACACTTTGTTAGAGATCGTGACGCCATCCTACGTCGACTTGGAGTCGCATCCCTTCGACAATCCTTCCTGGTGCTTCAGTGATGAATCTTACGTGAGACGGTGACTTCAAACCGATTCAAAAGCGCACAAATGTCAGCTGAGCAAGTTAAACCGGTGATCCGCCGAACACTGTGGGCTGTGAGACATCCAAAAGCCGTTTTCCCATTGGCTTCGAAACGAAATATCCGATCAGGGCAGGTTTTGGCCCACATTCACAAACGTGGCCAAGCAGCAATGAACTCTAGTGCTTACGCAAAGCACTTAGTTGCTCGCCTAAGAATTTCTGTCATATCATGTCTTGAATTAGTTCCCAGTTTCAACCGCCGCCAAGAAGAGCAAATCGACGTATTGCAACCCCCCGCAGAGACCGGTCTACATGTCCACCACTGTGCAAGGTTGACAGACGCTTCTTGAAACCGGACATTCGCTCCCCTGTGATCACAGTTCTTTGCTTACGCTCTACTGGTTAGCTCAGACACTTGAGCGCCGATTGAGCATATCCATTACGTGTGCGTGTGATGGAGCACCGACATACGATTCGAGAGAATAGCCTAAGAGTTTCTTTTGTTTTAGACACCGTTTAGTTCAGGTTCAAGGCTGCGACTACCCGGAGGATCACATCTATATGCGGTGCCGCAGGGCGTTCTCCGATATACGAACATGCGTGTGGTTTGTTCGATGATGAGATGCATGCGATACAATTGTTGAAAAACCTCAGATCTATAAGAACCATGTGTTCACCCACAATACTTTGTCCATCTCTGCACTTCTATTGCCACTAGATTGCTTCCAAGCACCGTTCAACTTCGCTACTTTTGACTCATCTGCCATTCCGTCAACATGCGCTTTGCCCAGCTTTTCATGCTTGCCGCCACCATCTCTGGTACGATGAACTCTTTGCTTGCCACTTTTCACTTTGAAGAAGGCTCCCCCAGCGACTAACTCTGAATCACAGGTGCATTTGCTGGCAAGAACTGCAAATGCCAGGACCCAAGCGGTAAAGGCCCTCAGTGGAACGACCTGACCAAGCAATGTTGCAACGGAGATGTCAATGCCGGCTGCTTCTTTGCACCCAACTTTCCCGGCCCCAACAACCAGGTTCGTTACTTTGCCTCTTCAGAAATAGCCATGTGACCATTCTTTGTAAACACTGTGCTGACCTTTCTGGCAGTGCACTGGAGTTGGCAACTGTCTCAACTCCGGTGCTTTCAATGATTGCTGCAAGAGTAAGGGGGCTCCTGGAGCCTACTGCTGGTGATCAAATTCTCTTAACCTTGCCTGAGAAGAAAATAATGAATCATCCTCCTTTGTGTGGCGGAAGTATGAGGGAACACTAGAATAAGAGAACAATGTACTAGAATACACGGCGGGAATGGCATCGACCTTGCTCAGATGCTGGTCTATTTTGAATGAAAAGACTACTCCTCACTTGAGTCTCGGTACGCTCACAATCTTCGTTATGCCCGGTTTACCGTCCAGTTCCTCGTCAGTGTCAACATCATCCACGACTCGTACATGAACTCCGATGATCTCCAGCACTGTCCCACAAATACTCCCTCCTTCAGAAATGAAGCTATTTAGAACCACCGCAGCGGTCTCCAACAACCGACGATCCTGTAGAGGTTCACCAAAACCAGCTGTCGCCCGGAGAATCCATCCTACAACAAACGGCAACTGTCTCTCATGATCAATGTACGCCGGTGTGAACAGCTCCCTCAGCAAGGGATCGCACTGATCTTTGATACCCCGGAGCAACTCCCAGCACCGGCGATGCATCAGGAGGTAGGAAAACGCAATATCCGAAGTCTCGCTCTGCAGTGCCCAGAGGAGCGACCTGATAAGCTTCTCGGGGGGCAAACGTCCCCGATCCGACGCCAACTTCTTTTTCTTGCCCTTGCGGATCTCTGCCAGTTGCTTTGGGTCTGTGACTCGAGCCATGCTGATGACGCCATCGTCCCTGTCTTCCTCCTCCCACTCACTACGCGATAGAACGTTGTCGACGCGCTCAGCGGTCCAATCCATGCCAGACCCACGTCGCGTATATCGATTCTGGAACATGACGGACACGGGCGCACCTTTCTCGATGCCGCGGGGGCCGGATCGCGACGCCAGAGCTACGTTCGCTCGCCTCTTACCATCTTTCGCAAAGAATGCGGCAGATGCTCCCATCTGTAGACAGAACATTTTGTTGTAATCTTCCGGTGTGGAAGGGGGCTCACCGACGTAAAATGTACCTGGGCCGAAGGAGCTTCGCACCACATGCACATCGTCCCATCGTCCCTCTAGAAGGCCTTCTTTTGCTATGACATTGTAGAGGTGTTCCGTATATGTGATGGACCCCCATGCATTAGCTACGCTAATACCTATGTCGTAGAGCTCAAGACGGAAGTGGTGTAGAATTAGACCAGACATAACGGGCGACTGTCTGAGAAGACTGTACTGCCGGCTCTTAGGCGAGAGAGACATACCCTCTTTGCGGGCACGATCCACAATGATCTTGTTGATGGGATCCGTACCGAGCCATTCGATAACAGACTTTGCGTATATCAAGGGTGCGTCGTGCTTCGTGGTCCAGCTGTCAATCTTGAGATCTTTGTGAAACTCCAGGTGACTTTCGAGGTTATTGCGCATGATGTTGGTTTCGGTGCTCATTTCCTGGAATCCTCTTTCCACTTCATTCCCTAGAATATGATGGATGTCAAGGAAGACCTGTGCGGCAAAGACGAGGTAGAATGGGACATCTTTCGTGGTGTCCATATCTCGCATGCCACGGAGGAACTCGTCCTCCACCGGCCAGTCTGGAAGTGACCGAATGACTGCCATGAGTTCCCCGAAAAACTCCATCATGATGACCTGATCTTCTTGAAACTTGTCTTCAGGAGACTTCGTCTCAAACTTGCTGGTGGGATCGTACGTTCCAAAGAAGCCTGGCTTAAAAAGAGGCAGCATGTTGGGTTGTAACACCGCCTGGAACTCCTCGAGGAATTTGTATGCAATGGTGTATGTTGCGTTCGCGATGTCGTAAGTTTTGCAGTTGAACGTCACTCCGTTGTTCGCTCCTTCGACCGAAAGACCCAGATCCTCAAGGCTGAATCCGCCTGAAAGAGCTGCCGCGAAATAGTGCAGCCTAGCAATTCTCCAAACACCGCCATGAGATCGGAACAGAGGTATAACCTCATCTGCCACGTTACGCGCAAGCTCTATAGCGGTATTCGTCGCAACGGCGGCTACAGCAAGGTCGATCACCCCATTGTGGTAGTTCTCCCACATCGACACAATCTGAACTCGGATCTTGCGGAGGTCTTCCAGCATGACAGAGTATGCGAACATAGCATCTTCCAACTCGGAATATGCAGCTTGCTCGGCTTCGTAAACCGCCATGTCGACGCCTTTGTCGGGCTCGGGTCTCTTGATATCTGGTGCATTTTTTGAGCACTGGGAGGGCTCATCCAACTCCAGCGCTCCAAAACTGCTCGGCAGCGCATCAGCAAAGAAGGAAGAGCTTGACTCTTGCCATGTTGCGGTAGCGGTTTGCATCCGGGGCCGCAGAGCTTCCCGGACTTGCTTGAGAATCCCAGTAAAGTGAGCGTGAGTGCTTTGGGACCTTTTTTCCTATCTTTACACCGTGCTCGATGAGCTGATTGCTGAAGGAAGAGCGTACATCGATGACCCGGTTGATGGTGGTGACGAAAGATGCCGGAACATCCACGACCGGGTTCTCACAATCGGCGATGAACTTAGCAAGCGGTACAAAGTCCTTGATAGCCACAATATATTGGGTCGGAACGCGCTTTTGCGTGCGTTTCTTCTTCTTCTTTGGTGCTGCGACAGGCGTCAGTAGGCCGGCGGTGAACCCACGAGCCTTAGCTGTGGGGGCGAGCCATAAAGCCACGGAATCAGTGTCCTGCTTGTACTCCCGCCAGACACTTTTCAGAGGATCTGGAAGCATTTTGATGTTTTCGATGCTTGATAGCAAAGTTACTAGCAAAATTCGAAATACGAGATGAACAGAGAATCGTATGCGCTGCGAGTAGGGTCGGTTTCAGGTCAACTCATGCAAACACCCGATGATGTGGCTTCAGTATGTGGCTGGATGCAGTGGCGCCCTCCATCGTCAGCAGGGGTCAGGAAGTGAACCTCTCACCTACTCCGTCATACTTCTTTAGAAACCTAGATGGAAACATGAATCGAATTGGCTTTATCTGTCTAGTCACTTTGTAACTTTCATCTGTGCCGTTCTCCTCATCCTCATTGTCCTCATCTACCTTTCAACGCGTGCAAACAAGCAATAACCTCCAAGCATATGTGAAAAGTTAAGAAGGAAGAGGAGGTCTCCCATTCACCATACAAGCGAAAGAACATTCATCCAGTGAGGTTTATCTTCGTGACTCTCCCTCTCCAGGCTCGACATGGCAAAACTCCTTGAGGCCCTTCCCACAGAGGTATTCCTCCACCGGATGGCCTTGCGTCTTAATGAAATGATTGAAATGATCGGCAACACACCGCATGGCGAAGAGACCGTCATACTCTTTGGCATCGGCATCGCAACTTTTGAACAATAATTAACTGGACAGCAAGTTGCATTTCAATGTCTTCCTCTGCCATACCCAGTGACAGAAACTCTTTGAGGGCCTCCATTACGATGCCCTTGATGACTTCCATCGTTGATCGAGCCGAGCGATGGAACTCAAGATACGGAAATTCAAACTCCACTGACTCTTCTTGAAGAGCCATTCTGAGCTGTATGGCCGTATTCCACGGACTGAGGCGATTCCCCGCCTCGGTGTCATTCTCTTCTTTTGGCTTTGGCCGGGATTTGGCCTCCTCTTTGCCCTGGACTTTGCTCGCGATCTTCTTGAAACGGTTGGCACCATGGTCGCCAAATACGGTCTCTCCATGTCTTGTGGTGCTTTCAGCAATGTTCCTTACAAGCAACTCGGTCCATTCCGTCGTTGACCCGTCGTACGAGTATTTGGAAACGAGACTGGTAAAAGTTGAAGCAACCTGTTCGTGCTGTATGAGACGCTTCTCGGCTTGGGGTGCGATTTTGGTCCCCGCAGCATCGGTATTGGCCTTGCCCGCCTTCTTCTTGTGCAAATTGGCAAAGTTCACAGCTGAAAATCCCAACTGTAGACTGTACTTCCTGTAGAAGTCTTTTCCGTCTGTGGGAGGTGGTCCAGTGAAAAGCTTGCTCTCGAGACCAGCTCTTGAGAGCGCAATCTCCAAGTCCCTCCAAGGCTCCCGCAGGAGGCCAAGCTGCTTCACCGCGTTGTAGATATGTGCAGTACTGGCGAAAGTGGCCCAGAAATTGGCAAGATCGATGCCAGCCTCCTTCATGTGGTTGCGGCAGTAGGCAACAACAAGACCGGACATGTAGGGAGAGTCCCTGAAGAAGGACGCTTCTGCAACCTGCTGCGGTGGTGTGCCGGAAATTAGAAGCTTGGCCTGATAGCATGGGTCCTTCAGAAGCTTGTCCATCATCTCGATCATGTCCCTCGCAATTCTGTCGCGTGCGACAGGCCACATGCTCGGCTGCGTCGCCACAACCAGAGAACGCTCGAAATCAGTCTTCCCACCCATCTCGTAGTTGAGATCGGCCTTCATACTGTTGAGTTCTTCGACCATCTTCTGAGAGGGATTCATGGTCAGAATACCTAGGTTTTGCTGTATGTCCACGTGGATCTGCGCTGCAAGAACAAGATAGAAGGGGACAGAGCCCGTGGCTTTCATCTCCCGGATGCCACGCAGTATCTCATCCTCGACGGGCCACTCTGACTTTGTCACATGACTGCTGAGAATGAGGTAGTTTGTGTCACGGTCTATGGACCGATATGAAGCTTCGGCTAGACCCTCAGCTATGGAATACTTTGGAAGGTTACAGAGTATCGTGGAAGGTTATGAGAACCTTGTCGGCCCTTACTCAATGGAAGCTTCTGGAAGAAGACTCACATGTATTTAAAGATGAGAAGGGCACCACTCTTTCCCAGAATGGTTCTTCTTTCCTCCAGCTTGGAATGCGCGTAGTAGTAGGCTAGACCAATGGCACCGACCTTGTCCTAGACCCTTACAAACACAGGTGATTACAGAAATGCACTTGGGTTAAAAGCTCTAAGTCGATTCAGTCAGCGATATTACAAGCCAACTTGCAAATCAATCCAAAATTCTCCTTCCACCGCGCTAAAACGACAATGTGCTTGCCTGCTCGAGTTAGAAGCGTTAGCATTGTTGCGATAAATAGATGTTATCAAGAGATCGGATGATTCGACCAGCAAAGCGCTGTAGTCTAAATGTCTCGGAGTGACTTCCAACTCCACAATGAGCTTGCAGTAGCAAGGCCTTTGTTGAACCGATTCACTCAGAAGCTTCTAAAAATGTCAAGTGACGCGCTTGCGTGTAGCCTTTTCCAATGCTATATTCAAGCAATCGTTCTTCGCATCAATGCTCAAGGGGCGAGAGCTAATCAGTGCGAAGGTGGCCGTACTGCGCAGAGTCGGGATGCACTATTTAGATGAATTTAAAACCGGATTCTGCACGACGACTTCGTCATGTGATGTCCCATTTCCTGGCCACTCATAGCCGCTCACGAGTGAGGTGCCATGAAGGTGCATATGCAGCTGCGGACAGAACTGCGTTGGACCAACGATTGGTTCTCAATGGTTCTTCAGGTGCCCAGCGTGGATGAGCGACCCATCAACTAAAACCAGCGCAAGTCGTCTGCCTAAACCGCTCGGAATCCCTCCATCTAAATCTCCCAGCCCGACTTCCCGTGGGCAAGTCATCATGTCTGGCGTAGAAGCTGGCGCGACAATCGTTGGCCTCGTCGGCTATGGGCTCACGTCCCTCAAAACCTTCTATCAGTTCATTTCCAATGTCAAAGATGGGCCCGAGAAAGTGCAGGATCTCGCAAACAACCTCAAAAGCCTCCAGGCTGCGTATGAGCGCATCCAAGCCCTCGGCGACCTTCCAGGCATCTTTGCGTCCAGTCCTTCGCTCACAGACTTGCTCAAGGATTGCAACGAAAACATTGAAAGGCTCCAAGAGAAGATCGGAAAGCTTCAAGTTCAACCGAGTGACAAGTTTCCCGGCGTTGTGTGGAAACGGCTGAAGATGGCCTTGAACGACGATGAAATCGCGCAAGACCTGAGCATTCTCTCTAGTTACGTCAACAAATTCACGCTGGAAATTAGCGTGATTGAACTGTGAGTACATCTTGTTTCGAGGTCTGTTCAGTTGTGCTGAGATTCTCAGGCGGCTTGTGCACCAGAACGCAGGACACATGTCCCAACTGGTAGCCGGCGGCGAGAGACAAATGACAATGGCGAAACAACAGCATACTATGCTTGCAAAAATTGGAACAGACATGAACAGCTTCATTCCTCATATACAACAAGTTGAAAATGGGATGAATGCTGTGGCTGTCAAGATCACAAGCATGCAATCGTCGTCTGTGGGGCAGGCAGTCGGTATTGCTGAGCGACTTGAAAAGCTCGAGAGAGGGTTTGCCAGAATGTTCTTACAGAACAGAAAGTCTGACAAAAATCTTGCGATTGATGGGGAGAGTTGGCCGGTTCTCCAAGAAGAGACGGAGAACTCGGCCATTCTAGCGAGCATTCAGAGCCTATGTGGTCTGATTGATCGGCAAGAGCGTCATATTGATTCCCATGAAGCGCAGGATATATTGGAAGACCTGGATACACTATTAGAAGATATCGAATCTTCGAAAACGAACAAAGACCGTCGTATGACCCAGGCTCATACCGCATACTTTCGGGCGGGGGAAAAAGAATTCGCCCGAGAATTGCGCAAGTTTCATGGAATTTTGAGCTGCTGCACTGGAATAAGTCTGAACCATGTAGATGGAGGCAAGATGAGCAGCTCTTTAACCAATTGATGGGCACATGATAACATTGTCTCAGATCAAAGTCCCTCGACAACGCACAGGGGAAAAATCATCCAAAGTTGTCAGAGACTGACTCGGCAGGAAAGCCAGCATGGAGTGTGGCTAATTTCGACTCAACATAAATGGCGCGGCACTCTAGCAGATGACCGGGACCAAAAACTGCAGGAAAGTGCTGCGAGCTTCGTTTTCAGGCCGAGAAGTTGGGATTGGAAAGTTGTCATCAAGGTGACGGTCAAGCAATATCAAAGATTGCATGGATCTTACTCATTTGTGCCGGCCGTGTCTGTCAGCCGTATCAGACCAAGGGATTCGAAAGTCTTCTCGTTCGTCAAATCAGGAGAAAAGCAAGAGCTCGTCCGTCTTCTTGCATCAGGGGAAGCGTCTCTACAAGACCGAGACGACAAAGGGGCAACTTTGCTGCACGTAAGTGACTTATATGGGCCTACAAAGGGATTCTCAAACCCGACTGAAACCAAACCACTTCGCCAGTACGCTTTCGAGCAACCTGCAATGTGCCAGTATCTTATTGAGCATGGTGCCGACGTCGACGACGTGGCAAGCGTCGGCCATCTTTTAGAAGTGAATGCATGGGAGCCAAAAGAAATGCTAGCGTCAGTTTCCTATATACTTAAACCTATCCATGGGATGAAAGTCTGATGAGCTGACCTTGAAAGAACGCCTACATTCCTCGCATCTCGGGCATCGAATGAGTGCACATTTGAGATGCTAATACTGGCAGGTGCGGACCTCACAATAGAGTCGGAACAAGTGTGGGAACGTCCATTCCACCATGGCAAACGAATCGAATATCACAGTCTATGGCAGTCTGTTTTATTCAACCGACGAAGAGAGGTAAGCCCCTGAGATGAGAGAACATGAGGATCAGGACCGTAACAAATGCTTATTCACTTTAGGGCCGCTTTTGCACTTTGATCAAACATTGTGCTATCTTCATTGATGTTAATATGGAATTGGAAGAAGGTGGATCTATGTTGCATGAATGCTGTTGCAATTCTGAGTTTGCTGAAATGCAAGCTCTGCTTGAACAAGGTGCACATGTTGACGCAAGAGATGACATAGGACGTACGAGTCTCCACTACCTTGTCTATCAAATACGAAGAGCGGGCTGGACGTCTGAGGATGATCGAAGATCGTTGATATGCCTCATCCAGAACGGTGCGGATATTCACTCTCGAGATGATGCCGGTTCATCAATTTGGGACGCAGCAAAGAAGAACAATAAGCAGGGCAGTTACGCGCGAGATATGTGGGATTTCGTTCTTGCTTACTGCGGATTCCACTCCGAAGTGGAGGTTTTTGCCCGGGAAACCCCACGACATGCTGTGTACCGCCCAGGTTGGTACTCGCGTGCCGATTTCGAGGAGATTTGGAAGGGAATGGAGCACCTGTGCCCCTATTATGGCGACGAAGCGTCAGGTCTGGATTGCGCGTCTTTCATATCAGAGACACCATCTTCAAGTAGACGGCCATCTATCTCCGACTCATGTGCGCCAACAACCTCCTCAATCGACGGACGGGATATCGATCAGATGACGCCAAATCAGCAACAGGACTTGAGTGAGGATGAGTCGGTCAAGACATGGCTCTCCAAGTCCAGTGTTTCCAGCGACATGTCTGATTCGCCCTCGGTTGCGTCGCTCCAATATTTGGGCAATACGGAAGTCGGCTTCTCGGAAGAAGTCTATGAAAATCCATGGGCCGAAGGTTAGCGACTATGATCATCGGGAGTTGACAACTTGATGGTGGACCTGTATGCACCATCTGCAGGGAACATCTGTCGATTAGGTTACGATCAATGCATCTCAACTAGGTTATTTGTTTGGTGAAAGGAAGATTGTATCATTGACAAACGTTTGAGACTCTGTTATTGTTTCGCAATATTGCAAATCGTCATTGTCGCCGGGCAAAAGTCCTCGTTCAGTTGATCAACTTCGAAGGTACGAACGATTTCAACCTCGCAAGTCTTTGCAACTTCCAGGTTCCCCACGATAGCCCGCGGAACCCACGGCTTTAGCGGTCTTAGCCGCTGACCGGTCGATATTGAGGTCATTTGACAGGGAACAGAATACGACGCTAGGGGCTGGTGATCTCCCAATACGAGAAATCCCCGCCTATTTAGAGAGGCCCACAAATGGCTATCCCGCGCTCGCATTGTTCGGGAGGGAGATTGGCGTAGGATCGTCCCCCAAGTTGACAGTGCAGAAGATCTAAAAGCATAGGAGTGGAAAGATGAATTGGCCTCTGCATCTTCACGTTCCATTTCGGCAACGTTGAGGTGGCAGGGATCTTACCTGGAGGCATCTTCGAAGATGCGTCTCGTCACTCGTTTTACCGCCGCAGCAGCATACTGCCTGAGTCTGGTCACCTCTCAAGCAGTGCCGAAAACATACTTCGTCGAGATCTCGAAAAATGGACCGATCGATGGCTTGGGTGTGAGTCCCGAATCTCTCGTCGAAAGAGCTGCCGAGCTTTCAGTACCGTTGAAGGTACGCTTCGAATTCCAGGATAAGAGCGTCTTCTACGGCGCATCGGTTTCCCTCGACAACGATGCCGACGCCGAAAAACTACGGGCTCTTCCGGGTGTCGAGAATGTGGTCCCGGTACAACAAGTAGCGCACCCGTATCGGCTTCCGGAGAACGGCTCCCCAATCGGCAGCGCAACCCCCGGATCTGCGGCATCCACCAATGGCAAAAGCAACTTTCGACCGAGATCTGTTTTGCCTCGAGCGTCCGATGTTGACTGGAACAGCCCCCATGTAATGACTGGCGTCGACCGCGTTCATGCGAAGGGCATCTTGGGAGAGGGCGTTCGCATCTCCGTTATTGACACCGGAATCGACTGGAAGCACCCTGCTCTGGGTGGCTGCTTCGGAAAGGGATGCAAAATTGAGTTCGGCTCTGATCTGGTGGGCGACGGATATGGAGGAGATTCTGGGTACACCATGATCCCCGGACCTGATCCAAGACCTGGCTGTTTCGATGGCTTCCACGGTACTCACGTCGCCGGCATCATCGGCATGGACGTGCCCTCAAACTCTTCTACGTTTGCTGGCCTGGTTGGAGTTGCTCCCAAGGCTACGTTGGGCATGTACCGCGTTTTCGGCTGTTCCGGCTATACGTCAGACGACGCCATCGTTGCTGCGATGCAGAAGTCCGTCGAAGATGGCGCAGACGTCGTGAGCATCTCCATCGGTGGATTCGGTACCTGGTCTGGCTATCCTGGATCACCTCTTTCGGCCGCAGCTGCAGCCCTGAAGGCCAAGGATGTTGCAGTCATTGCTGCCGGCGGAAACTCTGGCACTATCGGAATGTTTTCGATCAACATCCCCGGAGGATCAGACGATGCTCTCGGCGTTGCGTCGGTGGAGAACTCCAAGTTCCCGACATACCCCATCAAAGACTCCAACAGCGCCGAGTTTCGGTACGGAGCTCTTCACCCTTTCCCGGAAGGAGAGTATCCCGTAGCTTGGGCAGGAAGAAACACCACGGGCTACAACTTTGGCTGCTCGGCATCCGACTATCCTCCTGCTAGTAGCTTATCTGAGCCGATCTCCGACTACGTCCTGGTAGTGAAGAGAGGTTACTCTTGCTCTCCAACCCAAGTCCAGCAACATGCCTCTGCTGCCAACTACACACGGGTACTTACTTACCCAGACCCGACTGTTGATGATATCTTCATCGAAGGCCACGCCGTTCCAACACCATCTCTGACCGCTGATGGATACATCTATCCTATGGGTAGCACTATCGATGACACTCTGTCAAATGCTTCCAAGAATCCCGGAGCTTACAAGCTGCTCGTTTCGTCCCAGACACCCTTGCTGGTAGACCAGCCTGGTGGAGGATCCCCAAATAACTTCGGCAGCGTCGGTATGTTGCGTTCCCTGTAAAGTGTCACCTAGAACGGGACTGACTTCTCCGATATCAGGACCCAACGCGGATTTCGCCTTCAAGCCTGAAATTGCTGCTCCGGGTGGCATGATTCTCGCAACCTTCCCTCTCATGGAGAACAGCGGCGGTTTCGGTATCATCAGCGGCACATCTATGGCGACTCCGTACACGAGCGGCGTATACGCATTGATCAAGTCCCAACACCCTTCATTGTCGATAGACGAGATCTTTGAGTTGATGCAGACTACGGCGAAGCAAGTCAAGAGGGCGAACACCGATGCTGTGGCATCCACCGTTCAACAAGGAGCGGGCTTGATCCAGGCCTACGATGCTATTTTCTCCAAATCTGTCATCCAACCCGGAGAATTCAAGATGATTGATGTTCGAGAGGCTACATTCATCATCGTCAACCCATCGGAAAGTGATGTCACATATAGCTTCTCAAACAACCCCGCCAGCGGGGCCGCGTCATTCTCAGCTGGTGCCGGTCGGACCGCCGAAGTCGGATTCCTCTCTGAGCCATTCTCAGCTGAAGTCAAGTTCGGTGGAGGGGATCAAGTCACCATCCCTGCAGGAGGAACTCAGAACATGACCTTTCAGGTTACTTTGCCAGCTGACATGGACGCCAGTCTGATCCCAATATTCTCTGGCTTCATCGGGATTACTTCATCTATCAACGAGAGCTTCACGATTCCCTACATGGGACCGGCCTACAACTACAGCAGCGCGCCGGTCGTCGGCCTGAAACCCCTGACGGACGAGCAACGAGTCAATGCCTTGACCACAGCCCGCGACCCCTTCTCTGCCCCTCAGGTCTTTGGGAATAGTGACAAGAAGGACCTTGGAAACTATCGATCCTTCAACTTCCAGTACCCGGACTATCCTGTGGCGTACTTCACCTCCCTCCAACCTTTGCGCAAGTTCCGTTTCGATATTGTCCGCGCCAGCACCAACTTTACCCCAACTTGGTATGGTTTCGATCCCGATTACAAACTGGACAACCTCACAGAGACGGCGATGGTAGAGAATGGTACAGTGGCAGGTGTCCCTATTCTCGGCTCAATCCAAATCCAGGAGGGGTGGCTTCCGAGGACCAACTATCAGTCCAGTTGGTCTTACAGCATCCTTGACATTACGGCTTCGAGTGGGCTAGGATTGAAGAAGGGTTCTTATCGTATTCTCCTGAGATGGCTGAAGTTCTTCAAGGATGAGGAGGATCCCGCGTCCTGGGAGAGTTGGATGAGTGGTGTCGTTGATGTCTTGGAGGACACTTTCGAGCCGACTCCGCCTTAGGTCATGGAACAAGCAGCACAAATAATTGATAGTCATGATATTGCCACCAAAGCCTTGAAATTGCCACATTGAGTTGATGGTGAATTATTTCTTCCAGCGGGGGTCATGATGGTCCTAAAATCGCCCATATTTAGACGAAATTAAGGCACGTGCTATTACATCCCGACCAACCTAAGTGATGCATCAAGTTCCCGGACTGATCATTCGAAGGGTCCGCACGCGAAAGACAGTCAAGGTGTGGCTGAAATAAGCCGCCACAGACTGCGGCAGACGGACGTAAGCGGTCTTATGATGCTGAGCGCGCCTCGACATATCCGCTTACGGCCGAAAACGGCGGATAACATATTTTCTTCAATTCCTCAGGAGACGACGTCTCTTACCTGCCGTGAATATTACAAACAACAAGATAACTTACCGTCTATTTGCAGGAATCCCCGCACAATTCTTTACGGCCGAGAAAGAGTATCATCATCATCACTCATGGAGCGACAACCCCGTAAACGTCGGAGGCCCGCGCTCTCATGCCTGGAATGCCGTCGGCGCAAGATCAAGTGCGATCGCAACGACCCCTGCACGCACTGCGTCTCTTCCAAAATTCAATGCACCTACAAAACTTACAGAAACGATCCGGAGACTCGGGGATCGACCCCTCGGAGCGACATAGGCCGCGCGCTATCAAACCCGGCTTTGCGCCCAGCATCGCCTGCAGTAGCAGGACAGGGACCGCCGCCCAATCTCGGCCGATCATTCCAAGATCTTGCGGACACCGCTTCCCCTCAGACAATCCTGGCGGACGAGAGACGTAAAAGAACCTCGAATGCCGTGGGACATTACAACATATCCCCTCAGAACCTTAATTTCCAAGCAGAGCCAGATCTGCAAGATCTATTGAGACGATTACAAAGACTTGAGCGCGACTCCATCGGCCCAAATAACCCCGGATCGTCTGGACTGGCACAGAATTTACTGTCCAGTCATAGCGGGCCTCAAGACTCCCAAGTCGTTTTGAAGAAGTCGAGACTATGGAGATGGAGCGACTGGATGGGAGAAGCTGAAGAGGTAGGGCAGTGTTGATAACCGACCCCAGTACTATGTTAATCTGACTCCATTACCAGTTTGAACCAGTGTTGGCCTGGTTCGCAGCATACACCGAGGCTAAGGACCCCGCCAAAGAGTCACCTTTCCAAAATGTCGCAACCCAAGTCCTTGCTGTGGAAATCGACAGTTTGTATCAAAATTGTAAGATTCTGGCGAAAAGGCTCAAGGTTTGCCGGCCTACTAGAAGCACTTCAGGCCAATCACCAAGTCTGAGGCCTCCCTCTCGAGAAGTTGCCGACGCAATGGTCGATGCCTACCTCAACTCATTTGAGTTGGTGCATCGTATTTTGCACATACCTACCTTTTGGACCGAGTACCACGAGTTCTGGGATCATCCGGAAACCACAACTATGGATATCCGTCTGAAAATATTGCTCGTCATCGGCATGGGTTCAAGCCTGTCGGAACATGAAGATGTCATGCTTCGGCAAATGGCAACCCATTGGGTCTACGCGGCTCAAAGCTGGCTGTCTGGGCCTTTGGAAAAAGACAGACTTGGCATAACAGGTCTTCAAGTTCATTGTCTCACGATGCTCGCGCGTCAAATATTCTCGGTTGGCGGAGACCTGATATGGATGTCCATGGGGTCGCTCATTCACCGAGCTATGCAGATTGGCCTGCACCGAGACCCCAAGCATTTGCCGAAAATGTCGTTTCTTCAGGCGGAGCTACGAAGAAGATTGTGGGCAACCATTCTTGAGCTGGTTGTACAGTCATCTTTGGATTCCGCTATGCCTCCAAGACTATCGTTTAATGAGTTCGATACAGAGGCCCCATCGAATATTAATGACAATGAGATGGACGAGTCAACCGACATAGTTGAGCCCCATCCGCGACATGTGTTAACGAATACCTCACTTCAACTGCTGCTACTAGACAGTCTTCCAACCCGCTTGAAGATTCTTCAGTTACTGAATGATCTGCACTCGGAACTCTCTTACACAGATGCCCTTGCGCTTAGCGACGAGATCACCACGGCTTGCAGAGAAAACATGGCGTTTGGTAAACGATTTGAGGCCCGAGAGATTACCACTTTCCATCGGAATCTCGTGGACTACTTGGTACGGCGCTTCATGTTACCTCTGCACTGTCCTTTCGCCAGCAAAGCGCGATCGAACCCCCTGTTCCACTACTCGATCAGAGCCAGCCTGGACGCTTCTATGGCAATCATTTCTCCGGAACGTGACGATAAATTCTCTCGGCTGACGGCGCTGTCCGGTGGTCTTTTCAGGGAAGGGTTTAGGTATGCCATAGCGACTATTAGCCTTGAATTCCTTGCCGTGGCGAAGTCGCAGCAGCTGGATGGGACCATTCATCGGGACGATCGTTACAGGGCGCTACTAAAGACTTCAGTCAAAGACTTGATCGAGATGTCAGCCGAGAGAATTCGACAAGGAGATACTAATATCAAGGGTCACGTGTTTCTCAGCATGATTGTAGCTCAGGTCGAAGCGATGAAGGAGGGTCACTCTGGGGAACATATTATCGCGCAGTCTGCAAAGAACAGCCTCGATTTCTGCAACTCTGTACTTCAGAGAAGGCTAGAAAGTGTTCCATCGCCATGGAGCACTGATACATCCACGCTGGGAGTGGGTCACGAGGGACAGGAATCGTTCACGATTGATTGGGATTTTGACTTCTTTTTACCAGACACAGACTTTGCAGCTTCTTAGAACGAGTCTGAAATCTCGAATTCGTGGGCAAGTATTGGCAAGAATGTTAAGAAAATTATCACATGACTGAGGACTTCAAAGCTAGGTAATTACACCTTGCTGTGACGATGGCTAAGTTGGCACGGAGCGTAAACGAAGGAAGTCAGCTTATTTTTGGCGTCAGTTAATGCATATGAGACGCCTCATGAAAGCGTGGAAGCCCTTAATGCCTAACAACTCCTCATCAAATACCCACTTCCGGTGTGATTACATGTATTGCCTAAAGGCTGTGAAATCGGGGCAATAGAGTCGATGATAGAGAGAGATAGCCAACAGGTTTGGTTACCTGCTTTAATCTGTCGTCTTAATGGGTTACGCAGGGACACTTATCGTTCAAGATCTTCCTTCTTTATTAGGTTGCCGCTATCTATGGCTGACTGGTACGTACGGCCATAGACGGCGTCAGGCGGCCTTGAGCGGAGATATCTACTTCCTGGCGGACATAACCAACAACACTGTTACGGCAGCATTCGCCATCCCAGATCTCTATATAAACACCCACCCTAGGTGATCAATCTATCGTGAAGTATTTCTCTCCCACATTGCATCTCCAGTCAAAATCACTTCTCTTTAGAACAACATCCAACTTTCAACCATTTCATCGTCAAGCATGGCACCCATGAGAATCCTCATCAGCGGCGGTGGCATCGCCGGGACCTCATTGGCATTCTGGCTCTCTAAGCTTGGCCACGATATGACAGTGGTCGAGTGGTTCCCAACTTTGCGGGCAACCGGTCTTCAGTTGGACCTCCGCGGCCACGGCATCGAAGTTCTGAAACGGATGGGTCTTGAACAAGCCTTCCGCGCCAAGTCAGCTCCTGAGCAGGGCCTGCAGATAGTCGACAGCTCCGGACGGCGTCGCGCATACTTCCCAGCCAACACGTCCGGCAAAGGACTTCAAAGCTTCACAACCGAATACGAGATCATGAGAGGCGATCTTTGTCGCATCATATACGACGCCACCAAAAACCGAGCCAAGTACGTCTTTGGCACTTCCGTTGAGAAATTCGAGCAGATGGGCGACGGAGTGGAGGTGCTCTTCAGCAACGGGAAGACAGACACCTTCGACCTTTTGGTGGGTGCCGATGGGCAAGGCTCTCGTACCCGCAAGATGATGTTAGGGGCGAAGCAAGCAGATGGCTTCGAACCACTTGGGGGTTCCTACGCTGGGTACTTCACGGTTTCCAAGCCGATTCAGGAGGGGGAGGGATACAACGCCACCGCCTACATCAGCACCAAAAATCGCACAATCATGACCCGGAGATATAGTCCCGATCAGACACAGATCTATCTCATGTGCAGAACTGATTCGGAGGAGATCAAGAACGCTCGGCGGGAAGGAGTTGAGAAGCAGAAGGAAGCGATCGCAAAGGTCTTTGATGGTGCCGGATGGGAGACAAAGGACATCCTTGAGAGAATGATGAAGTCGACCGACTTTTACTGCGAACATATCGGCCTCGTCAAGATGAATGGTTGGTCGAAGGGCAGCGTTACTCTTGTTGGAGACGCAGCATACTGCCCTTCAGTGATGACCGGGATGGGCACAACATCAGCTGTTGTTGGCGCGTACGTCTTGGCTGGGGAGATCGGCAAACATTGCGGTGATAAGGACTCTAAGGACGGTCTTGGAAAGGCCCTTAGTGCCTACGAACAGAAGTTTCGGCCTTTCATGGATCAGGTACAGCATGGCATCTCAGGCGATGCTTTCATCTGGAAGATTTGGCCCACGACACCATTCGGAATCGGCATTCTGAACTTCTTTCTGGGATTGGTCTCATTGCTGAGACTTAATGTGCTTGGGGAGTGGCTATTGAAGGAGAATGTGAAGTGGGAACTGCCAGAGTATGAAGAAATGGGTTCGATGCGCCCTTAGATAGTCTGGCCCGGCAAGTTCAACCAACCCACAGCACTGGAGAAAGAGGTTTTCAATTCATTCGAGTTTTGGATTATATAGACTATAGGAAGAATACAGATGTTGTCTCAGGAAGTGTTGTCAATCATCGACGGGACTCGTGTGTATCGCAAGCGATGAACTTGGTTTTATATGTATGAATGTGGTACCTAGCCACGCGAAAGTATGTACATAGAATACGATTTCGTCACCTGGACCCGTACACAAACATCTAGTTGTTGAAGGTGTGCGAATGGATGTTGATGGTGGTGACCTTGAAGGTCTTGCTGTCGGAGGTTGTGAGGCCAGTAGAGTCAGCCTCGTTGAGGCCAAGGGTGCCCTTGAAGGTGGTGTCGGCTGCGTTCAGAATGATCGTCGTGTCGGTGTACTCTGTCAAGGATGTTAGAAGAGTTCTCTCTGAACCTTTGAATATTTTATTGATGAAAAACTTACTGTGAGCAACAACAGTGCCGACACAAGCATCGTCTTGACATTCGACGGCAGTACCCCATCCCTGAGCCTGGCCGGAGCCTGTGATTCTGTCAGCATTTACTCGGCGTAAGGTCAGATGAACGGAACGTACTGGTTGAGAGCGTAGAGACAACCTTGCCGTTGAGAGAGACAGTTTGGTCGTACTTTCCGGTGCTGTCGTTGTACTTGTCTGTTTCATAACTTATTAGAAGCTGCGGGTGGTTTTGGACAAGACAGAATAACTTACAGTGCATGGTAATCTTGTCACCAGCAGAGGCAGGGACCTGCTTACCACCAAGCTGCTCTCCTATCGCAAGTATTAGTATATTAATTCCAGACTCTGCTCTTTGGAGGCTTACCTTGGAGGGTGCTGGCCCAGGTGCACCATTGACCGGCCTTGGCGCCGCAGTTGGCGGCGGGGTCGCTGAAAGAGACAGCCAGAGCCTGGATCAGATCGCCACCGCTGGTACCCATACCGGGCCACAGGGCAAGACGGTCCTTCTGTGGGCTAGGAACGGGAGGGAGAACGAGAGTGGTGTTGGCCTCCCGAATCCAGCTCTGGGTCGGGCCAAGAGAGAAGGCCGGGCCGAAGCCGACCTTGTCCTGAGCGCTCACGACATTGGCGCCGGCAGCGGCGAGAAGAGCGGCGGCAGTGGAGGTACGCATGTTGATGATTGTTGGAACGAATGTGACAGGGATAGGGATAAAAAGACAGAACCAAAAGAGCGGAATCTGGGGAAAAGAAGGATGACAAGGGGGGTATCTAGCGGCTTGGTAATGGGACAATTCAGACGAAAAGGGCTTCGATTGAGCTTGGCAACGATCTCGGTCTTTATACGATAAATACCGAGTCGTTGATTCGGGGGGTTCTAGATCATTTCGATTCTGGATGATCGGCAACGATCCCCGTGCAGGGCCACAGCGATCCCACCTTCTCCTCACCAATTTGAATCCCACCTTATGGTTATGAGCATGAAACGATCCAGTGGCGGACAAATAATTTCCGCTACAATGGACAAACAACGTCGCGCCAGGTCCCACACAACCTGGTTGAAGGAAGAATTAAGAACAGAGGAGCTGCCCTTTCCCGCTAACTTGAACCCCGTCCACAGGGGTCTTCCTAGCTGCTGACCCTCAGCAAGCCATCGTATACATGCGGCCTCAAGCCGGTTGGAGGACATACAAGAGCCACAGTTCTTTAAGGCCAAGGACGGTGCCAATGGCATGATGGCCCCGTACCGAAATCCTGTTCAGGAAAGAGTCCAAACCGGCGCGGATACGAGAATTCGAGAGAGTGCCAAAGGGTTGGGTATCGCGACATTGAAAGTGGAGTTGAACCGTTTCACGGATGCCCGCCTTGGCCCGAATTGACATCGGCGGGCCCTCCCTGTCCGGAGCTATGATAAAAGAATGGAACCCCGGAGCCGCATCTAGATTGATATCCCCACTAAGACAATTCAAGCCCGTCGCTTAGAGCTTTTTCGGCATCCAACAGCCGCTCTAGCTGTGCTTTTATTGCCCTACAAAAGCAGAAGGTCATTCCTGCTGTGATTAGGGGGGCATCAGGGCGAGAGTTGCCAACAAAGCGGAGGCGAGACAATCTTGACTTCACGCAACTTAGTCAAACGGTCTTCAACACGCGCACAGTGAAAAGTCGATCTCAGGCATTTATGACTCGATTAATTAAACGACAAAAATTCTTTAACTACGATTTGGCGATACCGAGATTACTGCGGTTAACAGGTAACAGGTTTCGACCCGGTGGTGCGACCTACCTCAACCGGCAAAAAGTTCAGGAAGACTTTGGTCTTCCAACGCCCGAATCACCAGATTGAGAGTCCAGTGGTCCTTTCGTGAATCCATGATCTGTCTTGGTTGGGATGCCGACGTCGCGTTTGAAGCGTCGTAGCCATTCTAGGTTGTCTGCCGACGTTTGATTCCAAGGATCACCACTAAAAGAGGTTAGCAGGAGCATACAAAGAGTCATCCCCTGAGGGGTCTTGTACAACTTACTCTTCAAAGACAATGAAGCGAGCTTGATGCTGTAGCTCCTGATCTGTAGGGATGTGACAGTTGGGGTTGTTCGGAGACATGGTTGCTGCAACCCAGCGTCGGAGCTCTAGAGCTAGCCATCGGTTGAAGTTGGCGTCATTGAAGAATGCATAGTTGGCCTTTACCCTAGACCAAGCTGGCGGAAGTTCCAGATCCATCTTATCTTCCTTCATACCCGGACTAACTCGCCCCTCCCATGGCGCATTAGCGTTGACACCAGAAGGAGACGGCACGGCATCCGGCGAAGGCACCAGCGATGCAGGTGCATGGGAGTCCATGCCTAATGCCAGAGCTGCCGATTCAAGATCACTAGTAAATGCGGGATCGAGATCTCCTAGTTGAGATAGGAAAGAGCTGCTTTCTTCATTCAACAGGTTGTTGAAGCACCCGTCGTGAGTACTGAGCCCGATGCGGTCGGTAGTGTCTTGCGGAAGTGGCTCATTGAAAGACCCCCCTTGATCCCCAAAAGTTGACTGCAGTTGTTGGATCGGAGACTTGGCTGGGCTTTCGGGGAAAGGAAGTCGTTTTCTGGCCCTAAACCCCGTGAGCCAGTCCGTTGATGAGCCGATCAGGTTGATGAGCCAGTTGGCCACGAAGTCAGATGGCGATACTCCACATTCTTTGCCCATACCCAGCACGATCTTGGAGGCTTCGTTCTGCAACTCCAGATCAGTAATAATACCTAGGCCCAATACGCTTCGGGCATCAACAAAGCTCTGCAGTTGCGTCTCGCAAGGGCAATGCTCGAAAAGGCTCCGTTTGCCTTTGATCTAAGAGCTGTTAGCGGCAATGGAACTTCAGCTGCGAGATAGGTGGGCACTTACTTGAAGAACAGACATCATGCTTTCGGCGACAGATCTGATGGGTCCAAATCGAGCCTTCCGAGTGATTTCGTCTGACGATGTGATCAAGTCCCGCACCCACGACGCATGCAAAGCGCCAATATCGTATTCTAGAGACGACGATATCTCCGAGGCAAAGATAATACGGCAGGCTTCCAGTTGTATTTCCTTGTTGTCAGGCATGTTTCCGGTCTTGTCGTAGAACATTCGCAAAAAGTGGTTGAGCTCAAGAGTGAGCAATCCGAACGCATTTCTAGGAGACTCTGGAGGGGTTCCGCTGGCCTGATAGGGGAATGGAGAAAAGCGCTCGTACTCAATAAGGTCTGCCCAGTTAGTAACAGTTCTCTCAGATGTTTAGTCGACGGAAGCTTACATGGAGGCACCGAGTTTTCAACCATATCCAACACAGCTTCCTCGAAACCCCAGTCGCCCTTCCAATTTGCCATGTCCTGCCCCATCTTGAAGTGGTCTGCCAGGTGATCCGCTCTGAAAGACCAAGTGTCCAGAAGTGCACCGCAAAAGCCACAGCGAGACCTAATGTCTGGGACAGCGACTCTCCAAAGCTTGGCAGACCAGTCAAGCAGGCCAGCATTATGAACCAGGCGTAGATGTTGCTTCAAGTGATCCTTTCTGTTGAACGTGCGTTCCTGGCAGGCGGAGGGGTTGTGATTGTTGATGTGTTCTTGACTTGGCTCAACCTCGCCACAGAAGACGCAACAGACCTGGCCTGTATCTGGGTTAACAGTCTTTGGTCCACCCGGCGAGCACACCCATTTCTCCAGAGGCATGTGAAGAGACTTTTCGTGCCGTTGCCAATCGTGCTTGGTTCTGAACGTCTCGGTACAAAAGGTACACTGATACTGGTTTCGGGGAAACGCAAGTGAAGTTCGCTTCGCGCGCCTTCGTTGTCGCACACGGCCTCGAGGCGCTGGACGAGGGACAGGTACAGAGTTTTTGGACTGATTGGAGTACGCGGAGGCGAACGATCCTCCACTCGACGTTCCTACGCTGCTTGCGGAAGATCGATGCGACCGTGGAGGCTCATCGTCGGTGTAGCTGGTGTTGTAACTCTCGTCTACATCTTAGGTCTGCATTAGCCACTATGACTTCATACAACAGGAAAAGTCGGCGGCGATTTCCGAGTATGTGATCTTACCTGAAGACTCCGCGTGGGTGGATGCAACAGCCCGCGCGATCGCAGTCACTGTGGCTGGCTCATGTTCCGGAGGAGAGTCAACCCATCGCTCTAGAGGGTTCAAACTCTGGTAACGGGGGCTCATTCTTGGTGCCGGTGTTCCTGGCCTTCTGGGTACATCGATTGGTCTTGTTGAGCTTCCTGAGTATGGCGAAATTGACCGCTGCCGGCTCTGTACCTTGCCACGGCGTCGGGCATTGATGAGCCAATTGGTGATTTGAGTCTTGCTAAGGCCCGTTTGATGCTGAAGAATCTTCTTCTCTTCGTCGTTTGGGTACGGATGGTGTGTATGAGAAGAGAGCCACTGTCTCAAGATTCTAGTTGAGTCTCGAGAGAATCTTGTGCCAATCTTTGGTGGGGGCGGGGTAGAAGTGTTCGGTATCGTGAAATTGTCAGAAGCGCCACTCGATCTCTTCGAAGCCTCTGGTGTGGGAGGTGCTTGCATGCCGGCCAATGCGGGACTGTTGCCGTCAATGAGGTTACTGATTCCTTCTCCAGAAGCACCTGCCACGGCTTCTGTGAAGCTGCACTCGCACCCAAGCGACGCGCATGGTACACAGCGACCTTGGGACTCACGTTCTTGTGCTGTTTGACACTGATAGCCCCAGGTGATACAGTTGGAGCAAGACGCCGAAGGAGTGATCCACCCGCTTCCCAGACCGTCGCCAATGTAGTCTAGGGCTTCCTCAAAGTCGAATGGAGAGTTCGCGCCGCTGAAGGGCTCAAAAGATGTGAACTGGAGGGCATCATCGCAGGAAGAGATGTCGCCGAGAGAAAGGTTGGGTCGAGAGTCCTGACCGGATGAGGTCAACGGAGTAATAATATTATGCCCTCCAGCTGCCGAAGACGTCTTGTCGTTGAATTGGTCCATTTCTCCGCCGTTGCTCTGAATCTGGCACCACTCCACTGGCTGCAGCGGAAGGTCGCTGCGAAGATAAAACAATACCCCTGCCGATAGCCTTGAACGTCGGATACCGATACTGATAGCGGGCGAACTTCAATGTAAGATAGGGCGTAAGGCGTGCTGCCCCGGAATAGTGGCACGACGTTGCCGAAAGATGTTTTGCACAAGTGAAAGAGGGAGGGCGGTGCCAAAAGTCAATCGGCCGCTTCATGCATTGACTCGACGCGGTGACCTAAAGACACAACGGCCCCACCAAAGCGCTCTTCATGATTGGATGAATCCTCAATGTGTCAAGTGCGCCTTACACTAGAACCGCGTCGATTGGCTCCATCGACCAAGCTTGTTAGTCAGTAGAACTTCAAGTCCGAAGCCGGCCGTAACCAAGAACGTTGCATGGCACTACCTTGAGGCCCGATATCAATGATGGCTCGATCGATGCCTGGTAATTGTTTTGATTTGTTACTATGAAGGAGCAGGAATGTTTCAGAGTGTTACTCGACTTATCGCCTTAGGGAATCATGACTCTCAATTGTTAACTCTTTGTCCGTTGAAACAATCAAATGGTCGTAATACGGGCTTATCGTACTCAGAATTCATGCCTCAACCAGCACATCTTAGCCACAGAAGAGTTTTTAATGATTATCTCAACAAGTGAGCATCAAGAACTAATGATGATCTGAACAAGCGGACATTAAGAAAAAATCGACAAATTTAATGTGTCTCATGTGTCATGTAATCCCCGGTTTTCTGCAAGAACACACCTCGTCAGTTGTCGGGCGCGCCTGACAGGGTGAGGGTCCTTCCTAATCCGGCAGCGCCATCACAAAATTCGAGGTGAACATGGCGAAAGCTGTAAATGAGGACGAAGTCCGAAGGATGAAAACCGGGAGCTATTGAGACATCTATTCCGCTGAATTGTGCCATATCCAACATCTGTCATTCTTTTTGTGACCGGTGATCTAAAGAGCTTTCTTTTGAATCTTTACGTCATGGAGACACCAGGTTCCCTTCATCGCACCCCTGCAACCATGACCACGACAGTAGAGACCGATTGCGAAAATCAGCATCATAATGAAGCCGTCCAAAAATCATCGACAGAAGAATTAGAGCTTTCCCGCTGGGTATGCGTTGTTGGTTCATCGCTTTTTCTCGCTTCATCCTTCGGTAAGTAAATCTTTCACCAACTTATCACGATGCTCACGTACTCATTATTGAATCTACTAGGCTTCTCACAGTCTATCGGAACTCTTCAGTCTTACCTGCAGCTCAATCAGTTACAAAACTATTCTGCAACAGACATAGGCTGGATCACTGGGCTCGACACTGCTCTCGCTTTGCTGTTTGGTCTTCAAGTCGGACCTCTGATGGACCTCTACGGGCCCAAACTCTTGGCCCCAGTCGCGATAGCACTCACAGTGTCCAAGTTCTTCTTCTTGGCTGAATGCAAGGAGTACTGGCAATTCCTGCTCTGTCTAGGCCTTCTCAGTGGAATTGGTTCCGCCGTATCCTCATCGCTGGCAATATCTTCGATTAGCAAGTTATTTTCTCGACGGCGTGGTTTGGCGATGGGTGCAGCCTTGGCGGGCTCATCATTTGGCGGAGTCATATTCCCTCTTATTCTTCGTCAAACTCTGCCAGAAATAGGCTGGGCTTGGAGCTCCCGAATGCTTGGGTTCATTATCCTTGGTTTCGTGTGCGTCGGGTCACTGTGCCTTCTGCCATTCACCCGCCTGGCTATCCCTTTGGCAAACCCAGCCGAGAAGAAGTCCGCAGCCATCACCTTTGAAGCGTTCCGATCCGCCCCGTTTTTGTTCATAACAGTTGGACTTTTCTTGTTCGAAATCTCAATCATCGGGATTGGCGTTCTCCTCCCTACGTTCGCGGCTGAGGCCGACTTTCCGTCCAGCTCGGGATTCACCCTCGTTGCCACTCTGAATGGCTGCTCCTGCCTGGGTCGTCTTTTACCCGGCTTTGCGGGAGACCATGTTGGTCATTTCGATGTCATTCTGTTCATGGTAACGCTTACTTCCGTCTTCACTGCGGTTCTGTTTGTTCCTTTCGGCACTAAGTCGGTAGGTGTTCTGTATGCTTTTGCCGGGCTATGGGGATTCGGGTCGGGGTCTTTTCTCTCTATCACACCAGGTCAGAGCCTATCCAGCAGGCCATCTTGTTTCTGAGCTGACCGTGTTCTAGTTTGCGTTGGAAAAACATGCGACCCCAAGGATTATGGAAGATATTATGGTAAGTGTTTCACAATGTTATCGGCATACTTGCTTTTCTCCACGTTGTCGAGTCACGCTTACATTGGTCTTAAGGGACTTGCACCTTCGTCGTTGCTTTTGGTGCTCTAGGCTCTTTGCCCGCTGGCGGCGCTTTGTTGGAACAGGTGGGACCATTGGTGGCTGCCGCACTTTACCTCGGGACCGTGGTGCTGGGCGGTGCTTGCTTCTACGTCGCGCGCTCACTGTTGATCAAGAAGTGGGTTGTGTTCAGGTCAAACATCTGAATGGAATGCTGGCTTTGTGGTTACGTTTCATTACGTCGTAAAGCTTTTGCTGCTCAACCTGGGTATACCTGCTACAAATCTCTATAGACATTTGAAATCTCAATGATACTCGTAATGGTATCCCTCCGCCAAGTTGCTGGGTCCGGGCCACGCGCAATCTCGAGACTGCGGCTTGCCATGTCCATATTCGACGAGCGACTATTGCCTGCTTCCACGTCCGATCGATCACCGTGCGACGTACTACCCTCCCCCGCCACTTGCTCCGCGCCTACTGCCAGTCTCTCTTGACTGTCCTTCCCGACCACCGTAACCTCGGTACGAGTACCTCGAGTTACGTTTGTTATGTTCGTAATATTCGTAATATGCGTGAAACCCATTTGCGTTAAACTGTACGGGTCCGGCTTCTTTTGATTCGACATCCCGCTGCTCAACTCATTCCCCTCGGACCCTTGGCTAGACTTTGGCGTCCATCGGATTCTCGTCTGTTGCCAAAATCTCTTCTTGAAGATTGGGACGACCATTGGTGCTTGACCAACAAAGATGGCCACGAAGTCTTCTCGGATTGACCACATAGCGCCAGGCCCGAATTGTCCGGTAGGCTGTTGAGAGAGCATGGTTAGATCCTGATGGATGGAACAGAAACCTGGGTGGGACTTACGTGAAATATCAGAATTACGCGGATGATGGCAGCAGTCATGACGAAAACTCCGAGACTGAACAAGAAATATACGCCGAGTCTACGCCATATCGAAGCACGAACGAGACTGATTACCTGCAAGATACATCAGCACTGACATAATCCAGCACTAACTTCGTTGCCCTTACTGGTATAGGAATGAGGATAATACACATG